CACGCCAAACCAGTCTCTACAGAGCTTGCCGTTCTGGGGAAGCGGGTGCCCAAGGTTGCGCAGGATGGTTACAAGAACACAGACTTGGCTGGAACAGAGCGTGGACCAGCAACAGGGCGTTCCGTGACGGCGACGTCCTTGAACGTGATGGGGTCAATGTTCTCCTTGCAGGCTGGGCAAGGAAAGGTCCATGTCGTCCGCATCCAAATCGGGCAATGGGTGTATCAAAGTCGTCGTCGTCGTCGTCGTCGTCGTCGAGATCGGCATTCGCCGCCGATGTGGTTGCAGAGGGCGTTGCAGCACCAAACATGACGGGAACGCTGAGCGGGTCGCATTCCAAGACGGTTGTCTCGTCGCCGTCCAACGAGTCGACAATCACCTTGACCGTCTCGCCGACCTCGCTCATTCGTTGGCGCTCCTCGAGTCTGGCTTGAGCCTCCATTCGCTTTCGCTCGCGGCTGGCTTTCTTGTCGCGTTTGAGTGCATTGAGTTTCATGCGGGCGTCGAGGAAGACGCGCTCGGCGTAATCCTCGGCACAGTTCTTGCAAAACAGCTCCCGACAGCTGGGGATGAGGTGCTGCATCAGATCGCGGTCGTACTTTTCCTCCCAGCAGATCTTGCAGATGCGCTTTCCATTCGGCAGATATGCAGGCTCCTTGGCGGGCGGCAAAACTGGCGCAGCGGCGACGGGGGTGGGTGCAGAAGTGTTGGCAGCAGCAGCAGCAGCAGCAGCAGCAGGCACCACTCCTTCGTCAGCGACATACACGGGAGGATCGGCCTCCAACGCCTTGCCCTTGTCGCCGGTTGCGCCCACGGCAACAATCGCATCCACAATGGCATCGACCGTCTCAAGAGCAACGTTATGATCGGCCTCGGTCGTCGTCACGACAGAGTTGAAGCCAATGCCAGAATAGAGCTCGGGGTGCATGCCAGGAGCGCGCTCGGGAGCCGGCAGCGGGCTGGGAGATGCTGCATCCTTGTTGGTTAGGTTTTGTGGCGCGGGATCGGCGGCGGGGAGATCGACAGGCGGGAGCGACTCGTACACGACAATCTCATCGCTCTCGCTAATTTCGCGAACGTCCATGTCGTCCGCCAGAACGCGAAAGACGTAGCTCTTGAAATGGTCGACAACAACAAGCGACGACGACGGCACCTTGAGCATTTCGCCCATCTTGGCGCGCAGGATGGGCAGATTGGCCGTCTTGGGAACAGTCACGTTCATGCGCACGACGGGAAGTTGGGTGTCGCGCGGAACAAAGTGAGTTACGATGACGCGCTCGTTCGAGACGGGCACGGGGACCGAGACGTACATGAACGGGTCGAACGTGATGGAGACCTTGTTGCACGTGGTGCAAATGACGGTGCTTTTGAACTGGCCCTGGAACAAGTCGACGACAACAGACTGGTTGCGCAGCAGGTGTCGTCGCCAGGCCTCTTGTGCCACTTCCTCCAGATTGTCGGTGGAGGTGGACTCGACCTTCTCCACGTATGGCTTTTTGAGCACGCGGTTGAGGTCCTCGTGCAGACCATCCAGCAAAAAGGCGAGGAATTCCTGCGAGTCTTGCTGCGAATAGCCGGCAAACTGCGTGGCGAACGAACCGAGCGCCTTCTTGAACGAGTTTGGCGCCACGCAGTCAAACTTGCCGCTCCACAGCTCGCGGATGAGCGCGCCATACTCGTCGGCCATCTTGCCCTTGAGGCCGAGCGGATTGTCGCGATTAATGTGGTCCACAAAGGCGTTGCTCACAAAGTAGCTCGTGAGCGGCGCAATGTTGCTCAAGCACTGCAGGCCCGAGTTCATAAAGCACGTGTTGCCGAGGTTGCGCAAGCCCGCGAGACCGCCAACCCCGCGACCAGCGCGAGCAACCTCATTTTCGTCACGCCAGTAGGGAATGGTGCGCGAGGACGTGGAAGCGTAGTTGGTTGGCTCTTCAAACATGGACGCAATGGAAGGAATGCCAAAATCGTCATCGTCGTCCAGCAAGGAGCGATTCTTTCCCGCTTTGGAGGCAGCGGTGGTGGTGGTGGTGGTCGCGGCGACGGGACGCGGTGGTGGGACGGCAGTCCGGTTGCGACCGAGATCGTTAAAGTCGTCAAGATCGGCCTCGCCCGGCTGGAGATGGCGCGTCTGTGGGGTGAGGAATGCCTCCCAGCCACCATCCTCCTTGGGCGAGGAGGGCACGCTGGAAGGCGAGCGCGTGGGGAGTCGTCCAAGCGCCTCACCAGTCACATCGTGGTAGACACGGTGCGAGTCGAGATAGGGCTTGGACTCGAAGGAGCCCGTCGACGAGCGGGAGGAGCGGGAGGACGAAGAAGACGAGGACGAAGAAGACGAGGACGAACTGGACAGTCGCCGCGACGCCTGGGAATAGGTGACGTGGGAGCTGATTCCGACGTGCGTCTTGAAGGTGCCTTCCTGCAGCAATGCCGCGTTATCCATCAAATCATCGTCACCAAACTCGTAATCAGCATAGTCGACGACGGGAGATTCACGGCGGTGCTGGAGGGTCCGGTCAGAGTGGCCCCAGGCAGTGTCCGTCAGAGAATCGCCAGCAACGGAATCGCCGTCGGCATGGGCACCGCCCGTTGGGGGTGACGACGAGGAGGAAGCTGCAGACGCCAGCTGGCCACCCGCAGACGCAGACACGGGTTGGAAGCGACCGTTGGCCACCCACGCAGTCACATCGTCCGGCGAAAGCGTCGCCCACGAGTTGATGCCGGCAGAGGTCGAGCCGGCGACAGAGACGGCCGAGCTTCCAGGGCCTGTGGCAAGCGCCGAGACAGACGACGGAGCAGGCGAGCATGCGCCAAGGCTTTCTTGAGCAGCAGCAGAAGTGGGAATTCGTGCGTGCGGCGACTTGATGGTGTGTATGCTAGCGTCCTCTACGATCGTGGCCGAGTCGGCAGACAGTGAGCCGCTGGCGTCTGCAGCGGTGGATGTGACAGAGACAGAAACGGGCTCGGCGGGCGAAGAGGCGGTCGAGGCCACGACAGACACGCCCAGTGCCACGCTGAAGGCCCCGGACACGGACGAAATGTTGGTCCAGGTGCCATCTTCGCCGATCGAGTTTGTGCTAGTGCCAGCAGCGGCGTTTTCCGCGGCGGTGGCAGCGTTGACGAGAGCCCAGCTCGACTCCATGGTGACAGAAGCCTCAGATCCAGACGAAGACAGCGAAGAAGAAACGGCAGGAATAGCTGGGTTTGATCCAGGAGCAGCTGGCATTCGCAGGTCGAGATCGAGATTGGGGTGGGGGGATGAGGCGGATTGGTTGGCTGTCCAAATAGGTTTTAGTTGTGATGGTCAAAATCCTCGCGTTCTGGTTCGTGTCGTTGAGAGTGCGATTTTGTTATGACGAGATGCACCAGGAACCAAGCCAAGGAGAGTGGCACAAACGAGTACGAATGACTGAGTGATGGAGTAATCTGAGAAAATTTGCAAACAACCAAAAGGAAAAAAAAAAATCTGTGACGCAAAAAGTTCAGTGAGTGCACACTCAGCTAGAAGCGCGATTTTGAGATTGAAAGCAGAAGGGCAAAAAGGCACTGACAAACTCCCCCCAAACAAAAAAGCCGTATTCCTCGCATATGCTCTCATCCCGCAGGTTGGATGTGCTGTGCATTTGGCTGACTGGAAAATATTGTATGAGGTAATGGTTGCCGTTTTTTTTTTGTTTTTGGCTTTTTTTTTTTTTTTGGCGTTTTTGGAGAGTTGGACACCCCCTCTCCCCGTCTCCAAGCGGCCATGGCGCTGGGACTCTGCTAGACGTCGCTGAGCCTTCCTAGCCTCTGACCCAGCAGGCAAAATCGCGCATACACACGCTCTCGCCCAACATTGTCACTGAAAAGAAAAAAAAGCGAATGCAAAAAGCCCAACCCCATAGCTCGGCCCCAAACTGACGAGCGCCTGCAAGTGCAAGGCTTCCCTGTCGCAACAACGAGTGCTCGGAACCAAGGGTCGCAGTCGCAGTGCTAGGTTGCGCACCGAACGAGCGACGACGAGCGCCAGCGTCACGTTCCGTCATTGGCTGTACGTTTGGCCCTTTTTTTTTTTTTTTTTTTTTGCATGTTTCATTGAAATTGAAGGGCACTTTTCGTTCTCAGCAGTTTCGCGCCCTCGAACGAACAGTGTCTGCGCACCCCGGGTTCCCCCGAGTCCCGAGATGGAGCCTCCGATGAGCTTTTGTTTTGATGGATGCTAGTTTTGTTGAGGACGCTGTCGTGGCAGTGCTGCTTTGCGTCGCGTCAAACTGGATCAAAGAGCGCTTTTTGGGGAAGGATGACGTTGCATGGAGTTGGACGAAGGCTGGACCGACTCGTCTCCATCCCTGAAAGCGAGAGGCTCGTGAGGGTGCACTGAAGTGTGGTTTTGGTGAGGGGTGGAGGGTGGTGGAGGAGTACTGAGAGAAGCACGAAAGGAAACAAAAAAAAAAAAACGAGCAACAATGAACGCACAATGACAAAGAACAATGACAAAGAAGAAAAAAAAAAAGAGTGACTCGATGACATCAACAAGCAACAACAACAAGCAGAAGGTAGTCTCGAAGAAGTTTGTCCTCAATTCAACCATCCCATCGCAACAAAAACTGCTAGATCTAGAAGCGGATGATTCCTTGGAGATGAAAACTGCATGGCCACCCACAGCCAAAGTCCTGTAGTTACTGTATGATCAGCATTGAGATTGTCGCAGTACGTGTATTGACACACAAGATACACATCACACGAGCACTCTAGTCGCAAGTCTGAGCATCTCGCAGCGAAAACGTTTTGGGCAAACCTTGTTGGAACAAGGAAAGTTGGGTGCTGCTACCACGGACAGTCGTGTGCCGGTTGGCTACCTCGCAGTGAAATGGCACCCCTGCGCTCGTTCTGGAGCAAAGTCCTCTCCGATCAATGGAGGCAAAATCCTTTGGAAGCGCAATCCATTTTGGCGCCAAATTTTTCGTTTGTGCGACGAGCTGCGAGCGCAGCGGATGCAGTGACCCTGGTCATTCTTGAGTCGTTTGGTCCTTCCTTGAGTCAAACTAGTGATCAATGCGATCAATGCGCGTGTCGGCGAGGCCTCGCCCGTGGCGCAGCAGCTGTTCATGATTTTCATTTTGTTGCCTTGTCGAACGGACGACCATCGCGGCTCCAGTCGCCAAATCAGAACTTCCACTCTTGACGACACATGGGACACAGCTGGTTGGCGTTCGGCGAGTGGACCCACTTGAGGATGCAGTGCATGTGGAAGCAGTGCTTGCATTGGCCCCAAACGAGCGGGCACTCGTCGCCAGGCAGCCTGCAGTCCGTGCAGCAGCCATCAAACGCCATTCTGCAGATGCCGCAGGTGTCGTCGTCCACCTTCCAGCGCCACACGGCCACTGCGCTCCAGTTCTTGACGCGGACCTTCATTCGTCTGGGCACGACAAGAAATTTCGTAGAAAAATGAAGAATGAATGAACGATTTGAAGAATGTTTGTATAATACAGCAACTGAGAAAGCAAGCAAAACATGCATTGAAACTCTGATGAAGAGGAAGAAGAAAATAAGCCAACAATCAACACAAGCAGACGCATCCGATAAAGCAGGGGAAGGAAAACTTTTAAAAAAAAAAACTAGCCAAATGGTAGTTTTTCTTCTTTGTTTTTTGTTTGCTTCAGGTTGAAGGACGCTTGTTTTTGTTTTCCTCGATCGAGAACGACACAGATCACTGCTGGTCAGGCATCAAAACAAAGTAGGAAACCAAAAACAGGCTTTTTTTCAACCACTCAAAGCATCCACGGGAGACCGAGCCAGTGCGGCTCGCTCGTGGGTCGCGGCAGCGCCAAGACTGGCGGGGGCAGCGGCGGAAAGACGCGATGCACCCGCTGCTTGAGAAAGGAGGCCGCCAGCAAGGGCTTTGGCGTCGGATGTCTGAAGGAGCGCGGCAAGCTTGGCAGGCGCCTGAGCACGGAGCACTTCGAGCGCCACAGTGACCTCGTTCGAAACGGGGAGCGAGTTACTGGTGCTGGTGAGCTGACTGTCGTTGGTGGCAGTCGAGGCGGCAGGCGGAACAACCGAGAGCGGCTCGCGCAAGTGAACGTGCTGCATTGCGGTCAGCGCTTCCTGCTGGTTGCCGTTCGCCAGCACGGTCGCAACCATGTTGGAGCTTTCGAACGACTTGAGCGTGCGCGAGATGCGGTACATGTCGGACGAGCTGCCAGACAGCAGCGGCGCCGCAGCATCGAGCGTGGCGTTGCCAGTCAGGCCAGCACCGCCGCGCGTGTTCAGTGGCAGCGAGCCAAACATGGAGAAGGACAGCAACACCATCATCAAGCAGACGCCCTTGCTGACATTCGAGACACGGCCAAAGCCGACGGGCGCGCGGCGGGCTGCTGCAGCGGCGGCAGTCGACATGGACGAGAACTCGTCCTTGACCGGTGCGACGCCAGACTCTGCAGCGGCAAACTTGACGTCCGCGACATTCGTCGGCAAAAGTGCGTCTTCGCCCGCAAACAGGCCAGCGTTCGCGCCAAGACCGCCAGTGATGGTCGAGACGGTGGTGGACGCGGCAGAAGCCACAGAGCCGAGCAGATTGCGGAGCTTGCGCACCTGCACGGCCAAGGAGCGGTTGCGCTCCTCGAGCTTGTTGACGCGGCCGCGGAGGGACACGTTGGCGCTCGTGTAGACGTTGACGCGCGCCTCCAGGCCCGACATGTACTCCTTCTTGCGCTTGCGCGACTCTTGGGCCGAAATCTTGTTGCGGACCTTGCGGCGCAGCTTCTTCAGGGTGCGCTCTTCGGCCTTGGTGAGAGGATGGCCATACTTGATGTCCATCTTTTCAGCCGCCATGCCGCGGCGCTCCTCCTCGGTGAGCTCGTCCATAAAGTCCTGGAGCGTTCGAGGGCCGGATGACTTGCGCGGGGCACTTGCGAGCAGCACGCCGGCAGCCTGGGCAGCGCCGGGAGCCAAGCGGCGGGCTGCAGCAGACGACCGCTTGTTGCCGCGCTTTGGCTTGCTGTCGTCAGAGTCCGAGTCTGAGCCAGCCGAGTCTGCATCGCTGTCGTTGTCGTCCTCGTCGGCAAACCCATACGCGTGCGGGGCAAAGCCCTGCTGACGCAGAATGTCCTCGGGATCCTCTAATGGCGGCAAGGGGCTGAACGGCTGCTCAATCACAGCGTCAAACGAGTCGTCGCGGAAGGTGCCCTGCTGCTCGAGCACGTCAAACGTGTCACCCACAAAGTCCATGATGGACGGGATGTTGACGAGCGTGTTGTGGGCGCCGTTCATGGCGGGGTTGGGGAGGGCGCAAGGGGCAGTCGCAGCGACGGACGAGCCGAAAGGAGCGCCGCCAGTCAAGAACGACAGCGGAGGGAGGAAGGATGGCTGGTGTTGCTGCGGTTGCAGGAGGGCGTCCCAGTTGACGGTGGGGGCAAACGCGTCCGGCGCAGACGGCAGCGGCGAGCTGTTTTCCGCCATTGTGCCCGAGCCCGGGGAGCCCGCATCGCTGCCGCCGAGCGACAGGCGGTCGTACGTCACCGAGTGGGACGAGAGAGTCGAGGCAATTTCGTCCTGCTGTCGGAGCTGCTCCAAGTTGAGCTGGAGTTGCGAGAGCGGGTCGAGCGCCAGCTGTTGTTGCTGCTGTTGTTGCTGTTGTTGTTGTTGTTCGAGGAACAGCGCAGATGCCATGTCCCACTCCAAGTCGTTGAGCAAGTCGTCCGTCATTTTGTTCAAAAACCAGGATTTCTGTTGGTGAAAAAAAACGATTTCTGTTGGTGAAAAAAAACGTGCTTTTGTGCCTTGTTGCTTTTTTGCTTTTTGGCGGTGTTTTCGGGTTCAGCTCAGTTCAGGTCGCAGTGTTTTTGTTGAGAATTGAGCGTTGGGTTTGTTGTTGTTGTTGGATTGTTGAACAACCAAAAAAACAAGGACTGCGCCGAGCCGAGGGAGAGCGATGGAAAGCGGCGAAGGCAAGCCTGACGTCACTCTGACCGAAACGAGCTGCGCCACGTCAAGAGCAGAAACGAGGAGAACGGCGGCACCGGCGAGACCGAGGGAAAGGAAAGGGAAAGGAAGAGGGACTCTGGAGAACAAAGCAAGACAGGGCGGAGGAGGGGGGAATGAGCCACGCGCGGGAGAGACCGAGGAACCCAACATTAAAAAAAAAAAAAAAAAAAAAAAGTTGGAGGTGAGTTTTTCAATGCTTTTGACTCGAAATGCATTGAGAACGCTAGGCAAAGAAGATGCAGTGTGCGGGCAGGACAACGATGGAAGGAATCAGATAGTCACGATGCTGGCAACGAACGCAAGATCAGAAGAGCTGCAGCGCCGCCGCAAACCAAAAAAAAAAAAATCGCATGCTTGTCGAGGAAGAAGGGCGGGAACATTGAAAAAAAAAAAAAAGCTGCCACGTCTGCAGTTTCGGCAATGGATTTTCAGTCAAAAAAATAAAATAAAATAAAATAAAATAAAATAAAAAATGCAACAAGAGCCACGATGGCAGAATGTGAACCCCAGCGACACGAACGGAACAACGCAAGGCAGACGAAGGCAGAGACCACACACACACACACATATACGCACGCGCACGAAGAAAGAAGGAACGAGGTCAAAGATGAGAAGAACTTACCGAAAAAAAAAAAAAAAGGAAAAAGGAAGAAAAAAAATGAACGAAAATGAACGAAAATGAACGAAAATGAAAAGAAAAAGGAGTGGAAACTCAGACAACACAACAAATCCAACATTGTCCTGCAATAAAGAATCAACTCAAATACCAACAACATGTGCATTGGCAAAGCTAAAATACAACGAAAAAAAGAAATCACCAAAAACTGTCAGCAACAAAGAACAGACAAACAACACCGAACGCTCACATCCCTTCACATCGCGTCAGACATGGCGGTCGCTTGTGGATCGACAGATGCAAATGAATCAACCTTGTCGACTGGAGCAAGCGAGGCATCTGGCGCATCCGCCTGTGCGTTGACTTGTTCCAATGGCGCACTTTCGTCGACCAACGGTGCAACCTCGTTGTCCGGAGCAAACGAAGAAGAAGCACCCTCGTCACCTGCAGCAACAGACACGTTCTCGTTCAACGACTCGGCTTCGTGCTGGACTGGAGCCTCGCCTGCCGTCGTCGCGTCGGTGCTGTGCTTGACTGAAAAGGTCGATCCAGCACCAACAGGAGCCGACGACACAACAAAGCCACTGCTGCTGCTACTACTCGCACCAGCGTGCGTTCCACCCTCGTGGTCCATCTCTGCCGGATGAAGCAGATCGCCATCAATATCAATGGGTGCCTCCTCATGTTGATCCAGGCCATTCGACCCGTAGTTCTGACGCTGCAATGGATTGCCGTCGTGTTCCTCGCTGTCTGCGTCATGGAAGGCAGCAGGGTGTGTGGTCTCGACATCAATGTCAGCGCCGTCGCCGTGTGCCTCGTCCTCGGCATCCTCCTCATCAATCGACATGGCTTGCGCGTCGCTGTCAACGCCAACAACGTTTGTCGAGTGATAGTTATGATGATGATGATGGCCATTCGAGAGCACCGCTACTGCCGGCTCGGATTTGGCGACAGATGGCTGCGCAGTCGAGACAACAAACGACATACTGGCTGGTGGGGCGCTCACACCGTGGTCGAGGTCCGACGGCGCAGCAGCAGAGCCTGCCGATGGTGGTACGCCAGGCACTGCTGGAGCCTTGACACGACGAATGACAATCTTGCGCGTTGCCCGCGGCGCGTCGGGATCAAACCGGATTTTGTGTGCGCGTACCATCGACTGAACCAGCGTGACGTGCAGCACAAACGCCAAATGCCGCAATCGCTTGAAATAGACAGCGTTGGACGCAGTGGCGAGCTCCCAGACGCGCGTCATCATGTCGTGGGTGATGATGGTGACGGGTGGCGGGCGCTCGAGCAGCAGCAGCACGGCATGGCAGCGCACCATGGGTTCCGGATCCCGTTCAGCCAGCTTGAGGAGCTTGTGGATGGCGCGCTGCGCCGTGGCGATGGTCGCCGCGGATGCCAACGGCGACACTAGCGTCATTGCCCATAATCCGCGCATGGCAGCGAGTCGCACGTCGGTGAAATGGCCATACCGCGCATGACTGGAAAAGACGCCGATATCAATGGTCAGAACGCCCCGTGCCTGAATGAGGGACATGCCGTTCAAGCAGCTGACGGCCACGACATGCCGATACGAAGGATTGAGCTTTTCGAGCGAGAGCAACCGCGTAAACTCGGCCAGAATCACGTGGATGGGATGCTCGTACGGGAAGGGGAGCGTGTCGGTGGGTTTGAGGTCGTAGTCGTCCGTGACCGTTTCGGCCAGTCCGTCAATGATGGCGGCAATGTAATGCGCGTCCGTGTACGGGTTGACCGAGTTGTCATTCATCTCGAGCACGTCGAGCAAAAAGCGCACCACGCCCCACGGGCACGGGGGATTGCGCAGACCTGGGCGCCGCAGCCGAATGGTGCCCAGCGCGCGCACAAAGGCCTTTTTCAGGTGGTAGTTGGCAAAATTGGTAAAGTCGTTGGGCTCGACGAGATAGTCGGTGAAGGCCGAGACCACTGGCGGGTTTGGCACTGCAGCAGTCGGTGGCGGGGGCGAAGGCGGGGCCTTGACATTCAAGTAGGCGAACGCGTGCTGTGTTTCCTTGTCGCGCTGGTGGCTCGTGATGCAAAAGCGCTTTCGGAACTCGTCCATGAGGTAGCGGATGCCATTCAAATTCGGATCGAGCGACGCCATGGACGCAAGCGCAAACACGGCGGCCAGCCGTAGCCGATGAAACACGCGCTCGTTGTGCAAAACCTTGACCAACGTCGTCCACGTCGCGAGCGATGGCCGGTCGGCGAGCTTCTTGATGGCCTCGTGCTGCACATTAATGTCACGCTCGACCGCGATCAGATCGAGCTCAATGTCCTCGCCCGTTTCGAGCACGTAACGCTTCTTTTTCGCACGAGCGCGACCTGCCTTGGTGACCAAGGGCAGCTCCATGGTCTGCTGCTCGGCCTCGATGCGCATTTGGTGGTCAAAGGCACCATCAAACTCGTGAAGATGAAAGTTGATGGCGCCCGTCTTGATCAGGCCCCTGCCCGAGTTGGACAGGGCGACGGTCAGGGCTGATGCTGTGTGGGTGCTCGAGTTGTGGCCCGAGCCATGGCGTTCGTTGAGCATGATGCTGTGTTGCTGGACTTCTTCCAGGCTCATGGTGCTTGGCAGATGGTTGGAAAACTGCGCGGCAAACGTGCCAGGGTAGTAGGCCATTGTGGCGCTCGTGACGGTGGAGCGCGCGTGACCAAAAGTGTTTAGCCGAGCGGCCGCCGCGTCTTTGGCACGTTGCTGCATGGCAAATGGGTTGTTGGCGACGTCGGGATCAAGATCCTCGGGACTTATGTGGTCAGCCATGGCCTCCTGCAGCACGTCGCTCGAGAGTGATTGGCCCATGGCGTTGGATGCTCGCGCACTCGACGTGAGTTGCTCGCCGTAGGGGTGGCGACGCGTGCAGACGTGCTGCCGGCACTCGACCTCGATGGCATTGCGACGCTTGTTGAAGAGCATAGAGATTTCAAGCAGGGCCGAGCCCGACTCGTACACGAGCTGCTCGGCAAACAGTTTGAGCTCGTGGCCAGAGACCTTTTTGACCACCTTGAAGAATTCCTTGGTCGAGAGCACGGCGCCGTGCGTGCCAGTGTGCGTCAAGCTGGCATGGCCTCGAGAAGACTTGCGGTGGCTGTTGTCCGCATCGTCGTCGTCGTCGTCGTCCTTGTCTTTGGGGCGATTGGCGCTGGCTTGCGCTGCGCTCCCGGCGGTCGCCTGCTTGAGGCGCGTGAAAACCGTGTGAACGACACGCTGGACCATTTCAATGCCAATGCGGCCTTCGACCAAGCGGAGAACAAGATTGGCTTTGCGGCGCCGCAATTCGCCAAAGCGCGCCAAGGCCGGGTCGTTGACATCCAGGCCATCCGAGCACAGGGGTGGCAAATTGACATCCGCCTGTGCCACGCGCTCCATTTCTTGCTCAATCCACCATCGGTACTCGTTGTTGCCAAACATTTGTCTTCGGAACAAGCCCGAAATGTACCGCGCAAGGCCCTCAACAAGCCACTCATCGCTGCCACGCTCCATCGTGATGCCGAAGCCAATCCACTGGGATGCCAGTGCGTAGGCCTGAGCGCATCGCGTCTCGACAGGCTGATCAATGACGCGCTCGCAGTGTAGCAACCGCGACGAGAAGATGGACATGCCAGCAAAGCGCAAGACATCGTCAAAACACTCTTCCACAAAGACCTGGTGGTAGGAGCCAAAGGGAGAGGGCATGCCAAAGTAGAGCTCAAAGAACTCAACAGACGAGCCCGTCATCTGGGTGCTTTGGATGAGCTCGGGCAGGAGACCGACCAGCGCAAAGTGGGTCACTCGGTTTGCGTGCGGGTCACCCCAGATATCAAAAGGTCCCACGGCGATGCCGATTGCTCCAGCGACGGTCGGCACATTCAAGGCATAGTGAAAGTAGCGCCAGCCTTCGTCGCGGTTGCCGGGGGCGACTTGCTGCTGGCTTAACAAGTCTCCAGAGCATACAGCGCTCAAGCCTGGGTTGACAATGACGTGAATGTCCCACTTGCATCTGTCTGTCAAGGTATCGACACACGGCATCCATAGTCTCGCGGATCCATGTTGCTGGAAAAGGTGCAAAAGTAAGCATTAGAAACGTCCCGCCGAACGTTCAGCCGCCACATCTTTGTTGCAGCGTTGCAAACAAAAAACACACACACACAGACACAACTTTTTGAACATTGCTCTTATTTACCTCGCCTTCGCTAAACATGTGCGGCTGTCGATCCGCAAAGGCGCCGCGAGTCGGGTCGGGAAGGACAAAATGCAAGCCGCCCACAGGTTGCACCAGTTCGTACTCGATGCGCACTCGGAACGGCACGACAGTGTAGTGATCGGATGGTACGAACGAATCATCTGATAGAGGTAAAGGAGCCGCCGCGGTCTGTGCCTCGGATTGGTCCACTTCCATGGCCGAAGCTGTGGTGCCATCCTCGTTCGGATCGGCAGCTGCTCCAGCCCCTGCGCTCTGGGCGGGTTGAACAGGAATGCGGTTGACAAGAATGGTGCCCGCCGGCAAGAATACTGTCAACTCGCCCTCGTCGCCCTTGCTGCACGCCGTTCGGTAATCTGAAAACAGGCAATGCGTGTCTCTACGAGAAGAATCACAACCAAAGTCCCGGGCAGAGTTGTTTTTCAAGTCAAACCAAAAACAACAATCAAACGTGAGACGATCAAATCGAAAATGTTCAACATGTCAGAAATTTCAGAATTTCATGACATGTCAGAAATCTCAGACTCTGAGAGTGTGTGGCATCCCGAATCATCCAACGACGGCGGGCCCTTCAATGGCAAAAAAAAAAGAACAGCGATCTCAACAGTTGCGCGCCCAGCAACACAAACACGAGAGCAAAAACGGACTCACAGGAAGGCGACGTCGGGGTCGTTGGCAATGTTGAGGCGCGGATCAAACCATTCATGTTGCGCTGGCTGGAAGACGCCGCGGCGATCGGCGACGCTGGCACGGAGGATGCGGCATTGGCGCGAGTGCAATCGGATGGCGGGCAAGAAGGACGCAGCAGCAGCAGGAGCAGGAGGAGCAGGATGATCGCCAGAGACAGAGACAGAGGACGAAGCATCAATGGAGGCAGCCACCAGCGAGGCGACGGACGCGGTCGCAGGGAGGAGCGGCTGCAGGAGGAGCTCGGCAACGCCGTGGACTTGGCGCTCGAGGAGATCGATACGGAGCTCAAGCAGCTCATGCAGGACATCAAAGCCACGCTCGAGCGCAGCGTAATGCGTGTCCGACACTGACATGAAAGTCAAGAAGAAGAAGAAGAAGAAGAAGAAGACGAAGACGAAGACGTAGAAGGAAGGAAGAAGGAAGAAGGAAAAAAGTGTGCGAGTTCAATGTTGAGCAGGCAGACGAAAGGGAAGCAAAACACGACTGAGCCACTCAGAGCCCAAACTGAACTGGATGTTGGATTTGGATCTGGATTGAACGGGGTTGGATGAGATGGGTTGGAATTGAATGGAATTGATTTGGAAGACGGTTGGAGGCAGCAACCATTCAAAACCCAAACACTGCCACAAGCAAGACTACACACGAGATGAAAAGAACAAGATGAACGGTCGATAAACAAATACATGCATGAGCGGAAGAGTTTCTTTTTTAAAAATTGACACGCACACTGACAAAGAAAACACCAACAAAAAAAAAAGGATGTCGACAAAAAAATATAACGAAAAGAAGAAGAAAAAAAGCAAAAGATAATCGCTCGCTACTGGCGCTTAGTCGCTCTTAGGGCGTGTGTTGGTCATGCGGTAGATGACGCTGTCATAGCCAGGGTCGAGGTACATGAGCGAGTAAACGACGAGGACGAGGGCAATGGCCAAAAGCAGGAAGAGCCAGAGAATAATGTTGAACATCTCGGGCCAAATGTCGGTGGTGGTGGCGGCAGCAACGTCGCGGCGAGAAGCAGTGGCGGAAGCAACGACATCCGAGCGGCAGCGAACAGCGAACGGCAGCTCGCGGTTGGCGACAGTGCTCTTGAGGGCAGCGCACGCGGCCTCTTGGGCAGACTCCTTGGTGTAGACGTTGGGGAACAAGCTGGCAAAAGTGTCGGCGACGGCCTTGGGCAAGTGCGGCTTGACGGCGTCAAGAAGCGCGTCGAGGTTTTCGGTGGAAATGGCAAGGGGAGCGGTGTCGAGGAGCAAGACCTCAACAAGGGCGTTGCCGCCATATCGGGCAGAGGCCGATGCGCTGAACGAGGCAATGAACTGGTTGACGAGGGCAACGGCGGCAGCAAGACGCTCCTCCGAGTAGGCAGCGCGGACGCCGGACATGGACGACAGCACAAAGGTGGCCATCTCGGGCTCGAACGAGTTGCGAGCGTTCAGGTAGGCGAGGGCAGAGTAGAAGAGGTTGAGCTCGGCGACAAGGGCAACCATCTCAGAATCAGCAGCAGTGAACTTGACAGTCTGGCCGTTGGCAAGAGTAACAGTCAAGGTCTCGGGGGTCGACTCGACGCCAGCAAGCGCGGCAGCGAGGCGGAGCGAAGGGGTCACGTTCGAAAGAACGACGCGGTTGGACTTTTGCGCGTCAGTCTTGGCAAGAGCGGCGTGCACGTTGGCAGCAGCAGCCATCTAACAGTTTGGGAAATGGGATTGTGGTAAGACATTGTCCAAACAGCCAAACGCGGGCACGGTGCCCACAATAGGGTCAGTGCACGACCTACCTGAGCATCAGCAGAGACGGAGAGAGTGAGGGACTCGTTGAAGACTTGAGTGAAGGTGTCGAGAATCGAGCTGTGGGTGGAGCCAGAGTAGGCGGACGAGAAGGCAGAAACCTCACGGTCTGAGGAGAGCGAAAGCACCCAAGGTGTGAGCGAAAAAGAGAGAGGAGCGAGAAAAGGAGAGAAAACAGAGGTGAGTGAGTGGAAATCACACGAAACAATAAGGCGAAAACAAAAACAGCCTCTCGACGTACTCTTGTTCATCCAAGCAGAGCCGATAATGCCATGTTGGCCGGGACGGGCGCCGGTGAGGGCAGTCATGAGCGAAACGAGCGGGTTGCCAACGCGGTGTTGGACGGGGAAGACGGTCTCAGCCTCGAGGGAAATGTCTGTTTGTGATGGAAACATGGAAGTTGTGAGGAACACTCTGCGCAGACACACGAAAAAAAGGTGCAGAGACAACACGCGAAGGAGGGCAGGCACGATGCGACCAAAGGCATACCAGAAGCAGCGTTTTGAACGACAATCAAAACGTTGGCCGAAGGGCGGTGGAGAAAGTCGGTCTCGGGGAGCGCAGCCTCAAGCGCCTTGGCAGCGTTTGGGCGGACGGGGAAGACATCGTCGGCGATAACGGGCATGGGGATTTGCATGGCGGCAGAGAGGAGGGGGGCGACTTGGCGGAGGCGGAGAGTCTCGTCGCCAGTGAAGGCCGAGAACTTGACGCCCGCGGGGCTGTTGGCAATCACCAACTTGGAGTGCCGGGCCTTTGTTGATGCATGCAGCAAAAAAAAACAGATGTGCGGGGTGGAGAGGAAGAAAGTGAGTATCAGAGAGAGTCGACGATGCGTCAAAAAGCAATCCTAACGAATGAGCGTTGACTTGACTCTGATCCCGAGTGCTGAAGCGACAGGGCTCGATGCAGTCAAGTCCCAAGAACAATACCCCCACCCCCACCCCCGGGGTCTCCAACCACCACACCGAAAAAGCAACCATCAAAAGCAATAAAGATCACAGCAAAAAAAAAAAAAAAAAAAAAAAAAAAAAAAAAAAAAAAAAAAAAGCCTCATGTGCTTTTTTCGTTTTCAGGCTTTTTCCCCCTTTTTTCATGATGCTTTTTGTTTTTCGATTTCCTTTTGTTCACCCGGCTTGAAAACGGCGAAACGACGCTGGATTGATGAGGAAAAGCGGGGACGCCTCTTGATCAATGAAGCGCCGGAGAGGAGAGCCTTGGCGTTGACAGCGAGCCACCAACAAGCGGGGGGGAAGAGAAGAAGCTCATGGGGCATTGAGCTTTTGGAAAAAAAAAAAAAAAAAAAAAAAACTTGGTTCTTGTGCTTGGGGTTCTGCTTCACTCGAGAAAGGGCGCTTGGTCTGCGAGATGGGGGTGAGGTCATCGGTGCTTACAGAGTCGTGGTTGACGGGGAAGACAACGACGTCGCCGCTTCGGTCGTGGAACAGCTCTGCATTGTCAGCGAGAAAAAAAAAAAAAAAAAAAAAGGCCAACAAGTTTTGAAGCAAGCGTGAGTGAGTGGAGTTTGTCGTTCAGACCGAGTTCCAAGCAAAAAAAGTCGACAGCCCAGGGTTGAGACAATGTGTGCTCCAGTTCGGGTCGAGGTGTGAAGCGGGGAGCAGTGGAAAGAAGAGCGGAGAAAGCAGAATGAAATGGGGGGAAAAACTAAAAAAAAAAAAAAAAATTCAATGGGTTTTTTCCCCACTGCGATTCCACTCATGACAAAAAGGCTAAAAAAAAAAAAAAAAAAAAAAAAAAAAAAAAAAAAAAAAAAAAAAAAAAAAAAAAAAAAAAAAAAAAAAAAACTTGGTTCTTCTTCTTCTTTCATCGATTGAAGCCAGACGCCCTCCCGAGCTCAATGGAGTAGGGAATGGGGCTTTTGCTTGTTTTGTTGTTGTTGAAGAGAGTCGGGACAGTGCCCTGAGGGTTGGAATGGATTGTGGTTGTGCAGAGGGCGTACGTGGCTTGGCAGACGCAGCGAGCGTTGCGACGAGCGCTACAAGCACGAGCGACAGGGCAGCGCGCATGACTGAAAAAGAAGGATGGAAATAAAAATACAAGAGTGAAAGGGACAAAATAGACAGAGATGGATGATTAGTCTAAATGGTAAGAAAAGAAATGATTGAGAGGGGGGTTGGGTTGGTGGTGAGGAAGGGAGAGAAGGTGAAAGGTGGGGAAAAAAGCTCAATGCAAAATTGTAATTACTCGCTCATCCACTTCATTCACTGCGTAGTGGCATACAGCAATGAGTAAAGTATATGATGGAGGATGCTGATATCGATTGAACGGTTTTGGATACCACTCCTCGTTTCTCTAAAGTGATTCACATTGCTGCCCATTCACACGCACGTTGACGAGCAGCCCAGCCACAAAACCGACACACACACACACACACACACACACTTTCAACACAAAGCAAAATGCCGATTGCGTACTTGAGTCGGCGCGAGTCGTTCAGCGCGGCGCACAGACTCCACTCGCCAGAGCTGTCGGACGCGGACAACGTCGCGATATTCGGCAAGTGCAACAATCCCAACGGACACGGCCACAACTACGAAGGTACGCCTGACTCCATCTCTCGGTTGCGAAGGGGGGTCGGATGGACAGCGGAGAGAGCGAGCTGACCTTGTTGCGCGTCTCGTCGCGTGTCGCTTTGGAATACTCCGTGCTCCCGCTGCTGCTGCGGTGTGCGTGTGCGTGTGCGTCTGGGCTTGAATCTGTGGACATTTTCCGTGTTTTGGGACCCATCCAGTCGAAGTCGTCATCCGCGGCGAGGTGAGTCCGTTGCTGCTGTGCTGGGACCCAAACGTGCGAGAGCAGAGTGCATTGCTGATTGCTGACCATGTCGGAACTCGTGCGGGTTGTAGATCGATCCAAGGACAGGAATGGTCATGAATTTGACAGATCTGAAGGAAATTATGCGACAAGCCATCATGGAGCCGCTCGACCACAAACACCTGGACAAGGATGTTCCGTATTTCGCAACCGTACCAAGGTACATTGTGCTGCGACCAGTGTCGGGGCAAAACACGAAAGAGACATGCAGCAAGAGTTGCAACGTCTGCTCTCGAGGTTGACTGTCGGTGGAAAAAGGGGGGCAGGAAATAAGAGAAGAGTGCTTTCGTTGGATGAAATGTTAATGTCAATGCTCACTTTGTTTTCAACCTTTCCGTTTGTGTGCTCCATTCCTAGCACAACCGAAAATCTCGCCGTTTACATTTGGCGCCAATTGGTGCCATTGCTACCAGCAGGGCGGCTGTACGAGGTCTGCATTCACGAGACGGATCGAAATGTCATCATCTACCGAGGGGATTGATCTGATGGCATGTTGTCCGCGAGAGCACCCTGCGGCCTGTTGCTGCTGGCTATTGGGAGCACGTGGTGGTGCTGGGGCGCAAGTTGATCTCTGGATTCATTGCTTTTCTGTCGGCTGTGACATGATTTGTGATACAAGAGCGTTTTTCTCTCCATTTTCAATAACAGCCAGAGTGCATGTTGACCGAAGCAGCGAAATGCCGTGTAGTCGCTTGTATAATTCATGATCAGGACTTGGACCGTAGTCCGACAGGATGACGAAGTGGTGGTTGTTGACGATTTCGTGCGTTGCTCCTTGTTTCCAGCTGCCAAAAGCTTTGGGTTGCTAGTATTTATGAGTATAAGTCTGTCGTTACGTCCATTGGGGTGCGCGCGTGCTCGGAAATCGCGCAAAAAATAATCGACAAAAAGCGGTACAGCAGAGTGCAAACGAGTTTTTCAAGTTGCTGAACTGAAATTTTCATAATTACACGATTTTTGTACCCGTTTCACAAAGAAGCCTCAGCATCCGCCAAATTCGACATAAACTATAACACAGAACACAGGCCATTTCCATTATAGTCACAAAGTTGCAAAAGCGCAAGAGCACGGCTCGTATTAGACCGATTGACTCCGGCAGACCTCGCAAGACCTCGAAACCCACCTCATCTCAGCAAAACTCGCGATCCGATAGGTTCAAAAGCTCAAACCACAATATTTTGTGCCTGTTATAATGAAGCTCACGGGTGGAATGTGCTCCTCGCCATGCGATCCCTGTGTTCCAAGTTACCACTTTGTGCCGTTTCCGGTTTTCTCGAGGTTTTTTGCCAGCTGCACTGGACGTTTTCCCCCATCTCCATTCGACCTACTCGTTTCTCTTTTCGCAATTTATTGACACTGTTCACCATGCAATAGCGATCGTTCCCTGTCTCATCGAGGTGGCTCAAAACGGGTGAGATCGAGACAAAACTCAACAACCAATTCGCCAGCGTCTACACACATTCACAGCTACACACTCATTCTCAATCCATTCACCAAATCTTGCCCCCCCCCTTTCAACATTGTGTCGTTCAACTCTAATCGTTGTTTGTCAAAGTTCACCATTTTTGTCTGATTTCCAAAAATCCAAACATCCAAAAATCCAACTTTTTTTTTTTTTTTTTTCAAGATTTTCATTCCCTTTTTTTTTTTTTTTTTTTTTTTTTTTTTTTGTGTACCTTCAACGCACAACATGTTGACTGCGACTCTGCAACGCCGATTGTACCGCGTGGCCACATCGGCAGCGGCGGCGACCCTGACTGCGACCACACTGCCGGCCGTGTCTGCCGGGCGCCAGCCGCGAGCTATGGTGGCAGCAGCAGCAGGAGCAGCAGGATTGGGATTGCGCTCCAACAATCCGCTTGACGTGATGCAGTCGAGATTGCTGACGACGAGTGCCGCGGTTGCGCGCTCGCACCACCACACGACGACGCACACCAAGCCAGCGAACGAGCCCGGAGCCAAGCAGCGGTCGGCGCCAGGCGTCGCGGTCGTGCCAGGCAGCGCGGAGAGCGGCGTCCCGGTCTTCCAATCTGCGTCGCTGGCCGACATTACCATCCCGGAGGTCTCGCTGGCTGACTTTGTCGGCCACATCATCAAGTCGCGCGTTGCATCGACGCCAGACAGGGTCATCCTGTCGAACGCATTCACGGGCCAGGACCTCACGTACAAGGAGCTGCACGACAACATTGAAGCGACTGCGCAAGGTCTCTCCTCGCCGCTGGTTGGCGTTCGCGATGGCGACGTAAGCGCAGAAATGAAGAAGAAGAAGACGAAGAAGAAGAAGAACGAAGAAGAAGAAGCCATTTCATGCATTGTTGAGATGATCAGGCTGGGAGGGGTGCATCTGGTGGAGGAGCGAATTCACAACTCACAACGTACAATCCAACCTGACACACCCTGTTGACAGGTTATTGGCATGCTGCTGCCCAACTCGTTCGAGTTTTACTACTCGCTGCTTGGCAGCGCTTCTCTCGGAGCGACCACCACGTTGAGTACGTCGAAAGTGTTTGTTTGACTGTTCTCTGACAATTCAAAACGAATTGGCTCACTCCTCGCTCTTCCCCCAATCATATTCAACTCATTCTCCACCCTTCTTTCCTTTTAGTCAATCCGGGATACGAGCCTCGCGAAGTCGCCTTCCAGCTCAAGGACAGCGGAGCCAAGGTCCTCATCACGTCCGCCGCGCTTTTGGACACTGTGCACGCCGTCATTAACAACGCCAAGGAGTACGGTGTCGAGCTCACGCACGTCGTTGTGGTTGGCGACGGTCATGGCCACCGGCACGAGCAGCACCACGGCAAGGGCAACCCGACGCACGCTCATGTTGCGCCCGTGGTCGCCCAGCACCGCCGCGAGCATCCGCACGCCAAGGTTCAAGATCCTTCGGCAAGCGTTGAGATGGTCCCATTCCAGAAGCTGATGGAGACGGGCGCGCTTGCGAACAAGCCCTACCCCAAGCCGCACGTGAATGTTTTCCGCGACGTCCTGGTTCTGCCGTACAGCTCTGGAACGACTGGGTTGCCCAAGGGTGTTTGCCTCTCCAACCGGAACATTGTTGGTAACATTTTGCAGTTCTCGGCGCTCGAGCAGCATCTTGATGGCAAAAAGGACGTCTTTATTGGCATTCTTCCGTATTACCACATTTATGGCTTCATGATTGCACTCGTGGCCCTCTACCGCGACATCAAGCTCGTGGTCATGCCAAAGTTTGACCTTCCCACTTTCCTCGACTCTCTTGGCAAGCACAAAGTGACTGTGGCGCATGTGGTAAGTTTCAGTTTTCCCCTCTGCCTTTTGCATTTGTTTTTCTTGGCTTTTCGCACATCTCATCAAACCTCGTTGCTCTTTGCCTTTCTTTTTGGCGCTTTGCCGCCTTTCAGGCCCCGCCGGTTGTTGTCGCGCTCGCCAAGCACCCGTTGGTGGACAAGTACAAGTTCCCGCAGTTGCGTCAGCTGTTTAGCGGTGCTGCGCCTCTCAGCCACGACATGGAGATGCAAGTCATCCAACGTCTCAAAGTCCAAGTCAAGCAGGCGTACGGCATGACCGAAACATCACCAAGTACAAAACGCTCAACCTTGCTTGGCAGATGGCGTCGTTGTTGTTGCTGACACACTCATCTTGTTGTGCATCGTTCTGACAGTGGCGGCCCTGACTCCAGACCATCTCATCAAGCAAGGCTCTGTCGGTCCCCTTGGCCCCAACACGAAAGCCAAGGTGTTTGACCACGGCACTGGCAAGTTTGTCGGTGTCAACCAGGAGGGTGAAATTCTGCTCAAGGGTCCTCAGGTCATGCTGGGCTATTGGCAACGGTAGGCTGCGCGCGTGGTTTAGATCGGACGAAGGCCTGTCGGATTTCGTGATCACGTCGCTGACTCACCACTGGTCTTGATCGTTACTCTGTATTTTGGCACGGACAGTCCGGAAGCCACGGCAGCGACCATTGATGACGAGGGCTACTTGCACACCGGCGACATTGGCCGATTCGACGAGGACGGCTACCTGTACATTGTCGACCGCGTCAAAGAGCTCATCAAAGTCAAGGGTTTCCAAGTGGCGCCCGCCGAGCTGGAAGGTTTGTCGAGCTGGCGTGCGCTTTGTTGGCTGCCTCTTTTTTGAACAGCTCTGTACGTTCGCTCACTGCACCCTCGATCTCCATTCGTCTCATTGTTTATTTTTAAGGTATCCTGCTCTCCCATCCTGGCGTGGCGGATGCGGCAGTCGTGCCCAAGGACGACGAGCGACACGGCGAGTTGCCCGTTGCTTTCGTTGTCAAGAAGCAGACGCATGCTCACGTGGCTGACCACGAACTGGCCAAGTTTGTCGAAGGCCAAGTTGCCACGCACAAGCGCTTGCAGGGTGGCGTTCGCTTTGTCGAAGCCATCCCGAAGTCTCCCAGCGGCAAGATTCTTCGCCGCATCCTTCGTGACCAGCTCAAAGCCGAAGCCTCTGCTGCGTCTGCTTCCACGTCAAAGCCCTAAAGCTGTCATTGCGTGATTTCTTGATGATCACCAATTCCTCCACCGCAATAAAATGTCAACGAATATGGTCTTCAGATGCCTTTTAGCGCATTTTTGTTTGGTTAAAGAGCAATTGCTGAACGGCAAGTGGACAAACAACACAAGACAGCCTCATTCACTTCTTCTGCAGCTGACTTGAGCCTCGAGCGGCACCGCCTATGAGACGCAAAAACCAATCACAGCCGACAGAGTGAGTGAACTTTCTCGGACGAAAAAAACTGGGCAAAATGGCAAACGGCGCTGGCTGACTCTGAAGCTTCCCCACCCTCATCCGTACCTTGTGGAAGCCGAGCAGCAGCCGTCGACTTCGCCGACTTGTTGTTTGGCTTCCTCTTCTGCGAGTTTCTTGGCCCTCACTTCCTCTTGACGCTGTTGTAGCGAGTTTCTTGGCCCTCACTTCCTCTTGACGCTGTTGTAGCAAGCCAAAAAAATTCATTGCAAAATCACACCCCGTTGAAGTTTACATTGAGATTTCGTTCGAGATTGCGCGCGTCATCCCGACATTTCTCAGAGAGTTGCGTTCGACGTTACCTTTGCCAGTTCGAGCTGTTTTGCAGCTGTGATTGCTTGATGTTGTTCTTGTTGTCGCTTCCGCGCTTCGTGAAACTTGTCAACATCTAAGTCCAAATGAAAGGCAGTTGGCACACAAAGGGTCCAACGTAAGCAACACTCAATCGTGAATGAGCGGCCGATTCTGCCCAAATCGCGTGCTTTCCAGTCAAACAAACACGCCACCACACACTCACCAATGACTTGCTGGACATGCGTGACTTGGCGTTCGGCCATGAAGCGCTGGGCGGCGCGGAAGGCAAAGTACGCCAAGAAGCCAGCGAGCACGACAAAGTACCCGTAATGCTCGAGGAAGCTCACCACTAGCCGAATCATCACACCATGCCCACATCACCAGAGTATTATCAGATGGTAAGAGACAGAAAAAAAACGCCAATCGTAAAAGAAGGATGGCGACAATGGACAAGCTGAGCTGTTTGAACCAAAAAACAAAAAAAAAAACTCAGACAATTCGTACGGTTGCTGAACGCTTGCTTGATGAACGAAACCTCGACGTAGGTTGTTTCGTAGCGCTGCGAGTAATGGTTCTCTTCGTAGTCACGGTGGGGGTGCTGCATTGGTATTTCAAAAGTGGACGGCGAATTTGGAACGGCGAATTTGGAACAAAAGCAGGAAGAAGACTGAAGGTAATTTTGATCTCTTTTCTTCAAGAAGGGTCAGTCATCTCAACGTTTCAACATGCAAGGTTTCATCACATCAACGGGGGTGTAGTACATCCGCACGAAAGGGGTTTTGGTGCTCAACGGGGTCATTCAAACAGTCGCAACAACAACAACGACAACCACAAAAGGCTTGGCTGGCGAGATTACGCGTGCAGTCCAAGCAGAACCATGCCATTGGTAAGTGAAGGCGATGAGCTGTGGGCTTGTTCTTGCTGAACTCGAGTGAGCTGGTGTCAAGCCAAATGGGGGTGGGGGAAAGAAAGGGAAAGAGGTGAGCTGAAAGAAAACCGGGAGCGAACAGGTCGAACAAGAATTGCGACAACAACAACAACAACAACAACAAAAAAAAGCCTCACCAAGTCGACGCGAGACTGAAGGAAGGAGCGGATCACGGCTCCTGCGTCGTGTTGGGCCAAGGGATCGCGTTGGGCGAGCGAGGCGAACGACAGCTTGGAGTACTGAGCGTGGTACTCTGTGACAAGCTCCATTTCTTCAGGGGCCTTTTCATTGCGATTGACGCCGGCATCTGCGCCATACAGCTCCAGGAGCGTCTTCATGGCAGCAACCCTGATACGCGAGAAAAATACCACAAACGAAAAAAAGCAAAAAACAAACAAACAAACCAACCAACCACCAAAACACGTCAGCACGCTGACAGGCAGCACACAACCCCTCGTCACACGAGATTGCATTACCAGGACTCGGGTTCAGACACAAGAGGTGCAAACTCGCTCAACAGCTTGGCCAGGCCAAATGCGACAGTCTTGCGTTCAATCTGTCCCTGGACGTTGTTGCTCTCGGGAATGTAGAGGCTGGTGACAACCATGCCGACCAAGCTACAAAGAAGCACGCAAGCAAACAGTTATGAAGGGTTGGAACCAACCGAACGAAAAAAACAACAACAACAACAAAACACACACACACACACACACACACACACACACACACACACACACACACACACACACACACACACACACACACACACACACACACACACACACACACACACACACACACACACACACACACACACACACACACACACACACACACACACACACACACACACACACACACACACACACACACACACACACACACACACACAAAACAAAACAAAAAACCAAACAACCCACAACCCCCTTCGCAATTCTTACTTGTCTTGGATGGCAGAGACGGTCGAAACAAAGGTCTCGGTGCCGTGAAGCCCAATGAGCAGCGAGTTGAACACCAAAAATTCTCGCACAAACGAAGCCGTCTTGCTGCGCATGAGGCGCTCAAAGAGCAGCGAGTAGATTTGAGTCAGCGAGGGCAACCAGACAGACCTGAGATACAAGTGACAGAATGACAGAACGAATGAGGTTGGACAAACTACGGCGGATCCGACAAAAAACAAAAACAACCAGACAAACAAACAAACAAAACAAACAAAAACAACCAGACCAACAAAAAAAACACCACGGCTCCTTACGTGGGGAGGAACTCAATCACAGCAGAGAGCAAACGGAAACCCTCGGTATCGAACGATTTCGAAGCAATCAAACGCTGGAAGACGCCGAGCACTGGCATAATCTGCTCAGAAACACGGTCGGGGCACTTGGAAATGAAGCCAACCAGGCAGCGGTTGACAGCTGGAATGTTGCCTATTCGAACCAACAGCCACCATTTCAAAAAATGTTAGCAAATCATCGTTGCATAGAGCGCAAGAAAAAATCCGCCTGCCTCCATGGACAATGCAACGTGCCTTGGTTCTCCCACAGCGGCGGCGCAACAATGCCAGGAAGAAGCTCGATGAACGCATCGCTGATCGGCTGAGGATGCAGGTCCAGCAAAAGAGCCAGAATCTGGAACACGTAGGGGATGATGTCTACGCCATCGAAGACACAATGCAAAAGTTGTAAGCACCCGTGCCTTTAGGACACAACTCTGTAAATGTTGGTACTTCACCTTCGACAAAGTTGCCCAACACTTCACGGAAGGGAGGGAAGACGACATCAGCAAATGCGCGAACGTTGTTTGGGTCGGGACCGCAAGTGTTGCGGATGGCGGCCGCGAGTGACTCAAAGAGGTAGTGGGCAAAGAGCGGACGGTTGACGGACTTTGAAATGGCCACAATCATCTCGCCCAGGCGCGAGACAATGATGACCATGCTGCTCAAAAGATCGTCCTTGGCAATGTGAATGACGCGCATCAGTGCTGTCCAAGGCACACACGAACAATGGTGAGTGAACATTGTGTGTTTCAAGTTGATCGGTGTCATTGTTGGTATCAAAAAAAAAAAAAAAAAAAAAAAGAAAAAAAAGTGAGCTACCTCGCATCAAAAACTCGCTCGTGCTACCCGACTCTGTCGCCAGCATCTCAAAGATGTTCTGGAGTGCAGATTGAAGATGGGGTTGCAGAGCCTCGCGGTGCAGACTATTCGCCAACAAACAAAAAGAGTGACAATGAGTACGCAGTCAGGCGCTTTTACAGTGAATATCCCCAAACTAAAATGGATAGAAAGGACAAAAAGGACAAAAAGGACAAAAACAAAAGACTTACACGCCAGAGAAGAGAATGCGCTCAAAGCACACTGCGGCGTAGCTGTAAACAACAACGCTTTCGTTCTTGATGAGGACGAGAATGGTGGGAACAATTTCACGAACCATGCTGTCCAGCTGTAACCAAAAGAAAAAAAAGAAAAAAAAAAGCAGAGTTGTTGGATTTAAATTCAAGCCCGCAACAAGCCAAAGTACCCACTCCACATCCATGCGCGATCAGTCAAGTGCATACCTGCTTGCGGAAGCTAACAACAAACTTGAGTGCGTTCGCAACAAGCACAGGATGCACTCCAGCAGTGGTCAAGTCGGGCAGGACATGCTGTGCAAAGAATGAGGGCACATCGCTCAGAGGGCTCACAATGGTCGCACCATGCTACCGGCGGCAAGAAGCAGCGAAAAGTCAAGCGAGTCAGTCAAATGAAGGTGTAAGCATCGCCGACTCCAATCACCACAAAACATACATCGACGGTAGAGCCTTGGACCGAAATGGACAGGTAAGCGTAGACAGCAGCGTCCTTGTTGAGCCAGTTTTGCGCGGGATTCGAGGCATAGCTGTTGATCATTTGCGAAATGAACTGCATCATGTACGTGTGCACAGTCTCGCCATACGCGGTGACGACGACGCGAAGCAGCTCACTGGCCGAGCGGCGTGGGCTAGCAGCATCTGCGCGGGGGGAGGGGTGCCAACAAGCAGCACAATAACAATGCATCAGCAACAACCAGACCAACTGTGCAAACAAGCCACAGCGAAGCTTGCTCAAAAACACGTACCCGATCCTTCGAAATCGTGAAGGATGAATTCCAAAGGCTCATGCTGGAACTTTTCAATATCAAGCTCTGTCCCAAAGAAAATACGAGCACGGTGAGAGCCCGTTGCTCACAATTAAGCTTGTTTGACCCCCCCCCCAAAACAAAACAAAACAAAAAAAAACAAAAAAAAAAAAACATACCACGCAGACGCATCGATGGGATAATGATGTGCTCGCAAACTTGAGCGAGAATTGGCTGGAACTCGGCTGTCAGGCTTGGCACGCCGACGACATTCTTGAAGAAGGCAATGCCTTGGCTCACAAGCTGCAGAGAGCAAAGAGCACATTACAAACGCAGTGAGTATGACAGTTTCACCGTGATGGAGTTGAGCGTGACACCAAAAAGAAGAACCAGAGCACCGCTCACCTCGTCGTTCTTGAGCTCGGGGGTCAGGGTCGAGAGCACTTCCCAAGTTGCTGTGATAAAGGTGGGCGCCAAGGGAGTGAAGGATTCTTCGCCGTTCTTGACATAGTGTGTGACGTTCGTGAAAATCTGAGCCTTCAGTTCTTCCAAGGGGCTGGCTTCATCCTCCTGCCAACAAATGAAAAGAAACAAAAAAAAACAAATGCATGTAGCCAGGCATTGAGTGCTCACACACACAAATACTCACAAAAGCAACACCCCCCGCAACACACACGCATTACAGACAACAACAACACCACCACTAAAGAGAAACTGGCCTACTCACATCGTCGGAACCGTACACTTGAGTGTTGAAGGCAAGCTGATCGCGGAAGAGAGTCATCCATTCCGACATGTGATCTTCAAAGTACTCGGGCAGATCGAGGTAGTTGAGCACATACCAGACACGCGAAATGTCGCGCAGCAGCGTAATGATTGGCAGGAGAGCTGCGCGGGAGGCGCCGGCAGCGATCGAGTTGGTCGCGGCAACGTGGATGCGTGTTGCCAGTGTGAGCAGCGGCTGGGCCATGTGATCGACCACGTACTTGAACTCTTGGGAGAGCTCTGGGCATGCCAGTTCCGACTTGTAGTGCTCGCACAAGCGGTCGACGAGCGTGATGAGCATGGAGAGCACGACAATGTCCTCCGACTGGTTGAGCAGCTCCACAACGGCGGGCAGCAGCTGCGGCCAGTTGTCTGGAAAGTCGACCCACGCGACCAGGCCGATGGCCTCGACGAGTTGCGCCTGAACGCGCGACGGAGTGGCCATGGCGGCGTTGAGCAGCGACGTCTTGATGACCTCGCGGTCGGCGTCGGCGATGAGTGAGACCGTTTCGACCTGCACGTCCCAGTTCTTGCGGATGCAGTTCTTGAGCTGGATGGCTGCTGCCTGTGCAATGCCAGGCGCTGCGTCATACTGCGTCGCTGCAATCTGCAACAGCGTCGGGCAGAATCCGGGCTGCGACTCGTTCTGCTGAAGCACTTGAGTGCCTGTGTTTCAAAAAAACCAATGGAAAATTCAACCAAACTGTGAGTTTTTTTTTTTTTTTTTTTTTTTTTTTTTTTTTTTTTTTTGCCATGCGTTTTGATATTGAAACAAGAAAAAGTAAAAAAAAAGAAAAAAAGAAAAAAAAAAAAAGTAAAGTTGCTTTTGTGTGCGTTTCAGGCGACCGGCGCGGCACACTGCTCGGTGCGATTGGCAATGAACGATGAAGGTGGTGATGTTTGAAGTCGTGCGGGAGAGGAGGAGGAGGAAGGAAAGGGATGGATGGAGCGACACAGAAGCGAACGCAACGGAAAAAAACACTCAAAATACAAAGAGAAACCGTTTCAAAAAAGTCGTTGTCAGTTCGTTTGCAATCAAGCACACGACGAACGCTGCAACAATGATAGCACGTCAACAAGGCGACGGCGTTCATTCAATGGGACCAGATCCAAAAACCGACATGCATCGGCACGCAGCGTGAACACGCCAGTGTAATAAAAAACATGAACAAAAACAGCTGGTCAACCAATGCAACGGTTTTGAAACACTCGTCCGCCTGTACCTTCAGCGACGGTTTCCCGCTGCAGAATCATCTGAAGCGCCTGCGCCACAATATCAGCGAGCGACATTGCTGTGTTTGATGTTGGAGTGGAGGAGATGGAGAAGGAAGGAAAAAAGACCGAAAATAGGAGGAGAACTGAACTGAGCTGAAGCCGATTTTGGGCATTGTCACAGTGGAAGGGAAGAGACACGCGTTGTAAATGACGAGTCACAGCAACACAGACAAAACAAGACAAACAATGGTGGTACATGCATAAACACAAAGAAACACTACTTGACCCGAACGAAGAATCAAGACAGGTGGAACGCGCCTTGGCCTTCATTGATGGCAAAGCGGAGACGCTTTTCGAGCACTTCGCGAGAGGAGTAGTCTGGCAGCTTCAAATAGTTGACGCACGTCATGACTGATGGCAGGTAGTCGTCTGCCGTAAGCGGAGCATCCGGGGTTTTGCGCACGATGGTGAGTGGAGGGTTGAGCGCTTGCAGGCCTGTGTGACCACCGAGCAAACAACGAAATCAGTCAGAACACGTATCAAACACAGCACAGCACGTGTCAGGCTGAATAAAAAACATACCGCCAACTGGCAGACTGGAGCTGCCGGTAACAAACTGCAAAAATTTGCTCTGGTCTTGCGGGGTAAAGTCTGACAAGACGTCAAACAAGAGCTGCACAGCCCGGCTCGTAATGACAAAGCCGTGATCGGGTTTGCAGCTTTCCATGAGAGCTGAGGAACACACAAAACAAAAGATGGAATGTGAGTACTTCCAGAATCCCACGCAACAATCCGCAAAAAAAAGGACTGTTATTCATTGCCCAGATGAGCACAACTACTCACTCTTCTTGTCCCAAGGCTCGGTACGCGCGCCGTTGATCAACAGGTGAAGCTCTGCCGGGCTAAAGTAGGCCAAGCTGGAAACCTCAAACACAACGGCAAAGCCCGTGCGGAAGGCCTCGAGCTGTCGAGCGATACCCGTGTTGAGGATCATATCTTCAACGAGCTGTTCGCCACAATAGAGCCGAAAACACACAGTCGCAAAGTCAACACACACAACAAAAATGAGTATTCAACTCTAAAACCAACCTTTTCGTTCGCACACCTAACAGAAAAAAACAACCGCAGAGCAGGGTCTGTCGTCCACTCACCGAAATATACTCGTCGAGGTTACCAAGAGTCACGGCAATATCACCACCATTGGGCTTGAGCTCAATGTCGGGAGCACCGGGAAGAGTAAAGTCGAGACACAGGTCTTCGAGGGTGGCGCCATCGACAGTGAGCAATGCCATCGCTTCAGCGTGCTGAGCAGGTGACACTGCCGCTGCGTGGACAACGGCACGGTGAGCGCGACTCAGTGCACGAAGTTTGTCGAGAGACTGCGCAAGTGCCGGGTCAACGATAGCCACATCCGAAGGAAGGAGCGGCTGACCGAGAACAGCCTTGTAAAACACCTCACTGAATGGCAGATTGACAATGCGGAAATCAAACAGCGCCTTTGCGACAAAGCGACCAAGCGTGTCAAACAGCTTGGTTTGTGTTTTCACTGCGGCGTCTGAGGCTGACAGAGAGGGCGCGATCGGCCTCGGGAAGAGACCGTTGGCCGCCCAGACGTGTTTGGGGCCAAGAGAACTGCCGCGATCAGACGCACCCTCACCCTCACTTGTCTCGACGAGCGAGGCGGCCGAAAGCAAACTTTCAAACTGCACCTCGCCAGACGCATCAGACTCAGCTGGCTTGGCCGCAGTTGTCGCTGATGGCAGGCTAAAGTCGCGACGCCACATGTTGAGCTCGACACGACGGAAGGCCAGCGACACGGACGAGTAAAACTCGAGGGTAGGGCCGAGTCCGGTGCCCGCTTCGTTAAAGTATTCCACTTCCAGCAAGGACTTGGAGTTGGCATACGACTCCATCACCTTGACCGCCGAATCCAGCATGCGCGCACGTGCGATGCGGACCTTGGTTCTCGAGATGCGGCCAATGCGGAAGTCATTGTCGCGATTGCCTCCTGCGCCCTGTCGGCCACGGCCATCGGCACCCACAGCTGCTGAGCTCTGCGCAATCTGCTGGAAACGCATCAAGGCGCGCGAAATGCCAAAGGACGTCGAGTAAAAGAAGGTCTGCCGCGCCTCAAAGGGAAAGAGGAAGGTGGCGGCCCTGCACAACTCGCCACACCAGTGCGGAAGAGTCGAGCTGAACAGCACGAACGGATCTTGCAGCTGGCGCATGAGCTTGGCTGTGAGCTTGGTGTTGGAAAACTCTTGAGCCGGCAGCGGGGCAATGGACTGCGGGACAAGACCCAGTAAGCCATCGCTCGTGCTCTGCGGCGGATGCAGGATTTTCCCAATAGCAGCCGTCAGTGCAGTCGCACCCTCTTCGGCCGATGCATCGGTCATTCCAGCGACCGAACGCGCCGCAACTTGGGCAATGCGGTTGATGTTCGCCTGATAGATGCCACGGAAGCCGCTGTTGATGGCATGCAACGCTCGAAGCAGCGCGAGCGCGTCGCTGACGTTGGCTTCTTCGTCCTCCAACTCGCACGGAAGGGCCATGGCCAGGCTCTGGAGTGTGGTTTGGATTTCAAGAGAATCCCAATCGTCAGCTGGATCCGAGGCCACCACCGAGCTCGAGACAGTCAGCGGAATGGCGTATGTCGAGGTGCGCACCAACGCGCCGCTCGCCACTGCCGCCGACTCTTGCCTGGACGGCGCCAGAGCTGCAGCACGGACATCGCGCAGCCCATAAGTGAAGGTGAGAATGCCTCCCATCAACCGCGATCGCACATGTGGATGCGAGGCTGACGTCGACGAAGATGACGAGCTGGCACTTTCTTGGTGAGCGTGCTGGGCACCAAAACGTTGGATGGCCTGGAAGATGGACATGCTACGACTAAGCTCGTGGCCGTTCAGGAAGATGCACAGAGATTCGGGCGAGAGTTTCGGCAAGGGTTGGCTGCTCGGTGAGGGCGATGCCGACGACGGCTCGCTGGTGCTTGCAGACACACTGCTGCCAGTCGTACCGCTGGGGTGCGAGAGGGACCGACTCGGGGATGCAGAGTGGGATGGATGCTTGGCGCCACTCTTGGAGACTTCCGACGAGAGACTGCGTGCGGCACGCAGCGCTCGGCCACCCTTTTCCTTGTCCTTGTCGGACGAAGATGTCTTGTCGGAAGAAGACGTCTTGCGGGCCTGCCCAAAGAAGGACGGCGCAGAATCGGGAAGTTGCACATCAGCAGACTGGTCAGGATGAGGGTCTGACACACCATCATCATCCACCTCCATGTCCATGTCGACGTCGAGCAGTTCGCCACTGAGCGAGTCATCGCCGTCTTCGTCCTCCTGCGCATCGTCATGTTCGTCGTCGTCATGGTCCTCGCACTTGTCATGCTCGTCTTCATACTCGTCGTCGTCATCCTCCTCGTCACCGCCGGCGTCAAGCACGGGCTGCTCTTGGTTGCTGTCCTCGTCAACGAGCATGGGATCGCTCTGAGAGGACTCGGAAGGTTGCTTTCGGCGGCGCGAAAATGGCGAGGGGGTCGAACTCGAAGGCGACGCACGACCAGTAGCAGGGCCACGACCCATCGGGGAAGCAGGCTTTTGCGCTTGCTGCTGCTGCTGCTGCTGCTGTTCTTGTTCGCGGCTCTCCTTTGCCAATTGCTCGGCTGAGAGCTGGATGCGGGGCCAAAGGAACTCTTCGACAGCTTGGACTGTGGCAAGCGGCTCGAGGAGCACAAGGTTGGAAGAAAAGTCGCCCAAGCGGCGCTCGTCGGGTTGTTTGGACAGTCGGATCTTCACTGGTTGAGACAGGTATTTGAGCCCAGCGCGAAGGCTGGCAACCATGCCGCCCGATGCGCCATTATCACCGCTGCTACTACTACTGCTGTTGCTGGCCGAGGCGCTTCCGGCTGCTGCAGCCTCTGAAGCGAAGGCTTCGCTGACGACCATACGGAAGCGCTCCTGCATGTTGAGTGCGCCTTGCACTTTCTGGACGAGGGCCATCAAGCCCGGCTCTCCGTACCCGGCTGGTGCGGCGGCGCTAGCGCCAGCATCATCCGTCACCATTGGTGTTGCGCCTCCGTCGACAGCGTCCGGCAGCGCAGGTCTGACCAGGAAAATGTCGCAAAAGTTGGCCAGGCGCTGGGTGTGCGGAACACACAGTTTTCGGGAGGCAAGGTAGCGGAGCAAGCTGGTCACGAGGCGACTGTTGTGCAACTCAAAGGCCGAGACGTTGACCTTGCGATCTACAAGGATGCCGCGAATGTCCCGAAGAGTAGAGAGATCGTGTGCGTTGGCTTCTCGAATGCGCTGCGACGTCAGGCCGGTGGCCACGACCTCCGCCCGCTGCTGTGCATCTGATGCGGACGAGGTGGTTGCGGCACCGTCGCCCGAGAACGGCTCTTTACCGAGCTGCTCTGCCAATGCCTGTAGCCGATTGAGGACTTGCGAGGACGCAGACGACGTTGCGCTGTGTTGTAGCTCGGAGGAGGCGTCAAAGTAGCGCTCAATGACCTGTTGTGCGCGGAGTTGGATAAACCCAGCAAATTGCGGCGACCGACCTGACGCAGCAGCAGGGGTACGGCTGCTGCTGCTGCTGCTGCTGCTGCCGGGTCGAGCCGGGCTTTCCGCAGAAGCTTTGCCAGCAGCTGGGGTCGAGGGCGAGGCAGGCAGGGTCGGCACCGGGGCGAGCGAAGGAGGAGGTGCGGCAGCAGCAGCAGCAGCGGCTTCAGAGCTGGACGTCGAGGTACGAGGAGACTTTGAAGGAGCGTATCGGGAGGATTTTCGCGAAGGTTCCGCGGTGGTTGTCGACTCACCAGCAGGCGTGGTGGCTGCCGCGGTCTTGAACTTGTCGCTCGAACGGCGATTGAGCGTCGGCGTACTGAAGGGAGAATCCGTCCGAGACTCGTGCTTTCCACCAGTCGACGCCAACCGCTGCATTTCGTGCACCACACCCTCGCGACGGAAATACACGGAAAAGATGGTGGGCATCTTCTCCATCAGAATGGTTGCCATCCGAAGTCCGTCGACCACAAGCAAATCGTCCTCTGCCGCAAGCCGACCCGCGATAAAGGAAGAAATGGCCAAATCACGCAACAACTCGACCAGCACAGGCGCCGGAGCAAAGAAAACAATTTTGAGGATGGCGGAGAGGCAGAGGCGGCGAACAAGCGTGCTCACAGAGGCCAGATAGGCGTCGAGCAGCGTTGCCAGCAACGACTCGCCGATGGATGTGATGAGCTCTGGATGTTGAGTGTAAAGTACAGTGCGCGGGTCCAACTCTGTCGTTGCGTTGGCGGTCGCAGAGGAGGTTGATGTGGACGAGGCTTCTGGCTCCTCTTCCTCCAGAGCAGCGTCCTCAGTGCCGCTGATGCGTCGAATGCGAGGCTCACGACCAAAGGGGCCGCGTTGCAGCATTGCCCTCGCAGCCGAGTCGCGCTGCTTGAGTGGGTCGGCGTCGTCCACGGGCAAGGGAGGAAGCAGTTCGCCAATGAGCGAGAGGATTTCGTAGAGTTGCTCTGCAGGCAGTGTGATTGGCACAGACGACGAAGCGGGGCTCGCGTTTGAGCTGCGGCTCGGAGTGGCGGGCGATCCCGGAGCGGTGGCTGGAGCTGCACTTGCAACGGCACTGCCGGTGGCGAGCATTTGCCGCAGCGAGCTGGCAATCTGCAACTCTTGCAACAGCGTGGCGGCTAAAGCAGGGTCTGCACCGACCAGGGAAGCCAGCATTCGCACAATCATGGTGAAGGTGCCAGAGCTGACGAGCGGCGGCACAGCAGCGATGAGCTGCATCAGGTTCGGGAGCAAGCCGTGCGACACGATGGTTTGTATTTGAGTACGATCGCGGCGCGCATTGTCGATGAGACGCGCGATACACAGACACGCTCGCTCCACGACAATCTTGTCGGGATACTGCAAAAGATTGGTGAGAATTGGAATGGCGTCTTCCACCAGTCCGAACGAGTCGCGCGGAATGCTTCGGCAAATGTTGCTGGCGATGGCCAACGAGCATCGTTGGAGGCTGGTCGAGAAAAAGTCGAGGTACGACAGGACGGCAGAAAGGCCGCCGGCGCGCAAGAGCGCCAGTCCGTGCTCGTGCGAGATCTTTTCGAGAGCCGTGAGCGACTGCTCGGCCAGATCGATAAACTCAATGGTGAGCAGCTTGGCGCAGAGAACAGGCACCACGTTTTGCCGAACAACGTTTGCAATGCTGGCCGGGAGCGCCTCCATCATGTGCGTCAGCGCACGGCACGCCAAAAGCATCATTTCTGGGTTGTGCTCGGCGTTCAACAGCTCGAGCAGTGCAGGAATGGCCGCGTCGACAGGAAACGAGCCAAGCGTTTCCTCCGTCCCCATGGACAACACTTCACACAGCTCGACAAGCGACGTGTACTGCGCGCCTTCATCGCTATAGTCTGTGATTGAGGCAATCAGCGAACGGTAGCGCGAGCCCCGCGTCCCACCACCGTTGTCGCCAGCATTTTGAACGAGGTTGTCGAGATTGGCACCGAGGCGGCGCAACAGGCCCTGCAACGGGTGCTCCGCTGAAACGCCTCCTTCGCCAAAGAGCTCACTGGCGGCGGTTGTGCTACTGGCGTTGGAAGTGTCTGTACTGCTGTTAGTGGTTGTTGTGTTTGTGGCTGTAGTGCTGGTTGTGGTTGTAGTCGTGGTGGTGGTGTTGGTGGCAGCCGCAGAGTCCGAGCTTGTGGGTTTGGCGTCAGATGCAGGCGAGGCTGCAGTTTCGCTTGCTGCTGGCTTGGATGGTTGCTTGGCAGACGGCGGGGACGAATCCATTGGAGAGGCTGAAGATGAACTCAAAGCTCGACGAGGGCTGTGGCGCGAGACTGGCGAAGTGGAGGACGAGGAAGACGACGAAGCAGCGGCAACGGATGAGCGCGAAGCAAGATCTCGAGACGATGTATGCGAGCGGCGGGAACGAGGCGAGTGAGTGTCTGCTGCGGCTACTTCGGCAACGTTATCGTCAGTTAGGCTGGATTGGCGAGCGCGCTTGTTGTGAGCAGCGAGCAACGAAGGGGAGTGAGCTGCAGCGGTGTTGTCAGCGTGATCGGAATGGTCGGCCGGGGCGCGAAGGGGAGACGACGCTGTTCGCTTGCGTGAAGAGCGACGCTGCCGCAACGAAGCCGGGGCCGCCGAGAGGTCGGAAGGAGAGTCGGCGCTAGTGTCGGGCTCAACGACACTTCTCGAGTGTGGAAGAGTGGGTACAGGGACGAGTGAGGCCGCCGGCGAGGTTGAGGTGGTGGACGACTGCTGCAACGACTGCCGAGTCAGGGCACGGGTTGACGGACGCGAGTTGGATGACGAGAGGGAATCGGAGGCAGGAGAAGACGAGGACGACGATGATGGCTTTGACGAATCGGTCCAATCCATACGTCACCAAGGACCACAAACAAATTACAGACGAAAAAAAAAAAGAACAAACAAAGAAACAGCACGACACGCGCCGATGAGGGGGGGGGGTTTGAGGCAGGGATGTGCGCTACACTGCGCCTAACGCGAAAATGTGAGCTCGAAGGCAAGTGGAACAAGGATTGTGCAACCTGAGCTCCTGCTGCAACGCAGGAATGAGATCGTAAGGCAGCAACATGTGAGTGATGAGTGTCCACCATTGCATCAAACAACAAAACAAGGTGGAGACTTACCAGAGAAACAAACAAAAAAACCAAATGAAAAACGCAAGATTGGCTGTTTGGCAGCGAAACAGCAACGACGTTGATCAGGAAGCAAAGAGCTTGAAGTCGAAGCAATAACTCTCGATAGTAGAAAAAAACCAAAGAAATCTGCGTTTTTGTTTTTTTGACAATCGACAACAAAGTATCAGAGTGAGAAAACAGGCAAAACAGGCGATGAAACGCGATGGTGTCGTTCACAGTACGAAACCAAGTGACAAAAAAAAAAAAAAAAAAAAAAAAAAAGTACGTCGAAACAAAAAAGTGACGGCGAGAGTGAGGCTGAATGGCAGGATGGCTGCTGGAAAGGCACGGAGCAACAAGGGGGAGAAATGAATAAAACACGCCAACAAACACAGAGCTACGTTGAATCCAGCACTGAGAGGAGGAGGAGGAAGAAGGAGGGAAAGAGAGTGACAGGGGACGGAGAGAAAGAGAGAAGAGCAAGCAACCTGGAAGCGCAACTGCCAGTGAGAGAATGCCAAGACGCAGCTCCATTGCAAGCAGTGCAACACCAGCAAACACGACAAAGTCCCTCGCTGCAGCCGCACCCGATCGACCGGACATCAGAGGCTTCAGCCATTCGAACAACAAGAGAAAAAGCAAAAAAAACCTGAAATTGGACGCGAAACGCTGACTGAGAAGCACTTTTTTTTTTTTTTTTTTTTTTTTTTTTTTGGTTTTTAAGCCTTGGCTGCAAAGGGAACGGCGAGTGAACAGAGCGAGCCACGCAGAACTCCAATCTGGGCGTTGGGCAGTTCTCCTCAACTTCCTGACAACAGCCACAGCGGAGTCACGGCTGCCAGACAGAAGTGCGAGGGCAGAAGCGCGGACAGCAAACGCAAAAGTCAAAGGTTTTTTTTTTTTTTTTTTTTTTTTTTGCAACCAACCAAAAAGAACAATGAAAAAGCGCACAAAAGCAGCCGAGACAAAAAGTCAACACAGGGGTGATATTCGGATACGACTTGATACTACAAGGTGCTAGACATGCAACAACAATAACAACAAAATCGAGCTTTAGGTCGATGCCGAGGCTGCGGCAGCAGAGTCGCTGTAGAGTTGGAGTCCTGCTCGACGGTAATGCTCGTTAAAGTCAATGCGCACAGCCAAGAATTTGAGTGGCAGGTTGGTTTCGGTGGCGCCAAGAAGCACGCCGAAATCAATCACCAGTTTCTGCGGCAAGCGATCACACAAAAGAAACGAACAACAAAAGACAGCGCACATGAGCAAGCAAACACTCTGCAAGCAGACACCAGCCCTTGCCCCAACGCCGCACCTTAAACGTCGCGCCAATGATAGACACTTGATCGGATGCGCCTTCAAGGGGGCCTTGGATGAACTGCGCGACATGGGCAGCCTCGGAAGAGGCTTCGGCAGTCGTCGTTCCCCAGCGTCCTTCCCGTGTGTGGGCCGCCGCAACTTCGGCGCTCTGTGCCCGACGGTGAAGCTCATCATCTGCTGCTTGGAAGAGTGCCGCATGCAGCTGTTGAAAGTCGAGAACGAGATCGAGCAGTCCTCGCAACTTGCCAAGGGTCACCTGAGCAAAAAAACATGGGCAGCGATAATGACGGCAATTGAGCACACAACGAGAGTTTTGCTTGCATTCTGCAAATGTTCTACAACACGGACCTGAGAGCTTCCCGAGAGCAGGGCGCCTGCCAGAATGGAATTGAGGAACTTGTCATGCGCGGCGATCAGTTGGTCAAAGTCGCGTGCCTGCCGAATAGCCCGTTGCAATTCACCCCAAGAGCATTCGAGAATCTAGGAAAAAAAAAGAGAAATCGGTCGAGTCAGTGACGACGAGATCTCAGAGTTCGTAGACGGCGAACTGTACCTCGTAGAGCAGGTAGTAGTGCAGTTGGCGCACAAAATGAATCATTTCATTCGCCACCACGCGGAACTTTTGAAAGACGGGCATGACCTCTGTGTTGGTGCAACAATGGCCGTTAGGACTGTTTCCCCCCTGCATTCACCCCACGAGCACAGCAGCAGCTTTCGCATACCTGGCATCGATTTGAACTGCTTAAAGTCAACAATAAGCTCCTTCCAAAGAGTGCTCAGCGAAAAGTCAATGCGTTTGAGTCGCCACAAAAAGTGGAACAATTGCAGATATCGACTCATTGCGGCTGGACTGAGAATCAGGTCGAGAGGGTGTTCGATCGCGTAATCCAACGTAAAGACGTCCCAGCCGACGTCGCCAGGGGAGACCTGTGTTGACGAGCAAACAAATCAAGCACGCGGTGGGGGAAGGGGAAGGGTTAGAAACCAGGATTTTGACGACAGAAAGTTGCAGGGGCCATTTTTTTTTTTGGACAAACCTCGAGCATTTTCACCCCAAGTCGGTTGAGCTGGGCCGTGGGCTCGTACTGTGCATTGGTTGCTCGCACAGCGCTTTCTAGAATACCCGCAAGATTGTGCACATAGAGAGACGCTGCTGGCTTGGCCAACTCCTCGCTGCAGAAGGACGAAGACGAGAGATATAGAAAGCGAGAACATGAGTTGCTGTAGCCATGCCTCCACCAAACCAACAAAGGTGCACTTACTGAGTCAGAAACATCAAATGCTGGGCAAAATCCCCTTGCCCCAAGAGCAAGAATTTGCGGATGGCGGAAAGATGGTCGAGCAGGTGGTAGCGTTGGAGCATGACATCAATGACACGCCGAGAGGTTTGTGCATAGAGCGCCTCGGTTGTTGCAATGACCTTTGCATCATCCTCAAAAGTGGAAACTAGCACATGGAGCGTGTACGGAGTGAAATGCCTTGAACAGACCGGCGAACAGCGAGGAGGCAGCCGACTTACCTGGTGTGGCCATCTTCAACGCGTGAATCTGCTCCTCAACATCTCGGTCGTGTGCGCGAGATCGCAAAAAGTTGATGGATTTGCCAATTAGCAAGATCTAGACACAGCAAAGAACGACAAAAAGAGTCAGATGTTTGCCTTGGTTTCCAATTCTACCCGAAAGACTCGAAAAACATACCTGGTGGACTAGTGTGGCGGGAATAACATGCTCAATCATCATTGCCTCTCGAACGGCATAACGATCGTGCCACATGCGATCATTTGGCACATTAGGGCGCACGCAGATGAAAAACTCGCCGTGCGGGTCGTCCAGCTCGCCATCAAACAGCCACCGGTGCAGCATTGCGCGAATCGGCACCATTAGTTGATTTGTCAGTTTCTTGACCGTTCGCTGGACCAGGGGATCGCCGTGCGCCGAGAGGGCATGGACACGAGTCACGAGTGCACCTCCTCGCAGTCCTGCTCGGTTCAGCAGAAAATGCGCATCAATCACAAGCAACCATTCATGAGCAAAAGATCCTCTTCTTCTATCGATGATCCGACTTTGATACTGTGCGTGGCAATCCGTACCTCGGCACATGTCAACCAACGCAGCTAAAACTCGCATGCGCTCCATCGGATCCACAGTCCAGACAGCGAGCCGGCGAAGGGTCAATCCGGGCGAGCTTGAATTGCCCTCGGTCGTTTGATGGCCAACATGAGAGTCGAGCAGAGCCACAAGGCGGTAAAACTCGGTCAACTCCAAGTGCAGGGCTGAGGCGAAGGCCTGTTTCCGAACGTCATTAGAAGCGGCAGCATCAATTGATTCTGAACCATAAAAAGATGGTCTTACCTGCACGAGCAGACCTTGCGAGCCAGGCGCCGCGCTACACTGCTGAACAAACTCTTGGACTTTGCTGAAAAGCCAGCCGAGATCGACAAGCTTCAGAACAAGCTCGTGAACAGGCGGGGCGATGGCCAACTACGGCGCGGAATAACAGCGGGGGTGAGGGTTTGAACGCACATTTGCGCACAAGAAAGAACAACAACAACAAAAAAACCAACAACAACAACCGAACGGCGCTCGCTCACCCGATCGTCCACTGTGAACCTGTCGAGAATGGCATTCCATTTGATATACTGGCCGTCAATCCCTTGGAACGCAAAGAGCACATCATGCAGCAGCACTTGTTCGTCCAATCCACCGAGCGCTTTGTGAGAGTACGAGAGAAAATATGAGTATTGAGCACTGCATTCAAGGCGCAGTACTGCGACAACGTGATGCGCTCACAGGTCGAACGTAGCTCTGCCGCTTGAATCGCCCGCGTGGCGTGAATACGATCGATGGAGGCCTGGGATAAGGCCATGTTGTCGAGCGGAGAAGATTCGGCCTTGGTTTCAATGCTGCCGCTCCCGGCGAGAGAGGACGCGCTGGCAACCGTCGGCAATAAAGCTGACGAGATTTGGTCCACCGAAGGGAGCTGCACAACTGGCAAGCCACTTGTTGACAGCAAAATGCTGTCTTTGCTTGCCTGCCGTTGAGAAAAGCACGTTAGTTTTTCAAATACACTCCAATCATGCAAACTCGAAGCGCGCGCACTCACGTGAAGCAAGCTGGCATTTCGAGCCGCCGATTCTTCGCTCAACGACAGTAAAAAGTACAAGATGGCCCACTTGTTTTGGATGACAGACTATCGAAAGTTCCACCCATAAAGTCAGAACAGTCAGAAAGAATGTCAACTACCAAACGACTTGTCCTCATACCTTTGTGCCAAGCTTTTGAAACAGCTCGGCAAATCGAAGCGCATCATCCGTCCGTTGTTGTCGAGTAACTATCGCAAAAGAGCAGCGAAAGATTCGAATCGAAGCGAAACATCCCAGCAACAATGCACCCCCCCCACCCCTTGGCATCAAGACCAATTAAACTCATCAGTAGCTACATACATCGCTTTTTGATAATCTCTGCTGTAAAGAACTCGTCCTGGGACGTGGGAGCTGTGATTCGACTATGAGAATGCGAAACGAGGAGGGTAAGTCGCTTGTCGAGGGTGTTTGGAGCATTTCAATTGAGCTGAACCTCACCTAGCCAGAATGCGGAGAGCATATTGAACGAGCGTCGGTCGGTCCGCTGCGCACAGGAGCAAGAGAAAGGTCGAGTGAGGATTTTGGCGGGAAAACAGCTCAATGCGTTGAGCAGGCTCCAGCCAAACGCCCCGCACACACACACACGCACGCCATCATGATTGGCGAGCATTTTGCTACAGGACTAGCATTCGAAAGTGGACGCACCTGCTTTGGGGCCGACGAGCGTGGCGCACAGATGCTCGACCAGCGATGGAGCCGAGTCTGATTTTGCGGCCCCAGAGCTCGAGCTGTTGGGCACACCAGAGCTTGTCGGCGACATCGTCGATGCGAGCTGAGTCTGGGCACGCGCACCCGCTGGCGGCGATCCTGACACAGCGTTGCTTCGGGTTGCAGACTGGCGCAGCATTGGGGATGATGATGATGATGGTCCACCTGTCGACGACAATTGCGATCGCGATGATGACAATGATGCTGACAATGTTGTTGATGCAGTCTGTGGTGGTGGTTGTGATGGTCGGTGATTTGGAGGCGTTCGGCTCGCTCTGGTCGCAGAGCTCATCTTGCCGATCAAAAAAACCAAACTGAGCTCGAATCATCATCATCATGGATGGGTTGTTGGATTTTTGGTGATTTGAGAGAGTTTTGTGGATGTGAATGATACGATGTTGCGAGTGCGAGACAAGGAGGGGTGGGAGAGAGAGTGATAGAGGGAGTGCTGTTGCTCAGCAGGGAGTTGGCCACTGGCACTGTGACACCCATCAGTCGATGCACCCGTCGTCATCCCTCCCCCCTTCTACTAAAAAATACGGTCGACTGTTGCTGTGGTGCCGACGTTGTTAAGGTCTCAACGGTGTCTGCCGACACAACGAACCCCCCTCAGCTGGTTGGTTCTTTTTCTGGTTGTTGGTGTTCTCTAATCTCGCTCTCCCGCTCCCCCGCCGCAAGCCGCCAAGCAAGCCAGCCCGCGTGCGGCGTGCGTCTCTTTCCCGCCCTGTGCCCTCCCGTTCGTCCACCGCAGCCGCCTCCCCGCCGTCAGGTTCAAGCAATCTCACCGCCCACCACCAATTTTTGAGTCACTTTTTTTTTTTTTTTTTTTTTTGGTTGTTTGTTTTGGTTTCTCCGTTTCTCGCTCTTGTTCTGTTGCCGCGTTGGACGTACAGCACTTGCTCATCTGCCGCCATCTCACTCGCATTATCCTGTGAAAACACTTTGGATTCGATTTCTTTTTCATCGAAACAAAACTCTGATTTTATGGGTTCTTTCTTTTTTTCAAAGTCCAAACCGTTTTAGTACATTGTCATTCTTTATTTTTTTTTTTTCGCTACTTTTTCTTTTTTTCTCTTTCTCTCTTTAACCATGGGCAAGAAGGCAGCAGGCATTGCGCTGATTGTCGTTGGTGCGATCTTCATCGTGCTCGGCATTGGTCTCGGCGTTGGTCTGCCCGACGTCGTGAACAACACAATCACCTCGGGCGTCCAGGGTCCCGACAGCTCCAGCATGTCGGACGTCAACGACCCCGAGTCGTCGTACTCCAAGTGGCTGCGCAACTGGGACCCCATCGACGACAAGAAGCCCCACAAGCTCAACCACGTCTACATCTACAACCTGACCAACCCCCAGGGGTACCTGTTCGATGCCGAGCGTCCGATGGTAAGCAAAAGCCACACTGCAACCATTTTTTTATTTTTTTTTTATTATTGTTTTCGCTCGATTGCGTTTTTTTTTTTTTTTTTTTTTTTTTTTTTTTCGTTTTGTGTGCGTGCGTCCTGCCGAAATGCACTGGTGGAAACTTGGATGGCTCTTGCATTGCACTTTTCTTCTTATCGCTTTGGTGCGCAGCCACCCCGACTTTTCGTGGTGGAGTGTGGCAGTGTGGGTTTTTATTATTATTTTTCATGATTATTATTATTTTTTCTTTTTTTTCAAATGTTTTTCTTTTGATTTTTGTTTTGTTTGTTTGCATCGAGCACACAACAAACACAACGCGTGAGGGCGAATGAACAACACGCAGCAGCAGAGTGAGCGGAGGGGACAGTGGTGCGAATGACCGACCAGTGTGCGAACGAACTGTGGGTCATCACCGTTGATCTACGTTGTCAGTTGTATTTTTTATTATTTTTTAAAAAACCCTTTTAATTTGTTTTGCGGTTGAGAAAAAAACAAAAGACACCCTATCGACAATGAAAATTTTAAAATAATCATTGTGCTACGGTCACTCATGCCGCCTCCTTGGCGATGGTAGTTTTTCTCATTATTATTATTTTTATATTTTTTTTTATGGAAAACAAAAAGTCCTTCCTGTCGCATTTTTTTTTTTTTTTCCCCTTTGGTGCGTGTCACCATCGGTTTGGCAGGGGGGGGGGAAATTTGTGCAAGGAATGGCATCATGTGAGGGCAAATGCCTTCGTTGCGCAACAGGACTGCGGGCAAACTGGTTTGTGTTGCCCGAGCTTGTGATCTGTATTCGATTCCAACGAATGCGTAACAACAAGAAAAAAAAAAAAACTCTTTGGTATCAACATGATTATTTTGGGGTTTGAGTTGATTAGATGAACAAACAAACAAAACGAATCAAAACGAACAAAAAAAAAAACCATAACATTGAAAAAAAAAAAACCATAATAATTTAACTTTGAAACAAAAAAAAAGCGCGCAAGCCACTTTGGAGTGTGGTGCAAGGCGGAGCTTTCTGCTCTATGATGGTTGGTTGGTTGATGGGGGTTTGCAGAAGATGCCTTGGTTGGCACTTGAAACTCGTTGCATCCACCTTCCCCCCTCACATGGAAAAAAAAGGCTACTGGATAAGCCCAAAAAATGCAGCAACGTGCCAAACCGCAGCAAACTGGTGTGACGGAGTTGATGAGCACACTGTCCATTCCACAACCACAAGAGTCAATCATTCCAAGAAGAAAAAAAGGGGGGGGGAAAAAAAGGAAGACAGGGACGAAGGCAATGAAGCGAGACGGAGAAAAACGAGAGAAACAGAAACCCCAAATTGCAAACTGAGAAAACCCCCAATCTGCTCGCTCTGCATCGACATGTGCACTCACCAACCCCTTTTCCTTGCCATTTCCTTGCCATTTTGCTTTTCTTTCAATGCAAACACAGATGAACGCTGTTGGCCCTTACACTTTCTGGCTCAAGTCCACCAAGTACGACGTCTCGTTCAGTGGCACCGATGACGAGTACGTGTCCTACCGCACGTACACCGAGTACGAGTACCAAGCTTCGAACGACGTGGACGTCAACAACGACATGTTCTACTCGTGGTCGCTCGTCTACCTCGGCGGCCTGACCTCCGCGCTGACTGGGTCCCTGTACCCGACGCTGCTTGGCATTTACGGCTCCAACCCCACGGTCTTTGGTCCTCACCTCACCGCGTGCGCTGGTCAAACCGCCGCGACCATCAACGCCGCCACGCAAGCCTCCGTCGAGTGCCGCTTGAGCTTCCAAACCAACCCCGTTCTCAAGTCTGTTTTCGACGAGGTGTACGGGACGACTGGTGCAGACACTGGCCTCTTGACGGCCGTTTCGGGCTCGGTTTTGGGCGGTTTGGTCCAGACCATGCTCACCGCGTCGACCTCCAACCCGGCCATGACCAACGTCCAAGCTCTTGTGCAGGCTGGCATTGCTGGCAACGTGATTGCTGGTGCCACGATCCTGGCGCTCTTGTCTGCCAGTCCGACTCAGAAAACGGCTCTTAACGATTTCATCACAACAGATCCGACTCGCACGGGCGTGATTGCGACAAGTTACGGTGGGCCAACTTGTGCCATCCCAAACATTCTGACCACCGACCGACCCATCTGGTTACGCCGCTTATGGAGCTTCGGCCCTTTGCGCTGGTGCTGCGTTTGGGTATGCCACAGCCACCCGCGGAATCAGCTCAGACTCCCTAGACTTTTACAACCTGTTCAACACTCTCCTTGGTGCCTCAGCTCTCGCTGCTACCTCCAATGTTTTCCCAACCAACGCGAATCACCAGCTCGCGCTTGGCATCATCCTTGACAATAGCAACGCCTACCCGGCCCTTTCCTGGGGCAGCGATGCTCCTTCTGCGACATTTGCCACCAACTGGCTTCTTGCAGCAGGCGCTGTCGCCAGTGGCAGTCCGACTGCAATTGGTGCAATTTATGGCAGTGCTAACTTTGCTCCTCTTGCTGCCCTCATGGACGTGACGACGTTCGCCGCTGTTGTCGGCGGTTATTTCGGTCTAGCCGCTTTGCCAAAGGCCGATCTGGCTGCCATCTATTCCCCCCTGTTCCTGCCCTACACGACGGAAGCCGCAGCGGCAGCCGGCTCTGCTTTTAGCACCTTCAAGGACTTTACCTCGCAACAGCTTCTGTTTGCGCAACTTGGCGGCGCTGCGCTGACACAGGGTGACTCGCTTCTCGAAAGCTCGCTGTTCCTTGCCACTGTGCAGCAACTCCAAGATGGTGGAGCTGTCATTCCGATTCCCCAAACGTACATCGACAACGACGATGGCAAGTATTGGATTGAGCCGTTCCTGTACAACTTGAATGTCTGGGCTCCTGCCAACTATCTCGGCTTTGCGGCCCAGTACAACCTCCAGGCCGGCGGCAATTACAAATCTGGTGTCTACCTCTCGTTGGCCCAGACCGGTGCACTGATCAACATTCTTACCACTTACACCTCCTCTGCGTTTGGCCTGATTGGCGCTGCGAGCTACCCACTCTCGAAGGCTGGGGAGCAGATTGGCAATCTCGTTACGGCTGGCCTCACGGCAGATGCCGTTGGTTATACTAACTCCGTGACTCCAGCGTGCGGCATGGGGCCGCCCACCACCGCTGCAGCAGTGCAGTCTGCTATTATTACCATTCTTGTGGCGGGCGATTTTGGCAGCACGGCTTGCCGCGACGCGATTATCGGCACCGGATCCGGAACTGCTTTGATTGGGTTCATGGCCGCCATTAAAACTGCATTGACCAACGCGAACAACCAGTGGACTGCTTGGGGTTTGAATTTGTCATCACTCGGCCCCACCACGACCGCCCCGGATGCCATGGCCTCTTCCACGTTCAGGATTGCCTTCCACGCCTTGATGCTTGTCGACTACTTCCAAAAGAACTTTTTCCTCATCACTGGCGAGTTCCTGACTGGCGATCAGCGCAATGACGGTCTGATTATTCACCGCTCCGCCCTTGAGATCATGAGCGGTGCGCACTACGCGATCGCCCCTGGCGGCACTGCCGCGGGCTTCCTGTGGAACTCGTTCCGCACTCCGTACTCGCCCACTGCTGACCTGAACAAGTACTCGCGTGGCATTGCAGACATCAACACTGTCAACACGTATGTTGAGTACGAGGGCGCCACTCAACTGGCCGCAAACTACTTCCCTCGCATGACGGCCGAGAAGCCCGAGCTGCGCAACATTCGCGGTTTTGACTACACCCAATTTGTGCCCGCCGAGAAGACTGTCATCATGGTGGATGTCGACAAGCCCCGTTACAACCATTATGATGTTTTCCTGGAACCCGCTTCGCGCACCTTCCGTCTGTTCTACCAGAACAAGGATGACGACATTTTGGGTGTCAAGTGCAACCGTTTCGCCGTCTCCACCGACGAACTCACTCTTGAAACTGGCAACTTTGGCAACAACAAGTACTATGGCAGCTCGTTCGACGGCGCCCAGTACGGCGGCAACACCAACCCCTTCCACAGCTTTGTGTCGCGCCCGTACTACCTGTATGGCAACGACATCTACGATCTCTACCCCGATTTTGAGACTGAGGCCAGCCCTTCCAAGCATGAGACCACAATCTGCATCGAGCCTCTGACTGGCGCTACCGTCGACGGCTCGCTGAACTTTATGGGCAGCCTGGGTCTGGACAAGACTGGTTTCACTGCGTCTTCCCGGTTTGCCTTTGGCTACGACCTGAATTCCACATACCTGATTGACCAGTCCCAGATGTACGACGACACCAACCCCGTTCTCCAGCCCCCGCTGCCCCTCTACTGGTACACCCAGACTGCCACCCTGAACGAGGCTACTGCCGACGCCCTCAAGTCCTCTCTGTACGGTGCTACCAAGGGTGCCTATGCCGCTCTGATTGTGGGCATTGTTCTCGGCTCCATCCTGGTCATTGTTGGCATTGTGCTCCTCGTTCTGCACAAGAAGGAGGGCGGTCTTGGCAAGACCGAGTCGACTGCCGAGATGCTCAAGTCGCCTGCCTTTGCCCCTGAGGTCAACAACCCCACTTACGAGAGATAATTTTTTTTGTTGTTGTCGCTTGTTTTTTTTTTTCTCGTTGTTGTTCGTTTTGAGTGTGGTTGTCTGTGTAGCCTGCTTTTTCTCGCTTTTTTGTGTGCTACAATCAACGATGCGACCACCCACACAACCGGATCCTGATGGGTTTGTGTGTCTTTTTTTCTTTTGTATGATTTGTGATTTGTGTGCGATTCGTGTGCGTTTGCTGTTTTGCACTTTTGCCCCTCCCCAATGTACATGTTCTCTTTTGTTTTTTGTTTTTTTGGTCGTTGTTGTCAACTCCAATGTTGTTCTTTCGTTTATTCAAGCGCAAAGCTAGCAAGCAAAACATGTTGAAGCAATTTCGATGTGATTTTCTTCCTCTTTTACTTGGTTCCCTTTGCATTGTCTTTGCGTGCACACATTTCCTATCCCTTTTTCATTTTGTCAGTTGAACACTTCTGATTTGTTCTCTGAGTCTTTGCGTTGGCGGGAATGACTTCGCTGGAATCGCAGCTTCGCGAGGTCGACATCACCGACGACTCGGTTCTGTCCCTGCTCCAGCCGAGCCAGACCGCTGGCCTCGACGCCAATGAGCTCATGCTCTCTCTGTTTGCACCCAACTACCCCGAGCTCAACCTGGTAATGCGAGCCGCGCACAAGGCGAACCCGTCTCTCTTGCTTTTGCTTTTTTTTTTTTTTTTTTTTTTTTTTGCTTTTTGCCCCATGGATTTTTCGTCCTCGTTGCAAGGCCCGGGCGCTCCCTGTCGGTCGGTCGGTCGGTCGGTGGATTGGCTGCCAGCGTCTTCCCCCTTGCGTTGCTGCTCTGCGCCGATGGGTCGCACACGCGTCTTTGCATTCGAGCCTTTCGCGTCGTTTTTTTTTTTTTTTTTTTTTTTATCTCCGTTCGGCTTTCTTTTCCCAGCACGATTCTGTTGAAGGCGCCTGTTCTCGCTCTACGACTCATGGTAACATTATTCTTGACGAGAATAGTGAGAAACAGAGTCTCAGCAAGAAAACACAAAACAAAACAAAGCGACAGCCATTTTCAAATTGCAGCCAAAAAAGCCGGAAAAATAAAATAAAAAACGTAACGGAAATGTATGCGAATCGATCGCATCATCATTCGTTGCTGGGGATGATTTGCGATTTTTGATTGGAGTTGCCTTTGATTGTGCTCAGGGTGACGTGCAAAGCGTCGGCGTTAGCTCGAGAAGAGGGAGGATTGCTGCTGCTTATGATTGCTGCTGAAATGGACGGAACGCTTGCTCAAATTCTGAGAATGGCTCAAACACAAAAACATTGTACATGTTGTACATGCTGTGATAGGCAAACCTCACAGGATCCATTTACGAAAAGACGACGGACTTGGTGACGCGCCCGTTGCTGAGCGCCATGACCGTCCACTCGCTGCCCGAATTGCACCAAGACGACATTTTGGCGGCTGCATTGTCACCTGCAAACTCGACAGTTTCGTCCACTTCCTCGTCGGCAATCGCGTCGCCACCGACCAATGGCTCTGCGCCCTCTACGGTGCCCGCGAGTGGACAGCGGTTTGAGTTTGACCTTCCCCCGGCGTACCAGCACTCCTCGCAACGTCGCCCGCGCTCCGACTCGAGCAGCGAAGAAGAGCATCACTCTCCCGAGAGCATGATGCGTGCATCGAGTAAGGAAAAAAATGCGTCCAAGCTTGATTGCTGTCGCATCGCGATGGATGGGTTTCGTGCTCATTTTGTGCTCATTTTGTGCTCATCCCCCAAATCACTCTTTCATCAGTTCGTGTCCGTCTCGATGTGGACCCGGACGAGCATGAGGATATTCCTGGAGACACTGCTTTGAAAGTCAAACGTCGGTACGTTCTACAAAGGCTATGGTTGTTGTAGGAGCCAAAAAAAAAAAAAAAAAAAAAAACAAAAAAAAAAAAACTTTCTGCTCGATAAAAACGAGATTTCTTATGCTTTTGTTTTCTTTGACTGACTTTCTTGTTGTTTCTGTGCTGTCTCAAGTGAGCAAATCAAACGCGCATCCAAGCTCTACCGCGAGCGCAAGAAGCGGAGCGAGCGTCAGCTTGAAGATGAGCTAGATCGTCTCCGCAAGGAAAAGGACGAGTTGTTTGCCGAAAAGGAGCGAGCTCTTCTTCAACTGCGCGTTCTTCAAAACAATACCAGCACGCATGCCAATGCAGGAGTCAACCATGCCTCTGATGTGAGTTTTTCTTGCATCCCGCTTTTTTTCGTTTAGCGACTTTGTGTTGTGGCTTTTTTGGTTGATTCACTGTTTGTTATTTCTCTTTCTCTTCCCCCCCCCTCTCTCTCTCTCTCGCCCAATCACCTTCTTGCAGGTGGAGCAAAGCCGATTGCGCTTGCTCGCGCTTCTCAAGCAGGTATCGCAAGACCCAACCGCAACCGACGAGCAGCTCTTGCAAGTCATTCGGCCTCTGCGTGACACATGCCGAGTGGTCAGCGGAATCGCAATCTGCCACGCTCAACACCTGCTGAGCATGAGGACATCACTGTCGCTCGCCAGCACGTTTCTCAATGACTGCATGTACCTGGTCGAGACGGAAAAGTCAGCCTACGGTTTGGGCGCGTACGCACGGCAAGTACGACACGCCGTCCCTTCCATGTCGCAGACGCAAATCCAGCTGCTAAACACCATCACCGAGCAATACTACTCCGACATTGCCATTCTGCACGCCGAGCGCAAGCAACTCGCTCGCGATCTGGATGCCCACGCCCTCCGCGAAAAGCAGCAGCCCGATGTCATGCTGCAGTCTCAAATTATGCTGTCTCGCCTCACATTGATAGACTGTCTGCGGCGCAACATTCACGCCGAGGTCAACTTGTTTGAGTTTGCCATCGACCAAATCGTGTCCATGCTCTCTCCGCGCCAGCAAGCCCAGCTCCTTTCTCAAATCGATCTCCAGCACACATCTGTTCTTATGCTCAGTGGCTTGCAGGCTGGTATCCGAGCGCAGCAACAGCAAAGTCCAGCCGAATGAGCGCGCGGAGCGGTGGTTTTTTTTTTTTCTGTTTGTCTTTTTTTCTGTTTCTCGTTGCTGTAGTTGACTGGAGTGATTTTTGTCGTTGAGTTCTCCCTCGATTCTCGTGTTGTTTTGCGTGTGTATGCGGATTGTCAGGCTGTGTGCTTGTTTTCTCGAGCAGTAAAGTTGCCTATTGATCATCCAGCCTTCAGCCTTGGAGCGCGGTTTCTGCAGTGGCAAGCTCGTGCGATCGGAGGGCTGGATGCTGGTGTTGGGTTTCCCGATCCTATGGTCGAATCATTCGGATGGGTCGTGCTGGCTTTGATGTCCGCGGCACGCTCGACCATTGACCCTGCGAGCCAAGGCAGGCTTTTGTGGTGGTGGATGTTGTACATTGTTAGTGACACATCTTGATCATCTTTGTGTTCTCTTCCAGCCCCTGCATGCAATTCCGTCGGCTGGGTCCCTGATCATTTTCGTTGACTCACCTTGGAATGGGGGTTGGCTTGTTGTTGTTAAGCGGTTTCCACACTTCTTCTGCTCCCTTTGCAGACCGTCCAGATCAGCTTGTTCAGCGTTCTGACGCCCCACCGCCCTCCGCTGCTGCTGGGTGAGTCGTCCGTCGTCCCGCTGTCTGCTGCTTCGTCCTTCCGTTGGCCGTCTCTCCCCTCCCGCCATCCTCTCCTCTTCTCTCCCTTTCTCCCGCCATCGCCGTGTTGTTTGTTGTTTGAGAATCGGGATGCGGTTGCCTTTTTTTTTTTTTTTTTTTTTTTTTTTCGATTTTTGATTGATTGTCTCCAACCAACCCACCAAAAACCGCCTTCGCTTTTCGTTCCCTCATTTTCTTTGCTCCCAAACACTTCTTCTTCTTCCTCTTCTTCTTTGAGCGAGATCAGCACGATGGTTGCCACGGCGGGTGAGCGTCCATTTCTCGAGTCTCGCTGTTTCTGGATTGTTGTTTGATTTCGATGATGATTTGTTTTATTTCGGTTGGGTTGTTTTTTTTTTCGTTCTTCCCGATTTGGACGAGCGCCATTCGTAATCCAGGTTGGTCTTTTTGGTGAACTTTTTTTTTTTTTTTTTGTCTCTCTTTTTCCATTCAAACTTCAGCCGCGTTTTTTTTTTTTCGTTTTTTTTTTCTTTTCTTTTTTCCCTTCCACCTTTTCTGTTCGCGCTCGTTGCTTTCCGGCGTTGCGACTGCCACCCAACGGCGACCAAACAGCAACATTCCCCAGTGTCGTGTTGAGGGGGACGGCAGAGTGGAGACGGTCAAAAGGCCGAGCGTCAGCAGCTTTTTTTTTTTCAAAGATCGTCCTTTTTTTCTGTTTTTTTTTTCTGTTTGTTTTTTTTGGCCGTTTTTTTTTCGCTTTGCGTCGCTTTGCGTCGCTGCGTTGGCGCAGGCTGCCATCATTGGCGACTTCTTCCGACAGCCTAACGCAACGCTTCTTCGATGAACGGCGGCTCCAACTCGGCCCGTTGTTGGGACTGGCAGCAAAGAAAGCAGCCAAAAAACAAGAAAAAACAATTTTTCGTTTTTTTTTTTTTGCGTCCGCCCGCAGGCTAGCACGGCTGCATTTGCCCGCTGGTCGCACCGACACCCTCGCCTCCGCCGTTTCGAGGTTGGGTGTGCGATCAGTCTCCAGCTCGCTTCGCATCCGCGCGAGAACGCGAGCCCGCCTTCGAAAGAGCGAAAGCCGTGCGCTTTTTTTCATTTTTTTTTCAAAATTTACCTCGTTCGCTTTTATTTCCTTTCCTCTTTTTTTTTTTTTTTTTTTTTTTTCTCTCTTCGCCGTCGTTTTTGTATTGCGGGTGCGCATCGCGGGGCTTGCTGTCGCCGCCTTCCAGCCCGCCGCCTTTGGTCGCCTTCTGCGTTGCTTTTCCCATCGCGCTGGGTGTGGCGATCTGCGTTTGTCGGACGCTCGGATCTAAGCCCCTTTTTATTATTTTTTTTATTTTGACCAAAAGCCACAATAGTTTTTTTTTTAATTCAAACTTTTTTTTTTTCTATTTCAAACAACACAAAATGGGAAAAATATGCAAACACTGGTTTTTTTTTTTTCAATTATGATGATAAAATCGGATTTGTTTTTTGTTTTTTTTTTTTCCACCTTTGATTTTCTTGCGTCGTTCCTGCTTTGCGCTCTTCTTTTTGGCTTTGCTCGCCATCTCCTCCTTCTTGCACTTGGTCCCCTTCGAATGCCGCCCTGTTGTTTGCCTTTCCATTTTTCATTTTTTCATTTTTTTTTTGTCTTTTTCAAACTTTTACTCACCCTTTTCTTTTTCCCCCCCTTCCCCTCTCCTCCTGCAGAAAGTTACCACTCCCCTACCTTCACAATGACTGAACGCGACGACTCTGTCTACCTTGCCAAGCTTTCCGAGCAGGCTGAGCGTTACGACGACATGGCCGAGGCCATGAAGAAGGTTGTCAAGCTCAACCTTGAGCTCACCAACGAGGAGCGCAACCTCCTCTCGGTCGCCTACAAGAACGTTGTCGGTGCTCGCCGCTCCTCGTGGCGTGTCATCTCCAGCATTGAGCAGAAGGAGAGCGACGAGAAGAAGGTAAAAAAAAAAAAAAAAAAACCCCTGTTCTTGGTCTGCCTGGCGCCACAAAAAAAACTCACTCTGCTTGTCTTTTTTTTTTTTCTCTCCGTCAACAGAACGCCCGCCTGAAGGAGTACCGCTCCAAGATTGAGGCAGAGCTCCGAACTGTCTGCAACGACGTTCTCGGCCTCCTTGACAACCACCTCATCCCCCACGCTGAGAACGCCGAGTCGAAGGTCTTCTACTACAAGATGAAGGGTGATTACTACCGCTACCTTGCCGAGTTCACCTCTGGCGAGGACAAGAACAACATTACCAAGCAATCCGAGACCGCCTACCAAGAGGCCTTCAACGTTGCCTCCAAGGACATGCCCCCGACCCACCCCATCCGCCTTGGTCTGGCCCTCAATTTCTCGGTCTTCTTCTATGAGATCCGCAACTCGCCCGAGCGCGCTTGCCAACTCGCCAAGCAGGCTTTCGACGACGCTATTGCCGAGCTCGACACCCTTTCTGAGGACTCGTACAAGGACAGCACACTGATCATGCAGCTGCTCCGAGACAACCTTACCCTCTGGACTTCTGATGCCCAAGGCGACGATGCCGACCGTCAGTAAATTTCCTTGAAGAAAGTGTTTCAAGGCTTGTGAAAAAAATCAATTCGAGCGTCAAAAAAACCCAAAAAAATGTTTTAGCATCTTTTCTCTTCCTTATTTTTCAAGTCATTTCCTTTTTTTTCTTCCAGAGTCTGGTGAGCTTTTTGCAGCTAGGGTGGCTGTGCTATCAATGGTGCGTGTGGTGAGCGGCGGGCTTTTCGAGCATTGGCGATTTTTTTGTATATTTTGTGCAAAAATCCCTCTTGCCTTGAACTTGCTTCACCCTTTGGCACGTTGTTGGCAGTTGCCCCTGCGACCCCTTTTCAAGCTGTGTCTCACGACAATGTATTCTGGTGAATTTGAACGAAATGACTCGGCTTTCTCTTCTGGATGCTTTCGTTCTTCTATTTTTTTTGGTCGCTTTTTTTTTTTTTTTTTTTTTCCCTTGTTTTGTTTTGTAGTGTTGTGCATGATTCTTGGGTGACATTTTTTTGCTTGCTTGCTTGTCGGTTTTTTTTGTTTGTCTTGTTTGGTAATTCAAGTTGGTAACTCGATAGTTTTTTTCTTCTTCTTCCAAAATCTTCCAACAAATCTGAGCATCTGCGTCTTTTTGCATTTTACTATTTGATTTTTTATATTGTAATTTCACTTTTTTTTTTTTTTTTTTTTTTTTGGTTTTTTGGTTTTTCTTTTTTGTGGCTGCAGACTTTTCCGCTTTCAGCCGCTCGGTCGAATCAAGGCCTTTGTCTCCAAATCACACATCACGCAGCCTTGCCTCTCTTCTTGATGTCTGCGCCCCACCCGACGCGACGCCCGCCGCCGCCGCCGCCAGTCCGGGCTGCGTCGACCAAGCTCGTTCCAGCAGCTGACCGACCTGCGGCGGCTCTGCTCTCGACACTCCCGCTGCTGCTGCTGCTGCTGCTACAACTACGACGGCTACTACTGCTGCGCATGCATCCCCACTCGCGTCCGATGGGGCGACCAACGGCGACGACGACGCTGCCACCCAAGATTTGGCCAGTGATAAGCACAATCACCAATCTCAACCGCAACAGGGCGAGGCCGACGCCAGTGCCAGTGCCAGTGCCAGTGCCACCCAGGACCAAGAGCAGCCCGATGATGCGCACGCCCGCAATGGTGATGCCGAGCCAGTCCAGGCGAGCCCGGGCGCCGCAGAAGATGCACAACAGCAGAGGGAAAGCGTCTACGATGACGGTCCGCCGCCAACGCCGCCGCCCAGAGCAGATGATCAGAACGAAGCCGGCAGCAGCAGGCCACCCACGCCGCCTGCACGCGCATTGGATGAAGGCGTCAGCGGGGATGCTGTTGCTGAGTCACGACCAGCACACAGCGCATTTGCCGCTACGTCCGTCGACACCGAGGCAGATCTCGCCCCGCATGATGCAGCCTCTTCCGCGACCGATGCAAACACAGTCGACGACGGCGAGCCCGGCGGAAGTCGAGCCCCGACGCCTCCTCCACGCTCAACCACCGGATCGGTCGACGATCTGGCCAATTTGAGCCGCGCCCCGACGCCTCCTCCGCGCTCCACCACGGGCTCCGTGGACGATCTGACTCATCCAAGCACTGCAGACTTCTCCAAACCACTCGTCAACGGCAATGACGCTACTGCCGCGGCTCCTCCGATTCAGGAATCCGCGCGCTCTCTGGCCGGCTCGCTGTCGGATTTAACAGCAACGAGCGGTGTCTCCACACCGTCGTCCGAAAAGTCACACTCGCGTCCCATCAGCGCCGAGTTTGATGCCGTGCAGGTCCAGGCTTCGACCAAGGCCATCGGAACAGCGCCTGCCAAGTTTTCACGGCCAGCACCGCCGAACGCTTCCAAGCACGTCAAGCGACGATCGATTGGTAATGTACTTGACACCACCACTGCAGATACGTTTGCCGCGCCAGTCACTGCTGCTGCTGCTGCTGCTGTTGCTGCTGCTGCTGCTACTACTACTACTGCTGCTACTACGACTACTACTGCGGCCGCGGCGACGTCCACCCCTGTCGCGGCCCCTTCAAAGCCAACGCCAGCTCCTACCACAAAGCCCACCCCGGCCACCCCTGCAACAGCTCCCGCAAAGCCCACTCCGCCCACGGCCGTGCCTGCAGGACCCGTTGTGACGAAAAACGCCCCGCCTCCGTCCCCACCCACTTCTGCAGGCTCAAAGCCTGCCGTGCCTGCGACCAAACCATCGCGAGCCTTTGTTGAGGCAAAACTGCAGCAATCTCGGGCGCGACCCCCACCTGCGCAGCCGCTCTCAACAGAGCCAACCACGCAGCTCTCGGCGGCATCGCGCCAACGCGCCAACAAGATTTCGCCTGCTGTCTCGACCGAAGATATTATTGCCCAAATTGTCGCCAGCAACGAGGCAGCCATTTCACCCGTCGTTGACCAAGCGACTCTGAGGCGCGCTATTCTCGCCGAGTCCGCCAAGGGCTCGCGCACTGGCTCGCGCATGTCGTACATTGACGATGGAAATAGTGGAGGCGGCACGGTGGCATCGCGCAAGTCCATGTATGGCGGCGACGCGGTAGGAGTATCGCCTTCCCAATCAAAGACTCGCTCCAGCATTCCCACCAACACCAGCAGCAGCAGCAACAACAACAGCAACAACTCGCCGAGCGTCTCTCCGGCTTCAGCTCGTGTTTCTTCCGGCATTAACGGCTTGAATTTGGACGGACCTTCCGCGGCCAAGATCCAATCGCCTTCTTCCCGACCGCCACCAGCTGCCATTACAAGCGCACCACTCTCCAGCAGCAGTTATGCCTCTTCGCGGTCCAATTCTGCTCACGGGTCGATGACAGACCTGTCATCCACCGTTCTAGTCCTTCCTGGCTCGTCCTATGCCAAGTCACTTGCTGCTGCTGAGGAATCAGCGGTAGCAGCACCTGTTGCGGAACCAGCGGTAGCAGCACCTGTTGTGGAAACGGCTTTGTCTGACGCCGTGCCGTCGTCAACGCCCGAGCCAGCTGTGCCCACAACTGTTGCCTCCCCGTCATCTGCTGAGCCAGCTAAACCCGCGCGTGTTCCTCCGCCAGCTCCCCCACGCTCCGGCGATCCTGCGCGCCCAGCAAAGCCTCCAAAGCCGCCAATTAACAGTCGGGGCTCGCCTGTCGACAGAGCCAATACGCCCATTCAAGAATCAACAACAACAGCAACAACAACAGCAGCAGCATCAAGCGACACGCCGGCCGAGGCAACACCGGAAGGAGAAGATTTCCGCGTCCGCGTCAAACCCATGTTCCAGGCGGCGAGCGTAAAGCGTAACCGCAGTGGGGCTGGGCAATACCAGCATGGCGTCGGCGACGCTGATGCAGTTCCGCAAGTTCCGCAGGTCCCGCAAGTTCCACAGGTCCCTCAAGTTCCCGAGGTCCCGCAGATTCCCGAAGCGGGCGAGGACGGGGCCAGTGCGTCGAGCGAACCTGCTGCGCCGACCGAAGAAGAGCGAGCAGCCAAGGACCTCAAGCGGCGTGAAACGCGTGCGAATGTCGTCGCCGAGATTGCCAAGACAGAGGGGGATTACGTGGGCGATCTCAAGCTAGTGATTGATGTAAGTGCTGGTGTGGCGGGAAATGGGAAAGGGGGAAAGGTTTGCTCTACCCTTTTCGTGGACTTGTCGTGAAAAAATGCATTCGCCAACACCCATTTCGTCATCTGATGATGCTTTGACAGGGTTATTTGAAGCCCATGGTTCAGCGCGACATGCCTGCCGATCTCATTCAGCGTCTGTTCGCCAACATCGAGGACATGCTGGCGTTCCAAACCAGCTTCCTGGCGTCCATTCAAGACTGCGTCCAACCCAGCCCGAGCTACGAGAGCATGCTGGGTGCTTGCTTCTCAAAACATGTAAGTGATGGAGGAAAGAAATTAGCTTGTTCGGGATGCGCTGCCCAAAAAGTGCCTCACTTGCTTGTTTTTTGCTCCGAGAGCAGAAAGAGGGATTTAAAATGTACTCGGACTACTGCAACAACCATCCGGAGGCCGTGCAGGAGATGATTCATTTGCGCAAAGACGCGCAGCTCAAGGCCTTCTTTATGGTTGGTGTTTCAAATGCATTAGGATTCACCTCCATCGACTCTTTGCTCACCGCACTGAACACGCTTTGTCTCCTTTTGCATTGCACAGGGCTGCCAACTCATTGCAGGTGCCCACATTTCGCTGGAAGGGTTCTTGCTGACTCCGATTCAACGCATTTGCAAGTATCCCTTGCTCTTGAAGGTACGGACGTCTTTTCTTCTGGAAGTCGGCGCTTTCATGAGTGCCTGTCGTGTTTCTTGTCCTCATCGTGTGTTGCCTTGTTGCTCTCTTTGACAACCGACAATGCAGGAGCTGCTAAAATACACCCCAGACGACCATCCCGATCACGGCAATGTTCTTGCGGCGCTGGACGCCATGAAAGAAGTCGCGGTCGAAATCAACGAAGCCAAACGTCTCTTGGAGGAGTATGAAAAGATGGTCGAGTGGCAGACGACAGTTGATGGCTGGGAGGTAAGGCAGAGCGAAAGGATGCTTTGTTATCACGGCGTAAAAAAATGCCGTTCTTCTGCTCCGTGAATCTAACCTTCTCTTCATGCTGCTGTAATCCGGCACCGCAAACAAACCATTTATAGGGGCCTGACATTACGGAAACCTGCACAGAGCTCATCCGCGAAGGTGCACTGGTGAAAATCTCCCATGGACGTGCGCAAGAGCGCTCCTTCTTTTTGTATGATTCGCTACTTGTCTACGGCAAAAAGGACAACAAGCGCCTTCAGTTCAAGAGCCGGTTGCCAACAAACTTGTTTGCGATTGAGGATATTGCAGACGGTGCAAGTAAGTTTGGGGGACGCATTTTTGTCGTGCTCTCTGTCTGCTTGTTGCCAGTCAATCTCATCGTGCATGTTGTCGATGTAGTCTCTCAGAGCGGCACACCAGTGACCAATGCATGGCGTGTTCACCGCAAAGACAAAAAGAGCAAGACGTACGTTCTGATCGCCAAGAACATTGCCGAGAAGCAAAAGTGGCTCGATGCATTCCGGCTCGAGCAAGAAAAGACCGCCGCCCGCACCGCGCGTGTTGCCGAAATGGCCGAGAAGCGGATGGAGAAGAAGCGCCCGACACTTCGTAAGTGCAGCTGCACTGGTTTTTCTTTTGTTCTATGTGTGTTTTTTGTAGTGCACCAAAAGCTGTCGTTTAACTTGTTTGGTTTTGCTCGGTCTTTCTTCGACAACAGGAAAGAAGGGTATGCTGCAACCCGCGCCAACGTTGGCTGCAGTCGCTTCGACCTCGCCCATGAATTCGCCCGGACCCGCTTCACCTCTACCTGCTGGTGTGAATAGCCCCACCTCGTCTTCGCCCCCGTCGGCAGGGTTTGGTGTGAGCAACATGGCGAAAAAGTCCTCCCGCGGCAACTGGTTTTCCATCAAGGGCAAGAGCAGTAACACCAATCTGGCATCGACAGAGCAGGACTCGGGCACTCCTGTCGACGAGCCAGGCAGTCCTTTGGAAGACTCTCCTGGCCAGACAAGGAAGGGTTCCAAGGGCTCCAAGTTCCGAACTGACAAAGAGTAAACCGAGTTGACCTTGGTGTTTTTTTCTTTTTTGTTTTTCTCTCGCTTGCTTTTGTGGCTGGTGTGAAGGATGATGGTGTTGTCATGTGAAGTGTTTGCACTTTATCTATGTGTTGTTTTCGAGTTGTGAATTTAAGAACAAGCCTCAAAGAAAAAAAAAACAGACACACAACCACACAGACAATGATCAAAGCCAAAATGAAACAATACGCCACATCGATCGGTGGTTACGCTCGCCCGCCTCATTAAGCACGAACGGGCTCTGCGGAGGAAGCGTCACTCTCCACCTCTGCTGACTCGGTAGCACGCACAGGGCCTTGGTCAAAGTTGGGCTCTTTGCCAACGAGGCCTGCAAGTTTGCAAGAAGTGAGTTGGCAATGTGTAGAGAAAATTAGATGGGCAATCAGCCTACTAAACCAACAAGAAGCAGAACGGACGCTTACCAAGCAAGTTGAACAGGGTCTGATCATCATTGAAGGCGTTGTTGGCGGTGGTGAGCAGCTTATCGCCGGTGAAGATTGAGTTGGCGCCAGCAAAGAAGCAGAGCGCCTGCTCGATGGGAGTAAAATTGACGCGGCCCGCAGACAGGCGCACCATCGACCCGGGCATCAGAATGCGGGCAGTCGCAATCATGCGCACCATTTCCCAAATCTTGACCTTCTCACGGTCGCCCAGGGGTGTGCCTGGAACCGGGACCAGCGCGTTGACCGGGACGGATTCGGGGTGGGTCGGGAGCGTTGACAGTGTGTGCAAGAGGCCGACGCGGTCGTTGAGGTCCTCGCCCAATCCAATGATGCCGCCAGAGCAGACGGAAAGACCGGCATCGCGAGCGTTTGCGATCGTGTTTAGTCGTTCGTCGTATGTTCGCGTGGTGATAATCTTGGGGTAGAATTCGCGCGACGTGTCGAGGTTGTGGTTGTAGGCAGTCAAGCCGGCGTTCTTGAGTTGCACGGCTTGCTCGGGGCTCAGCATGCCGAGGGTCGCACACACCTCGAGGCCCATGCTGCGGACCTCGCTCACCATCTCCAGAACGTGCGCAAAGTTGGACTTTCGGTGAATGACATCACGCCACGCAGCACCCATGCAGAATCGCGTGCTTCCAGCCTCTTTGGCCTTTCGAGCGGCGTCTACGACACTTTGGAGCTGCAATGCCAGATGGTGAGTTGGTCGCGAAAAAAAAAAAAGAAAAAAAGAAAGAAACACACACACACACACACACACACACACACACACACACACACACACACACACACACACACACACACACACACACACACACACACAAACGCCGGCGGTTTGCGTGTTACCTGCATCAAGCGCTCGGCCTTAACGTTGGTTGTGTATTTGGAGGATTGCGGGCAGTAGGCGCAGTCTTCCGAGCATCCACCGGTTTTGATGGACAACAGCGTGCATTGCTGCACCTGGCGTGGGTCGTGGTGCGTGCGATGGACGGTTGCCTGGAAGCCAGAACCAGAACGTGTGCAATGCAAGGTGTGAGCAACAAAAATGAGACGTTCTGCAGCCAAAGTCAAGCAAACGGCAGCACAATACAAAGACCCAAAACGCCATTTTTTAAAAGCGCGTGTGCGTGTGCTACTTTTGTTGGTGGGGGCAATGCCTTACCGCGCGGTACATCAGATCGAGCAGGGGAGTGTCGAAAATCTCCTGAATCTCTGCGCGCGTCCAGTCGTGACGGATGCGAATGTCACGCCGGGCGGTTTCCGTGAGCTCGTTGAACGCCTCGTTGGTCGTCTTCTTCTTTGGGGCCGTTGGTGGCTGTGCGTTGATGGACGATGCGTGACCACTGGCAGCAGCAGCAGCAGCAATGTCTGCGTTTGGCTGCTTTGGCGCATGGCAGCCGCCGCCGCAGCACTCTGTCTTTGCACTCGCGCTTGCAGACTGGTGACGAACGCCGCCGCTCATCGTCATTGCCATCGCCATCCTCATCATCGGCTGGGTGGCTGCGAGCACGGCGGCTTGGGCGTGGAGGACACCTGTCGGCTTTCGCAGCAATCGCGCCTATTCCAAGCCAAGCAGCAGCAATCCAATTCAGTTCAATCCAAGTTCAGCACTCTGATTCATGATCATCAAAACGCTTCCATTCGTTTTTGCTTTTCAATCTTTCGCTGATCATTCGAAAGTGACCAAAAATACAATAAAAAAAAATCAATTATTAACCGTGACTTTTTTTTTTCTTTTTTTTTTTCCATTGATTTTTCCACTGATTTTCCATTGATTTGGAATCAATGACTCTTTTGGATTGCCGACTCTTCCGTGTCTGTTGACCGTGTTCGCTGCATCAGCTGAAATTCAAGTCCTCAGCTATCGGTTTTGTTGTTTGTTGTTGTTCTCTCATTCATCACAAAAGCCAGACGAGCAGCAAACAAACACACACACAACAGAGTCGTTGGAGCGCGATAAGCCTGGTTTTTTTTTCAATGTCATTTTTGCGCTTCTTCCCAATATTTTTTTTTTTTTTACCACAGTCACAGTCGAAACAAGCATGTTGCCGGTAAAAATAAAAAAAAAAAATGTCAAAAAGAATGAGTGAGTCGAGACGTGAATGTACGAAACGAATTCAGATGCAGAGGAGTCAGGAATCGAGAGCAACACTTTTTTTTTTCTGCCGTGGTTGCCGGGAGCATTTTAGTTTTCCGAGGAGCAACAGTTGGTTTTCGCCGCCAACCGTAGAACAACACTTTTGGAAATAAGGGGAGTTGGAATCGAACAAAGACAAGGAGAGGGTCGCAGAGAAAAGATGAGATGGGAGGGAATCCGGACTTAAGCAAGGACGCTTCACTCGCCAACACTTTCGACGACGCCCTTTTCTTGACTGCACAGAGTTGCGAGATTCTGTTTGCGCTTCCAGCAGGCAGCAAAAACTGCACAACGACCATCTTGCACTTTCAGCCCGGCGCGCGAGGGCAGGTAGCAACATCATCCAAGTACAGCGATCACAAATATCAAAAAAGGATCAAAAGACAAGCAGCAACGAGAATGACAGAACAAGGGGGCAAGCATCATTTCATCGATCAACTGCGCGAGAGCTTAAAGGTCGACGTCATCGAGCTCCTCATGGAGTTCGCCCAGTTCGTGTACATAAAGGAGCTCGAGTAAGTTGGCGCACCATCCCTTAATTTAGTTTTGATTCTTCCTTTTCCACCCGTTCATTCTTTAGCGATGGTCCTCACCCTTGGAGACGTTATTGATGGCAACTCTCTTCTCAAAGACACATTGGCTCTGCCGGAAGACAACCCTTTGCGCAAGTGGCAGGTCACCGACGTCGTTCTCATCGACAAGGACCCGTTCCAGCGCGCTGTGCTGGCCGAGCTACCCCCGGACCGTGCTGCGACCCAACGACGACTGGCTGCTCTCAGTCTTCTTCAACGGTTGCTGGAGCAGGAGGTGGGTGCACCCAGAACTCTGATTGCTCAGCCGCGAGAGTTCGATACTCGCTTCATGGGCGTCGTGAACGGCGTACTCGCCCTCAAGGATGGCGCTGTCGTTTCGACTTGCTATGGCAAGAGCAAGTTCTCTGACGCCCTTACTACCATGGATGGCTTGAAAACATATCTCCAAGACCGTCTCGGCGACCTCTCTCTCTTGCAAGTCACGACGCTTGATCTCTCCGGGAACGAGCTGCTGAATGAGGACCTGCCATACGTGTGCGATGTTGTCAATGCACTCCAGTGCCCAGTCGTCAAGTTGCGCTCAAATCGGTTTGGTATGGGTCAGCCAAGCACGGAACTCAACTCGCCTGTCCATTACCTCGCTTCGATGGCAGCGTCAGCGTATGTTCGGTTTGTGGACATCGTTGGCAACTACGTCGTTGGTGTTGAGTGGGCACCAGCGTATCAGAGGTTTGCGAACCCGACAACCTGGCACAAGTTGGTCTACATCCCGCTTGTCTGGCTGAAAGGTCATGATTGGACCAAGCCGGACATCTGCGGTCAGTATGTTACAGCCGCCAAGGACTGCCACGAGGATTTTTATTGGGCCAATCTGAGCGATCCCGTCTTTTCACGTTCCGATCCGCTGCCGGCCCTCAATTAAGCTGGTTTGCCTGGGAACCTGGTGTGGATGCGTTTGTGTCGCGGCAATTGCCGCAGCTTTCAATGTCGAAAATGTTGTCTTCGTTTTTTGTTGTGGGAGGTCACGTCGAGGACTTTTCCTTTGGCTTGGCAGGAAACAATGAAACCATTCTCAAAAAAAGCTCTTCAGTTGAGGGTGTTCAGGATCGCGGTTCGCAGCTTGGCATACACGAAAAAGTATGGTCGAGGTGAATTCTTGCAAATGCTCGTGCGTGCGCGTTGGCATGCTTCAGCTGACTTTGCATTGTGCTGCACACGGAGAAAACAAAAGTGAAGGGATTGTTTATTGTGGATACGGATGTAACAAAAAAAAAAGAAGCTCCAAACGAAGGGCGGAGGGAGACAGCAACAACAACAACTCGCCAACAGAACAAATAAAAAAGGGGGACCATTTGCCTGCTGTCGCTGTTTGGCTTGCTTTTAATAGACACGGAGAGTGGGAGGAACAGGCTTGCATTCCTTCTCATCAAGAGTGTCGTCGATAACAGGGCGGTAGTCAAGTTGGACACGGCCAGTGAGGGGATCGATGGTCGACAACGTGTGCTTGCGCCAGTGCTCGTTGAAGGGTCGCTTTGTTTGACCAGCGAGAGGCTTGGAATAATCAAACTCGTCCGAGCGAGCCTTGTAGTCCTCGCGGGCATGAGCACCGCGCGACTCCTTGCGCGCCTCAGCCGAAATCATGGTTTGGGCGGCGTTGATCATCAAGTTTTGAAGCTCGAGCGTCTCGATCAAGTCCGAGTTCCAGACCATGCCTGGTTGGTGCAATTGCAGAAGAGGAGTGAGTGAGCGAATGAGAGGGGGCCCACGAGCAAATAAGCGGCCAACAAACAAACAAAAAAAAATCCAGCACTCACCTCGGTCGTGAACCTTCAGGTCAGCCATCTCAGAGTAAACGTCGCCAATCAGCTTGCAGCCTTCTTGCAAGACATCGCCCGTTCGGAAGACGGCAGCGTGCGTTTGCATGACCTGTGTGAGGAGAACAAGAAAAAAAAAAAAAAAAAAAACGGCAGTCCAAACTGAGTCTCCAGAACAAGCAACCTCAAAGTCAAAGACTCAAAACCCCGCAGTGACTCTCACCTTTTGCATCTTCAGACGAAGTGCGGCAGTGGGAATACGGCCGTTGGCGTAGCGGAGAGCGTCGAGGTTGGCAATGGACTGCTCGCCAGCACCCTTGGGCAGAGCGCGGTGGGGAGTGCCGGGCTTGGCGTTGGCGGCAATGTGGTTGGCGCAGGCGCGGCCAAAGACGACAATGTCGAGCAGAGAGTTGGCGCCGAGACGGTTGGCGCCGTGCACGGAAGCGCAGGCGGCCTCGCCGGCGGCGTAGAGGCCCTTGACGATCGAGTCCTTGCCGTTGGCGTGCGTGAGCGCCTGGCCGTAGTAGTTGGTCGGGATGCCACCCATGTTGTAGTGGACGGTGGGGAGCACAGGGATGGGCTCCTTGGTGACGTCGACGCCCGCGAAAATGTGGGCAGTCTCAGAGATGCCGGGCAGACGCTCGGCGAGAATCTCGGCGGGGATGTGCGAGAGCTGGAGGTAGACGTGGTCCTGCTCGGGGCCAACGCCACGGCCCTCGCGGATCTCGATCGTCATGGCGCGCGAGACGACGTCGCGCGAGGCGAGGTCCTTGGCGGTCGGGGCGTAGCGCTCCATAAAGCGCTCACCCTTGCTGTTGAGCAGGTAGCCACCCTCGCCACGAGAGCCCTCGGTGATGAGGCAGCCCGCACCGTAGATGCCGGTGGGGTGGAATTGGACAAACTCGAGATCCGAGAGCGGCAGGCCGGCACGCGAGACCATGGCGTTGCCGTCACCAGTGCAGGTGTGCGCAGAGGTGCACGAGAAGTAGGCGCGTCCATAGCCGCCGGTGGCGAGGACGGTGTTGTGCGAGCGGAAGCGGTGGATGGAGCCGTCCTCCATGTTGATGGCAATGACGCCGCGGCACTCGCCATTCTCCATGATCAGGTCGAGGGCAAAGTACTCGATAAAGTACTGCGTGTCGTAGCGGAGCGACTGGCCGTAGAGTGTGTGCAAAAGAGAGTGGCCGGTGCGATCGGCGACGGCGGCGCATCGCTGCGCCTGGCCGCCCTTGCCATAGTTGAGGGACTGGCCGCCGAAGGGGCGTTGGTAGATCTTACCCTCTTCCGTGCGCGAGAATGGCACGCCGTAGTGCTCGAGCTCGACGACGGCCTGGGGCGCCTCGCGGGTCATGTAGTGGATGGCGTCCTGGTCGCCGAGCCAGTCGCTGCCCTTGACCGTGTCGTACATGTGCCAGCGCCAGTCGTCGGGGCCCATGTTGCCGAGCGCGGCGTTGATGCCGCCCTGCGCCGCAACCGTGTGCGAGCGTGTTGGGAAGAGCTTGGTGATGCAGGCCGTCTTGAAGCCCTGGCTGGACAGGCCGAACGCGGCGCGCAGGCCAGCACCGCCGGCGCCCACAACGACCGCGTCAAAGTCGTGGTCGATGATTGGGTACGCCTTGGACAGCTGATCCTTCGGGGTGGCAGCAGCAGCAGCAGCAGTGCGGCTGGGCACATTGGCGCCAGTCGCAAACCCGCGCGCAAGGGCAGTCATCCTCGGAACGAGGCTCTGAAAGTCCAGTCCAAAAGGGGCACAGGTGAGCACAAGACACACCAAAAGAGCACGATCAGCATCCAATTGCAGAGACGCAGTGCGAGTGCGTGCGTGCGAGTGTGGCAAAGTGCGAGTGATGATTGGAAAGAAGAAGAAGAACAAGAACAAGAAGAAGAAGAAGAAGAAACGGAAGATCGCCTTTTTTTTTTTTTTTTTTTTTTTTTTTTTTTTTTTTTTTTTTTTGAGTCAATTGTCATTTGATTGAACAAAAAGAAGAGCGATTTTTTTTTTTTTTTTTTTTTTTTTTTTTGGTTTGAGAAGGTCGTCAAACCAAGCGCTCGTCGGCTGGAATGATGAGAGGCACGACTACAGCATTTGGTACGTTGAATGGCTTCGAGTGTTGTTGAACAAAACCGGGGCGGCTGGAAAACCACGAGAAAAAAGCGAACAGAAAAAAAAAAAAAAAAAAAAGGTTGTTCGACTTACACGCGATGCAGCAAGCATTTTGCAATGGATTTCTAAGCAAAGGTTGAGGACTGGATTACAACGTGAAGGAGTGGAAATAATGAATACAAGGAATAACAAACAATAATATTGGAGCAAAAAGCAAATGCACAAAAGCAAGACTTTTGACAGTAGTTTGGATTTTAGGGGGGAAAAAAACAACGCAAACGACAGCAGAGCAACAACAAATGTGGTGGAATTTTAACAAACAAAGGAATCAAACAAAAACAAACATACAAGGCAGGGGCAGAGGGAGCGAGAACGAGGTGGGTAACACAAACCCAAACTTCCCGCCGGCACAAAAAAAGCAAACGCCAGCTTGTCTCTCAATCCTCGGCACGAAGGGGCAGCGTCATAAGATGCTCAAGAGCCTGCATGGCGGCCAGCTTGCCGTCGAGCAGGTCGCCAATGGCTTTGAAAATGGGCAGATCGAGCTTCTCGCGCGCTGCGAGCCGCACAACCGCGCCAGCGGTCGGAACACCCTCTGCAACCTCGGCCATCGACGCGAGAATCGCCTGGAGCGTTTCTCCCTTGCCGAGTCGGTAGCCGACCGTGCGATTTCGGGACATGGCCGAGTGGCAGGTCAGCATCAGGTCGCCAAAACCCGAGAGCCCAGCGAGCGTCTCGGGCTTGCCTCCGAGCTGGATGGCAAGCTTTTTCATCTCAGAGCAGCCGCGCGTCACAAGAATGGCAAGTGCGTTGTTTCCAAACCCCATGCCGTGGATGACGCCTGCGCCGATGGCCAGCGGGTTTTTGAGTGCGCCGCCAACCTCGACGCCAGTGACATCGTCGGTCGTGTAGACACGGAAGGTGGTCGAGGACATGAGGCACTGCACACGCTGGGCGACCTCGGTTGCCACGGACGCGACAACGACTGCCGTGGGCAGATTTTGAATCACCTCTTTGGCAAAGGAAGGGCCGGACAGGTAGGCGAGTGGCTGGTTGGTGCGACCGAGCGCCTCGGGGATCAAGTCGCTCATGAGCTTGAGCGACTCGGTCGAGATGCCCTTGGATGTCGAGATGATTGGCACGTCCGCGGGAATAACCGTCTTGCGGTGCTCGAGGAAGTCAAAGGTCGTCTGCGCCGGGATGGCGTGGAAGATGAAACTGACGCCGGCCAGCGCTTCGTTAATGTCTGTAGTCGCAGTGACGTTGTGGGGCAGTGGCAGATCGCCAATGTACTTTGAGTTGGTGTGCTGGGTGTTGATTTCGTTGGCAACCTGAGCGTCTCGGACCAGAATGGCAACGCGATGCCCATTTCGGGCGACTGCAACGGCCATCGCCGTCCCGAACGACCCGCCGCCAAACACGGCAACCTGATCAGAAAATCAAGAGTCAGAGAAATCAGAGGCGGGATGAGTTCACCACGGTTGCACAATCAACAAACCGCAATGGATCGGAAACCAAAGCGACAAAGCAGAGCGGGGTGACGCAGAATCAGATTTCAATTTGGGGGAAGTGAGTTTCAGCCAAGGGGTTGTGCAAAGCGCGCCCGAGCGAGAGAGTAGAGTGGCGTGTGTAGGTCGAACGAGATGGGGAATGGCTGTGGCGGCGGGTTTCAGTGGGGAGTGCATGGAAGCAAAGTGGCTGCAAATTGAAGCGATTCTCCTTTTGAATGATAAAAAAAAACATTGGATTGAAAGGAGCAAGCGATACGGCCGAGTTCACTGTTCACACTCGATCTGGTACCCCTGCTTGCGCTACTCTTCAGTTCACCCTTCTTTGCTTGTTGTTTTCCCTTTCGACCTCGGCGACGCTATCCAGCAAAACCGAGCTCAAGCTTGCTGTTCCACGTGTGTCATGGAGCTCTTTTTTTCTTGTTTCCGGCTTTTGAGTTTTTTGGGGGGTTGTTTTCCTGGTTTTTTTGTACCTTCTGTGGTGGAAGCTGAACGATCGGCTTTGACATGATGCCAAGGGCTACAGAAAGAGGACTCATGTTGACCATATCTGCTTCCTTGAACAGCTATTGGAAAAAACTAAGATAAAAAAAAAACTAACAAAGAGAATAGAAAAAATGGATGCAGCAAATGTTGCGAGAAGAAGGGAGGTAGAGCAGCAAGCAAAAATAGAAGAGTAAAGGACAAAGAAATCCTAATGCAAAAGCACAGAGCCAATGTATTTTTCTGGTTTTTTGGTGTTTTTTTCAAAGACACATGTGCTGGTTTTTAGTGGCAAGCACACACACAGCCACAATTCAGCTGGGGTCACATCTCTCTCTCTCTCCCTCTTTTGCAAATGCTCAGCGCGGGAAAATGCTCCTAATTCAGAAGCGGACAGCTGCCAGTCTAAAACCGCAGCCGCCATCGTTCCATTCGCCCCAGTCTCGCTTTGGCCACCACTGATCTCCTCCTAAGATTGACGCTCGAGTAAACTACTTCATTCATGTTTGGCTGTCTTGCGTCTGGCCGGCTGGTAAGCAACGAGAAACGCCCTTTTGAATCCATCTGCTCCAAAACGCATGTGGCCCAAGCGCCACCCTCGACTCTTTCTGACCGCCGGGACTTTTGCCGGTTTTGTGTGTCTGTGTGTGTACTTGCATGTGGCCACACGAGGGGAAAACCCCCTTGTGCTGGGTATCGAGTGGCCACCGAAATCCACAACTTTATGAGATTTTTTGTGTGTTCAGTCACAGTGTGTGGAAAAGCAAGAGAGCGCCAACATCACAAAAACAATCCTCAAACACAATCCACAATGATTTCACAGCACTGCATGAAGAAATGAGTTGTATGGAGTCTTTGTAGGGGATGCTACTGAACCTCAATGGCTGAACGGAACGCTAACTGTGTGAAACGGGGCAAAACGCAGGTCCAGACAGAGCCAGTCGCAGTCGACCCCGCGCGAGTCGTCTTCACCATCGACGATGCTGACAAGATCAACCACTTGGTCGTCTTCCTGCTTGGGCACATCCCATTCGACGAAGGCTTTGGTGGAGCGGTGAGGGGACGCCCTGTCAGAAGGAAAATGGGGGTTTCCTACTGACTGGTGCTGCGTCGTCGAGCCATTGTATTGCATTGTGCACTCACTCAGCCACGGTCCTGCTTGTTGAAAAAAAAAACCTTGTGCTCCAATACGCCGCCGTGTGTCCAGGTCTACTTTGGATGGCCGTCCGCGGAGGGGCCCGTCTGGCAGTACCTTGGCTTCATTTCCAACTTGAAGCCCAGCGCCATCTTTCGCGTCTCCAAGACACGACCGACGCAGTCGGAAGCTGCTGCGCCGTTTGCCAGCATGTACCAGAACGCAGCGCCTATGGGCGGCTTCCAGCAGAATTTTGGTGGCTCCATGATGGACTCCGAGCAAGCGCAGTACCCCGCGTACATGTACGATGCGTCGTCCATCCAAGCACAAGTCGGCATTTCCATAGAGCCCCTCGACGACATTGCCCAGCAAACCCCACTAGCGGACGAGGCATCACAGGCAGGCGGAATGATTGGATTTACGCAAGCGATGCTCGCCAACTTTTTCAACTATGCCATGTCGTTTTCTACTCCTACGCCCAAGTACAACGAAGTAAGATGTGTGGCTTTGCTCAAGGGTGGTCGGGAAGAAGCTGGGGAGGATTGGGGGTTGAGGGCTGGACGATGCTGCGATTGCAACAGCTCGATTTTCTGACCGGTTTTTGTTCTGCTCGCTTTTCTTCTTCTTCTTCTCCTCTTTCCCAATCTTCCTTGTGTCTACTTGACTCTACCACAGGAGTATGTACCAACAAGCGTTGTCAAGCAATGGTACGAATCCTTCGAACGGAAACTGGCGCTAAATCCAAATTTCTGGAAGCAGTAGTGAATAAACGATTGGGTTGTACTTTTTGTGTTTATCCTTCCGTTGTTTTCGAGCATGAGGTTGGTCGCACTTGCTCGAATGTATATCACAAAGCCATTTCGTGTATGCGAGAGGCAAGGAATCGGGTGAAGCTCGTTGCACCTTGAAACCGAGTTTCTTCCATTCCAAAAAGAAAAAAAAATACGCCTTGCTGGCCTCGATGCCGAGGTGTCCTCTCGGTCTCCATGAACGCATAGCCCAGAATCAATACCATCAGCCCCCATTACCAACACACCCGTCCTGCTTGTCCTGTCGATTGGTGTTTTTTTGGGGGGGGGGTTTTTGGCGGGAAAAACAATTTCCAGTCCTATTCTTCCCATTTCACGATGCGACTTGACCAGCCCCGTGCCAACGCCGGTCTCAAGCGGTACACCCCCCTCTCTTTCCCACTCCGCTATCCCAACTGCCATCCTCCCCCCCATTTCCTCCATTCTCAGCTGGTCCAGATTCTGCGATGGCTGCAACAGAAGGAAACGAAAAAGCAAAATCGCAAGAAAATGGCGGGAAATCCAAAACAAACGCACATGAATTTTTTTTTTTTAATCCTTTTGCTGCTGTCAACAACCTGACTCAGCCACACAACACGCTCACATCTGATTCTCGCCTTCGCAACGTCGGTTTGAAACAGGAGGTTCTCGTTTGATGACGGCGCGAACGGGCACTACTCGGTCTCGAGCTGGTCTGCAACGGGCCCAGCCGCAGCAGCGGGACGAGCTGTCAAACTCGCTCGCTGGTTGGCAGACACCAAGAAGGACGACGACGACGAGGAGGAGGCGGACAACGGCGGCGATCCCGCGCTGCTCAAGAACAGGTTAGCCAGCACCAGCGCTGGGAGTGAATCCAGCCAGCGAGAGATGCGGACGGATGCTGCTGGGACGGGGACTGTGGCGGCGACTTCCACATGCTCGTCATCCGGCAGTGCATTGAGCACAGTGCAGGCCAAGCGTCATCGTCATCAGAGTGCCAACGGCAATCGCCAGAATGACGACGACAACGATCCTACCGAGGATGAGGACGCCACCAGCGACGAGGAGACGGAAACGGCCGAGGACGACGAGGACTCTCCGGACGGCGACGATGCGGAAGAGGACAATGAGGCCGAACCGAGCTCAAGTACACAGCAGCGCCCGCAGAGAGTGCGACGCATGCCCGTCACGCTCGAGGGATCGCTCGTCATGCTGCATCCGGTCCAGCGACGCCGGCGTGCCAGTGCTCCCGTTGCGCCGCCAGCGGCTCAGCAATCGGCCAACATTCGCAGTCCTGCCGCGGCTCCAAGAGCTCCGGCCGCGCGGTTTGAAAGCCCAGGCGCAGCCTCGCGTAGTCGCACCAACAGGTATGCCTCATCATCACCACAAAATGCCGAGCGGACTGCGCATATCGTCGGACGTCGGCAACCAGTTTACGCAAACCCGCAAGATGGCGCGAGCCCGCGTCGCTCCTCTCGCGTCGGCTTACCGCCGAAACGAATAGTTCTGGATCATTCCAACGTGAATGGCGTCTATCCTGAAGTCGATCAGGTAATTGGTCAACCCACACGCCGCATATCGGTTGCCGCGAACAGCAAAAGCAAACCAACCCTCGAGAACGGCAACGACGATTCTGCGGACGATTCAGAGAACGAAGCCACCTCCATTCTCGATGCCGACGAGGAAGACGAAGAATCCGACGAGGGTAGCCACGTCGATGAGGACGAAACGGAGGGCGAGGAAGAGGATGAAGAGGATGAAGAGGAGGAGGACGATTCCGCGCCAGAGATGGACTACGCTGCGCTGCAAGCATTGAAAGAGCAGTATTACGTCACCAAAGGCTTGCACTGGGACGTGAGTCGAAGCGTTTCGACGCTCTTTCCTCTCACGGACTGTCAGTGTGTCCGAGGAAACCACCTGCTGGCCTTCGAGCTTGATTTTCAGTTGCCCAGCGAACTGCATCGCGTCTTCCGGCCATCGGAACCCGAGCCTCTCCAGCTCGACCAGTCCGATACACCCTCTCCCCGGACGATCTCGAAGCAGAAGAGTTCCGCTGCCAGCTATGCCTCATTTACAAGAATTCGTAAAAGTGCGTTTTTGTTCAACGGAGCAGCTGTTGAAATACGATTGCGTTGCTGTTCCATTGACTCACTGCTTATCGGTTCCAACCCCCCCCCCACACACACACTCTCTCTCTCAGATGCTTATATCGACGTCAAGAGACCGAAATTGATTGCCGACAATGAGTGCAACTGCAAAGCCAGCGCCCCATGCACAGAAAGCTGCCTCAACCGCCTCATGTTTGTCGAGTGTGTTCGTGGCTCTTGTCGCATGGAGGATCGCTGCCAAAACCGCAATTTCCAGCGGCACAACTGGACCAAGAATTTGAAAGTATTCCAGGTAAATGCGCAGCTCTACATTTCTGCTTTGCTCGTCCCCCCCCCTTTCTTTTTCTTTTTTGTTTGCACTGTTGATGAGCCAACATCGTTTTTGTGCGATTTGCTCCTTGCATCAGACACCCAACGCCGGTTATGGATTGCGTTGCACCGACCCCATTGCTCCCGGCCAATTCGTGATGGAATACGTGGGCGAGGTCGTCAGCGATGCCGAGCGTGAGCGACGAATGTGGGGTCCGTACGCTGGCAATCCCAACCACTACTTTCTCGAGCTCGAAAAGGGAGTGCTCATTGACGCGTGCTCAAAAGGTTGCGATGCGCGCTTCATCAACCATAGCTGCGACCCGAACTGCCATGTGGAAAAATGGAATGTCAATGGCGAGTTTCGTGTCGGAATATTCGCTTCGCGAGCCATCGCGCCCAACGAAGAGTTGTCGTACGACTACCGGTTTGAAACCTTGGGTGAGATTCAACAGCAATGCTGGTGCGGCGCTGCCAACTGTCGAAAAGTCATTGGCAAGGCGACTCCCAGCGAAAAGCGTGCAGCGCGAAAGGCCAAGCCCAGGGTAAGCTATTCTGCACAAGTCCATTGACTGGCATTTTGGAGCACAGAGATTTCGCAACATGGCAGAATTTGACTCAACTTGTGGTTTTGTCTTGCGATGGTTTTTTTTTGTTTTGTTTTTATTTTTCGTTTCCTTTGCGCCTTAGATTGCGATTGACTTTTACAACCCAAGTCGCACCGCTCCTCCGTCCGCGCAAGTCCTTCAGGCTCCGGAGCTGGAGCAACTACAACGGACCAAACTCGTCTTGATGTATCCTCTTCGGCGCGTGCTGTCGCAAGAAGAAGCCAGCGGCCAGTCTGCAGCACGCAAGGCGGCCGAAGAACTCTTGCTGCCGGTCAATCTCTCTTACAACGCGGTGGTGGCTGGTCACGAAATGCAGCAGCAGCGGGATTTGCGCTTGGACAACCTTTTGCTCAAACGGTGCCCCAATATTGCGGCGGGTGCTTGCGCCTATCCCTTGCCAACCTCTGCCCTTGCTCGTTTTGTCGTGAGCGGGACAGTCCTCGATCGTCACCAAGCACAGCTGCTGTGTCGGATCGCGACGGACTTGACCGCCATGGATGGACTCATCCAGCGACTGCAGACGCTGGCCTCGCCCGAGGACAATGGCGTGCTGTTCCAAGCTCGTTCAGCGATGTTGGCCCCGAGCGAGTACTTGGGCCGACCCGCAGTGCAGCGACGGCGACCATTCCTGACGCTGGGCGGCGCTCTCAAGTGCTGGAAAAAGTTTGTCATTGACGGTGTGTTTGAAACGTACGACGAGCTGGAGAGCTCCATCCGCGGCGTCCTGCAGCGCAGTATCGCCTTTCTCGAACAAGCCCACGAGTCTGGCATGCACGGCACCATGGACGCGAGTGGCAGCGATGACGAAGCGTCCAAGCTCTCTCCGTTTGCCAGTGCCCAACTTGTACGCAGTGCCAGCGACCTGATTGAGGAAGAGCTTGCTGAAATTCGCCAAGAGTTTGGCCGCAGTTTTGTCGAGCAGTTTGTGCCCGTCCCATCGACCGCTCCATCCATCGCTTTGCCTCCGGCTCGCAAGCCAGTTATCATTACGCCTCCAAAGCCCTCGATTGCGCTTGCGTCTCCGTACGAAGTGCGCTCGCCTCGCACCCCCTCGGCCGGTTTTGCCGCGAACGGTACGGGTCGCTCCAGCTCGTCTGCTTCGGTGCCCCGACCGGCGCATCAGGACATGACACCGCCGCATAGCCAGGATACGCGGACGGCCAAGTCCCCGCAACCGTTGGTCACATCGGGACAAGACAATCTCGCACAAGAAGATGAAAGCAGCGGCAGCGAAGTTGAAGACGAGTTGGATTTGGAGGACTCGGACGCGCAGCAAGTGACCGCAATGGATGATACCCCAGACCTTCAGGTCAACCCGTTCGACGAGGACGTCAACCGCTGCATCTGCGGGGTCACATTTGATGATGGAATCATGCTCGAGTGCGAAAAGTGTCATTTCTGGCAGCACGAAGAGTGCATGAATCCGCTCAAGCCAGATGGGACACGTCGGCGCATCCGGCGTGATGAGGAACACCTGTGCCATTTGTGCAATCCTCGAGAGGAACTCACTGCTGTAAGAAGGCGTGTTCCGTTGGGATTATGGGTTTTTGTTGAACTTGTTCTGACGGTTTCTTTTTTCTTTTCTGTTTTTTTTTTGGCTCTTGTGTAGGAGGTTGCACTGGCCTATGATCCAAAGCTTCGCCGAACGTACTTTCGTTCGATGGAGTGTTCTACCGGCCGTTTGCTGCGAATGGGTACGTTCTCGAGAAGAGGATTACTGACGATCGAAAGCGATCGGTGTTTTCACTCATTGTATCACGTGCTGTGCTGTTCCTCTGACAATCATTTGCTGAATATGCATACAGGCGACGCTGCATACGTCACTGAGTATCCCAAACCCACAAATCGTCCTGAAGGCAATCGAAACGATGCGACCCACCAGAAACGCCCTGCAAGCAAGCCAGTGCTGACCATCTGTCGCATCACTGAAATGTTTGTCGATGCAAAGTAAGCATTGCTCTTGCTGGTTTCAACCGCTTTGCCATTTGCCATTCTCGAGCTAACACGAGACGCGATTTTTTTTGCTTGTTTTGTCTTTGGCTCGTTTTCGCTGCTGTTGCTCCTCGTGCCTGGCGTCGCAGAATGCGTCGATTTGCTCGCGGAATGGCGTATGTGCGACCCGAGTCCGTTGATGCAGACTCACCACAAACCGTGCACAAACAAGAGCTGTACTTGACAACCCGCACCCTCTTGTTCCGCATTGGACGTGTCCGGCAGCGCCGTGTTGTAGTGATGGATCCCGTTTCCTACATGCTAGGACGCTGCAGAAACATGCTCGGTCGCAAGGGGTTGCTGGCTATGGAGGAAGACACCTTTGTATGCGAGTTCTTTGTCGATTCGCGGAGCACGCGCGACCGGATTCTCCCACTGGCATCGTTCGATTACCCGCTGTCGACCAACCCGCTGCATTTCCGGGCCTTCCCGGAGCCCGTGCCTCTTGTGAGGGATACAAATCCCAGCTCCCTTTTGCTGTTGATCAGCGCACGCAAGCCGCTCAAGACGGGTGGCCGGCACATTGACACTGTGGTAAGATTTGAGGCAACAGCCGCATTTGATTTGAGGATGGAGGAGTCGGATGAAGGAACCGCTGGTTGGAGGAGTTGGCAAATGGAAGTGTAAGCCGCGCTCGTTCCTCATGTTTGGCTGGATGCTCCAAATTCTCTAGTACAAACCATGCCAAGGAAAGTCGTTATCCTCGATTCTCGACCAGCTCATGATTGAGACGACTGGGCAGGTTGCGCCTCCACTGGACTTGCACAAGCCCTTCAAGCATATGCCTTGATTCTCTGATTTGTTTTTTGTTCTTAACGGTTTTTTTTCTTATTAGTTTTGTTTAATTCACTTCATTTCACGCACTGCTTCAAATATCAGCTCATTTCATTTGCTTCTGAGTTTTGTTGATGGGACACGATCGCAGTGAAGTCGCTTCGAAATGGCGGCGATGGCAGCGCCGAATCCAGAATCGAATCACCACGCGGCTCGTGCTTGTGTGTGGCGCTGTGATTGGTGTCGTACTCTGCCTACTATTGCTTGCACAACCGCTGCGACCGGCTGGATGGCAGACGGCGAACAGCAAGGCGGTAAGCGAGATTCGGGCTGCGTTCCGCCCTTCAACCAGAGTTCATAGCGCTCGTCCAGTGACGAGCGTTGAATGAAGAATATTGGACCATGCAATCGCGCAGGAGAGGGGGAAGGGCAAGGGGGCCGGCTGGGCTGAACGAGGGATTTGAGACGCAACAATGCAGAGATTAGTTTGACAGGTCTCGTTGTCATTCTGCTCCCACCATCGAGAGAAAGCCAGCCACTTGCTTTTTGGTTGTTATTCACGCACACAACAACATTGACACATCACTGTTACGCAGAGAACACGCGCGATGCGAGACACAATCCCCATCCCCCTCGTTTACTTTTGACCTGAAAACCACGCTTGCTTTGCTGACCTGCCTTCCTCCCATGCTATGCTGAAACGTTCTAGGCCATGCTCGACTTGTTTGAATGCTTCCCAAGAAATGGACTCTTGTTGGTCGATCCGGGTGTTCTGGCGCGCATCCGAGCGCAGGAAGGCAAGCCGAGTTTGACGCTGCCCGCCAACTTGAACGACGGCGACACTCTGGAGCTCGCCATGCCGGCGGAGCTGTGGAAGAGCAAAGACAACGAGTATGCGTTCAGCCAGCTGGAATTTCTGGACGAGCAGCACTCCAGCAGCAACCAGACTGCCGAGTTGGACCAGGATGCGTACCGCCAGTGGCTCCAATCACGGTGGCCGGTAGCGGCGCACGCGGCAGCGTCCGAGTCCTTCCTCGCCAAGATTGTCAAGTGCGGGAGGTTTAGCGTTCGAGCGTTTTTGGTCGAGTCGGACGAGTTGGCGACCGGGGCGCGAAGCGTGCATGCGGTGCAGGCAATCGATGAAAGCTTGAAGAGCAATCCAGGCGCCAATCCGGGTGGGTTTCTCCAGGATTGGGTGGGGGAAATTGCTGGGCGGCAGGCCAAGCAAAACTTGTTTGATGACGAGGGAGCAGCAGGACCCGGCTTCGTGGAAGACGAGAAGCCCGGAGTGCACGTCCTGCCAAAGTTCCGCCGTTCAGTGCTGGCAGTGTTGCTCGATCACACCACATCACATGCGGCGGCGCCGCACAATGGGGACAAGATAGCGGTCGGCTTGTCTTCCGACGCAAACCACGTTCGTGTGATTGTGTACCTGATCCACCGACGCGGAACCGACCATGCGCTGTTTGCGCGACTCATGGTGCCAGTGAACTCGGCTGCCGAAAACCAACTCATCTCCCGCGCAAGGCACGACTTTGGCCTGCGCTACTTTGTGCAGCAGGCCGAGCAAGCCAAGCTCCGCGGCATTCCTGTTGCTGCGGACGATGCTTTTCGGATGGGCAATCGCCCCAAAATCAACCCGCTCTTCATCGATGGCCATGCCTATCTTGGGTATCAGCAGATTTCTTTGGATACGACCGACCTGGCCGTCGTATCGCGCCACGTGGACGGTGTGCGCATCACGCACCCTTTGCACATTTCAAAGTTTCTCGATCAGCTGCAACATTCGCGTTTTGTCGAGTGTGACCAGGCGCGTGCGCGCCGATTCATGCTCGACTACGGCGCAGCCATCGAAAAGTTTGAAGATACAGCCATGGAAACTGGTCGCGGTATGGATCGGGACGAGTTTCGAGAGCGGTCTCGCGAAATGATCGACATGGTGACGGCTGCGCTCTCGCCTCTGGGCGTTACGTGGTGGCTCAACTCTGGTACACTGCTGGGGTGGTACCGGCAGTGCGATGTTCTTGCCTACGGCTTGGACTTTGACATTGGGGTGCCCATCGAACATTTCAGTGAGGGCATGGTTGACGCCCTTGTCAGCCACGGCTTTCAGCTCAAGCATCGGCTGGGCTTGCCATCGTGGGGCCTCGAAATCTCTTTCGTCTATGGCAAGATTAAGCTCGATGTATTCTTCTACTATCGAGAGGGCGACAAAATGTGGAATGGCGGCACCCAAGTCCGCAACGGCCAGAAGCTAAAGTACACCTTCCCCATCATCCATCCCTGCTGGACGGAATACCTCGACCGCCGCGTGCGTGTTCCTTGCAACACCCTGGCCCACGTCACGTCCAACTACGGGCCCAACTGGGATAAACCAAAGAACGTCTGGAAATGGCGCGTCGACCCTCCGAACGTGATTGACGCCGGCACCTGGACGGCCGACGAAATGAAGGAAGCTGTGCAGATCTTTATTGGAGGAGCATGATGGTTGCTGGTGGGATTTGACGCCCAATCGGGATTGAGATTTTTTTTAAACATTTTGTTCATCAACATCCATGCAAGGATTGAATCGCAACACATCCAAGTCACCCAGCAACAGATCATAGGGATGACATGTTGACACGTACTGTCACCATGCTGGGCCGACTACAAAGAGCTGACTTTCCAGTGGTGTTCAAACGAAAACGGAGCCATGTCATACGCCAGCGGGGCGTCGAGGGCGAGCTGCGCCAGCATTTCGCCAACGACAGGGGAGAGCTTGAAGCCATGGCCACTGAATCCTCCCGCAATGATCAAATTGCGGTGCTGGGGATGGCGGTCGATGAGGAAGTGTTCATCCTTGGTCATCTGCGAGAGAAGGTGGCGATGAGTGTGGATGATGGTCGGCAAATAAATGTACCAACAATGCAACAAAGAGAGGGGAACGAGGGCAACAGGGCACTCACAGTGTACATGCACGTCTCGGTAAAGGGCGGAGTCTTGACATCAAGGCCAGGGAACAGTTTGTCGACGTAGGGCGCAAACTGGGTCCAAATCTCCTCGGCGGGCGTGAAAGAGCGCCCATCAGCAGCAATGCTCGGGCCGCGGTGCAGACAGAGCTGCGGGGATAAAAGAAAAAGTAAGTCAGGTTTTCAGATTGGTTGCAGCCGAACGCGAGGAGTTTTGGGAGTTTTGGGAGTTTCGGGAGTTTTGGGTGTATTTTGCTTCTTTTTTTTTGTATTTTTACCTTCATGTATCCCGGCTTGTCTTGCTCTGGGAGACCATACACCAGCCCAGGTGCAGCATCCATGTCGATAAACACTGGGAATCCTTTGTTGAGGCTGTATGCGTCTTGGAACTCTGGTTTGATTTTCCAGTACGACACAGTGACTTCTTGCACATCCAGGCTCATCTCCACCTGCAGATTGCGCATGGCTTTGACAAACTGCGAAGAAATAATCGGCGCCTGGGCGAGCAGGGACGGTAACCACGCACCAACGGCAAGGACGACGCGACTGGCCACGGTGGTGAAGGTCGCAGGGGCAAACGACGGTTCTGTCGACTTTGTTTGCGTCATGCCATGGGGATTGCCGTCCTGCGACGTGATAACAATCCTGTCGTCGGATTGGACGTCCAAGGAAACAACACGACGGTCGCAGCAGAGGGTGCCGCCAAACGCAACGAAGCGAGCCTGTGTTTGACAAGGAAATTGAGCACAAGGAAAATTGAGCGCAAACGGACGTAACACCAACCTGCGCGCATGTCAACAAGGGCCTTGTGTGTACCTTCAGAGTGCTGATGATGCGGTCGGCAAAGAGAACGCCGGCAGTATTGTCCACAACGGCAATGTACGATTCCGTGAGCTCGACACCTGGGAACCGACGGTTGCATTCGGCCGGCTGGAGAATCTCAAACGGAGCTTGGGTCTCTTTGAGGGCTTGGATGACACTCGTCATTGCCGGAGCGTCTTTCTGACCAATCATCAGACCTCCGCATTCACTGCGCCAACCAAAAAGAAACGCAAACTCAAAATGAGAATCAAATGTCGATATTGTTTCGACCGTGAATTTGAGTAGCATTTTTGTCGATATTGCCATTTCGAGGTTTTGTGAGCTCTTTTTTTGGTTTTAATGATTCTTATTTTCCGCTTTCTGAGCGCAATGCGAATTCGCCATCGTGCGTCATTTGCTGCTCCGCCAGTCCGTCGTGGCTCTCAGATACCCCCCTTGGCGCGCCCCCCCCCCCACCTCATTCACGCATATACACCCCATCTTGAGTGTCACTGTCCAGCACCAGAGTGCACAGAGGGGGACTGGGACGTCGGAATGAGAGAACACACAGCCAAACTCACAACTCCGACAACTCCGACAAACACTCGCACACCTGAAGAGCGGCACGTCGGTCGACGCGGCCAGATGGTGCCAGAGCTGGTGCGAGCGCTTCATGAGCTTGGCAAACACGGGGTCAGTGTACGCAGTGCGCGTGATGCGACTTGGTCCGTGCGAGCTGCCCAGCTTGTGCTCGACCACCTGGTGCTGCTCCATCAGCACTGCTGGCGACAGGTGGTCGGCCGCGCGGCGCTCTTGGATGGCGCATGCAGCAGACAGGCCCATGACGCCGCCGCCGATAATCACGCAGGGAACAACCGCCTCGTCGCTCATCGTGTTTGCAGTGAAAAGTGGAAAAGTGGAAAAGAAGCTCAGAAAACACAAACAAAAGACTGAGTTTGGAAGCAAAGCAGAAGAACACAGCAAACGAGACTGTCCGTCGGAGGGAGGTGAAGTCAAACACTATGCACTTGCGTATGTCGATGTGTGTGAGTGAGTGAGTGTGTGTGAGTGAGTGTGAGTGAGTGAGTGAGTGAGTGAGAGTGAGTTTGGCTGTGAAACCTGAATCTCCAATTCTAAGTCGCACCAAGCACGACCCGGTTCCCCACGCTTTGCTCATCATTTGCTGTGTTTGTTTGATGCACTTGAATTCGATGGAACCAAACCAACCATGCTTCATTCAGTCGTCCTTCCTGCAACAATCGCATGACGCAGAGCTTGTCGGATGGACTGGCTGAGCTTGCAAGCAGGCAGCGAGTCAATCGAGCGCGGGCAGCTGCTGGGGCGCAGAGTCCGGTCGCCTTCCAGCCGCAGCCACCGTCACAAGAACAGCAGCTGCAACAGCAGCAACAAGAGGTGGCTGTCGTCACAAGCAGTACGGCTGCTGCCGGCGGACCTGAGACCGAGTTGGCGCCAAAGCCAAGGCAGCAGACGGCGCTGGGTCGCCAGCCGCCGCCACGAGATGCATCGTCGCCATCATTGCATGGCTCTGCTCGCACTGTCACAGAGACGACCAACAGCGGCGGCGGCGGCGGCGGCGGCGGCGGCGGAGGACCGGACGCAGCGACCAACCGAGCGTCGATTGCAAGCCAAGCAAAGCAGCACAAGAACGCCGCCGCTCAAGTTCCCGCCAATGCATCGCCCAGTCATGCAAGTCGGCACGCTGGCCGTGGTGCAAACGCAGCCGCCCACTACCAGACTGCTGCGTCGTCCGTGAGCGTGGCAGCGTCGCCAAGACCGAGCTCTCCTGCTGCTGCTGCTGCTGCGACTGCTGCGACTGGAGTCGGTTCCAGTTTGCTGGACGATCAGGCCGCCGTCCAACCGATGGCATTGGTGCCATCACTCAGTGGCAATGTTAATCATGGGGCTCGAGACGTGGTGGAGCCGGTTGGCGAATTGCCGGTCGCGCTTCTTGGCAGCTCCATGCCCGCGTTTATCGCCCAGGCCGTGGAACAGCTGATCGAAGGTCACCAACGGCATATGGATGGTACGAACGATGAGTTGTGATTTGCGTGTCTGTGTGTGTGTGAGGGTGCGTGAGACGGATGGTTTTCATCGTTGTCTGCTTTTTGCGTTTTCGTGTTGCCAGCCGTTCGTTGCCAAGCCGAGTCAATAGCCGCGCAACAGTTTGCAATTCTTGAGAGCAAGTACGTCTGATTTGCTGACGAGATGATGTGCCGTGGATACACCCATCATCATCATCATCATCATCATCATCACCATCATCATCATCATCATCATCATCATCTCACTTTTTATTCATCCCATCGCCAGGCACGCTGCCGAGCTCGCTCAACTCACACGGACTCTGCAAGAGCGCGATAGTGAAATCACTCGTTTATCAGGCATGCTTGCTTTGCAAGAACGCCAGTCAAGTGAGCTAGCATCCCGGCTACACTCTTCGGAAGAGCAGTGCGACGAACTAAACCAGGAATTGGCGCGATGGCGCGAACAAGGCACGAAATGGCGCGAGTTTAAGGTTCAGTTTGAGCAGCGAAAATGTAAGGATTGAGGCGAACTGTTCAGTTGCAACACTAGTGGAAGGATTGACTGACTTTTATTTTGGTGATTTTTTTTTGAATGGACATTTAGCTGGGCGACAACATGGCACACCTTCATCCACCCCCACATCCACCAGCAGTCGAGCAATCACGCCGACCGAGCATCATTCACGTGGTGCGACAGTGCCACCGCGTGTAATATTTGACGAGGATCACACGGCGACAATCTTGAACAAGGAAACGTCGGAAAACACCAGCGCTGACCATCGAGCACCGCCGCTGGAGAACCACCACGATGTAAACGGCCCTCAATCCCCACACACGCCTGAGCAGCTTCAGCAGCAGCGACAGGGTGTGGAGGACCTGGAGCAGATCAACTCTGATGCAGAGTCGCCAGAGTCGCCAACAACCGATGCTACTGTCGCCGGTGTGTCTCCTCATCGACAGCCTAGCAGGGCTTTGAGTCTTGGAGCAAGACCCCAACTCACAGTGATCGAGTCCGAAATGAGCGAAAGCTTTGACATGTTTGTGGCTCGATCTCCGTCACCCGTGGTCACTACAATTGCGGACATTGTGCGAGTCAACGGCCTGGAGCATGCAAGCACAGACTATTCGACCGCCACGGCAAGGCTGAGTTTGAAGCGGCCCGCCAACGATGAGGGCCTTCCGGCAGAAAGAAGCAAGTCGCCACGACTCGCCTTGCCCACCTCGTCCTCTATCGTCATTGTCTCAGGCGACGGGAAGGCGGCCAGTCTACGTCCCAGCACGAGTGGCGGATCGAGCGATGGTCTTCCGGCCGTCCAGTGGGGAGATCGGCCACAAGCGAGCGCAGCCTTCAAGTACGTCGAGGTTGTACGCAACCGAGAGGCGCGTGATCGTCTTCCTGCCGCCGAATGCAACGAATGCGAGAAGGTACGTGCATCAGCAACTTGGCTCATGTGCATTTTTGGCGTGTCCTTGAGTACTCATTTGGGAGGGTGAATAATACCACCGTGTGCTTGTGCTTCTTTCTTATTCTGCTTTCTTCTTCATTTCCGTTGTCAGTTTTTCGCTGGTCAATCCCATCTGCAGGGCAAGAACTTTCAACATGTCTGCCGACACAAGCATGTCTCGCTTCCACCCAAGTCACCAGAAGGCTTTTGGAATGTTGATTTTGCTGCCACGCAAGGCTCTGGTGGTCGCTCTGCATGCAACTCGATGCTCGACAATCAACCATCTCCTTCGTCTCAGCAGCAGGATCAGCACCACGATGTGATTATTGATTCTGACGATCAATGAGCGCATTGTTGTGCTTTTTTTCTTTGTTGTTGCTGTCTGTACTAATATACCGCTTTATTTAGCTCGTGCTAGGCGATTTTCAAACTTGACGAACTCTCAGCACTTGGTGTTTGTGAAAGACACGCAAGCAAACAGACGCAAACACACACACACACACACACACACACACACACACACACACACACACACACACACACACACACACACACACACACACACACACACACACACACACACACACGCAACCATTTGTTCAACATTTAAAACAAATCAACAGAAGCAGAATCGCGGCCTTTGGATGCGGCAATGTAGTCTGCAATGGATTCGACACCACCGCCAAGGGACGCCGAGGCGCCTGCGGCAGGCTTCACCATGGAAAACAGATCATCGTCGTCGTCCAAGGCGGCAGCCGGCTTGGTGACGGCGGCAGCGGGGCGAGCGGTGGACGCTGGCTTGGGCGATGCGATGGTCGGCTTCACGGCTGCCGGCTTTGGCTTGGTTGGAGCAGCAAACAGATCGTCGAGATTGTCATCGATCTTGAACAGGGCAGAGTTGTCCTCGGGCTTGTCTGGCACAACCGCGGCGCGCTTCGGGCCAAAGAGCACGGCATCCGACTCGTTCACATGAGCCGATTCGCTGCCACTGCCAGCGGGAACAAACAGGTCGTCGTCGTCGTGGACAATCTCGCTTTTGATGGAGTCAGCAACGTTGTTGGCCTTTGAGGATGCCGAGAGACTGTCCGGGTGGAAGGCGGAGGACGAAGGCCGCTTGACGCTGGGCTCGCCGCGGCTTCCGGGTTGGGCGGTGATGCTGGCGCGGTCTTCGTCGATGGAAGTAGCGCCTAGGGGATCTGTGGACTCGTCTGTGCTGTCGTCCATCCCAGCAAACAGGTTTTGTTTCGTTGTGGCAGTCGCAGCGGCAGCCGGCTTGGTTTTGACGGCGACGGCGGGCTTGCTGGTGGCTGGCTTGAAGACCGTCTCGGACGAGGCTCCAAACGGATCTTCGTCGTCCTCGGTGGCAGCGCGCTGGCGGCTCTGGATGGCACTCGCCGTGCCGTTCTGTTGATTTTCGACAGCGAGCGCCGTGGACGAGCCGGCAGCAACTGCAGCCGCCTGGCGCTGTTGCTGTTGCTCTTTCTGCGAAACGTTGGTGATGGAGAGCTCCTTTGCGTCGCGAATGGGCACGCCGAGAAAGCGAAGCAGCGTGTGCGAGACGGCGGCCGTGGGATGGGCAGCAATCATTCGCATGAGCTTGTCGAACGTTTGTCGCCGGCTGTCGACATCCGATTCAGACACAAACAGCGTCTTTTGCGGGACGCCTGGCAGTGCAATGTCGCGCACTTCGCGGCGCATCTTTTCTTGAAACTCGACAAACTCAGTGTAGCGGCGCGGCACCGTAAACTGGATGACCTCGGCGTCCGTGTGCTTTTGCTTTTTAAACTCGCGGCGCGTCGTCCTGACAATGACGCTGTACTCGGTATGACTGACGAAGAAGTCCTCCATCGTTCCGGCAATTTCCTTTGCCGATGGGACGCTGATTTCGACGCCCGTCGCGTTCTTGATGCTCCTGAAAAAAAAAAAAAAAAAAGAATACAACGAGCAAAAAACATTGAGGAAAATGGTGAGAAAACGAACGAGACAAGGCGAATGAAAAACCACGACCAGCGACAAATCCAAAATTCTCGGATTGAGCCACTTGTCTGAGCTTCTGAGAATTGAGACACTTGTCTGAGTTTTCTGAGATGTGCGGATGTTTTCCAATCTCCTTTCCCCCCCCCCTCCCCCGCGCCCCATCACGCGCGCGCTTCGGCAACCCCAACGCGTAGTCGGACGATCTACAACCGAGATCACTCGATGTCGAGTGAGTGAGGTGAGCATTGATGAGCAGTGACTTGGAGTGACTTGGAGTCATCTCGCGCTTCCGTCCGCCAACAAAGCCAAGCCAAGCCAAGCCAAGCAAAGTGGGGGCTCTTTCTTCGCTTGATGATCAATAGCGAGTGTGCTGATTGCTTTGTCGCTTGGCCGAGTGATCGAATGTGGCAAAAGTGGGGCGCCTCGAGAGCGAGCCAGTAGTCAGCAACCGCGAACCGCATGACAGCCGACAGCTCTCATCACTCTACTCCCTTCCATAGCCAAGTCTCACTCTCGCTCTAGTTACGAGCACGATGATAGTGATGGGCACGGAGGGGAAGGCGGAGGGATGTCAATCGAGCAAAAAGTCATTCTCGTCTCAGAACAAGCAAAATGATTTGGTTTTTACATTGTGGTGGCGGTCAAACAAAAAAACGTAAGAGTGACGAGTGATATCAACAAAGGGGCAGTGGTGGATATTGTACATAATGATGATGATGATGATACACAGGAACTGAGGGGAAGAGAACGAAAGAATACTCAAACAAACATTGACAAAAGCTTTGGTGAACGCCTTGGTGGGAAAGCAGTGGGGTGCGCGAACGTAGGGTGATGGTGCGCTGCTCGGCGTTGCTGGGATGGAAGTGCCTGGCGGCTGGCGCGCGCTGTTTCGGGAATGCTCTCCAAATAACAGCGCTTCCAAGTGCGCGTCACTCTGGGGCGGATGAATCGCCATCGCCGTGTGCCATGGCGGCCTCTTGATCATCGGCGCTCGCAGATGACTCGCTGTGGGCTTGTGAAGTTTCAAAGAATCGCGGATATTTCACAGGGTCGGCCTGGAATTGCCCTTTGCGCGACTTGCGATCGCGTTGAATGCGATTGAGCTCGGTTTCTTCCTCTTGCTCAATCTAACAGGCACCACCCGACAAAAACGTCAAGCAAAGGGGTGTATGTGTGTGTGTTTCAATACGTGGCTCAAATGCTTGTGAGGGGGGGGGCTGTACCATCCAAATCACCTCGCTCCCAGAGCGTTTCAGAAGCGATTTTGAGCTTTTTGCTTTTACCACTTCGAGCTTTTTATCCACGCCCGGGATGAATGACAGTAATCTTGAGATGATGGTCAAGTTATTATGCAGCTTTTGCTGGTACCTGTCCAGACAGTCCGACGGTTGGCAAGATGAGTGGAAACTGCAGCACAGCTCCAAACCGCCCCCCCCAAACGATCAGTCTCACCGTAGAACCTCGTCGGGCCGCCGCGCATTCTGGAACGATACGATCGTGTACTGCAGCACTTGATTCTCGTCCAGCAGCTGCAAATGCATCCAGCGTGAAGCGCACACCCCAAGCCACACTAACAAGTGAGCGCCTCCCAATGCAACACTCACTCGGATGTCGAGATCCGAGTCGATCGTCGTCCGCCACGGTAATCAGACGTTGTCCTGATTAGCACATGATGATGTTTTTGTCACCTGCTGGAGGAGGGCAGGGGTGAATGCAAAGTCCTCCTGCCGCTCTGCTTCGTTGGGCAGCCAGTCGTCCCGGTCTTGCTGCGTCTTCTTCTGCCTGTCCGAGAACATGGAGTGAGTAAAACAACTGCAGAGTTGAATGTTCAGAAGAATCATCAATTGCTGAGAATGACAATCTCAGAAATTAGTATTACTTGCTGCTCTCAGTCCTCACTTTTCACTTTTAACTCTTCACCATTGCCAGCCAGTGCCAGAGCCAGTATGCCAAAGCACTCGCCAGCGACCGAAGCCATCTGGTTCCAGATCTCCGGCGCGATTGGCACGCTGCTGTTCTACGCATTCTACGAAGGGCTCTACCGGATAGCCGACTTTGAGTGGCAGAAGGCCGCCGTCTGCAACGCGATCGCCTACGCCGTCTCCATCAGTAAGCAGCAAGTCCGTTTTGATAATCACTCGAAATGCAAACAGACTCACATTTGGCAATCTGAACAAAATCGTGCTGGATGTGGAATTAGTTTGGCAGCACGCGCTGCATCGCACGCTCGTGTTTGGCGCCACACCCGGCGTTTCGTACTGGCGCTCGTTGGGATCGACGTACCTGTGCTACGGATTGTCCATTGCATTGCTTGGTCCGATCTCGGTCGCGTTGGATTTTGTCACGGGCAATCACCAGGTCACCTGGGTCCTTGGCCTGGTTATCACTGGCGCGATCAACTACTTTACCGTCAAGCAGGCATTTGCACCCCCAAAGGGAGCCCAGCTCGACGAGCTTCATTCGCAATAATGCGTGGGCTTTGGTTGTGCAAGTTTCAAGGTCCTTGTCCGACTTGAGTGACAAAACCGTGCGAGGGTTGGCAAGTTCACACAAATTCACGACGTTCGTTCAATGAAATCTCTCGTTGTTGGATGCGTTTTGCAGTCTGTGGGAGTTACGAGACGGTCCTTCTTTGTCGAATACATGTTTGAAAGCTTGCTGGGCAGTGTTTTGGCATGAGGGGATTCAGCACGCAGAACCTGTCCACAAATTGAAAACACTAGTGTCCTTGCTGGCACCCTCTAGCGCGTCACACTGTGATTGAGTGATCTTTCAATACAACTGTTTTCGGCTCTCTTAAGGCTTTGAAACTGAATGAGAATTGAGTAGAAGACAAAGGGCGCAAAAATCACAATAAATCACAATGGTTTTTACTGGCCCTCCATGTCGTGCTAGACACCCCGAGAATGCTACTGTCGTGTTGTGATATCAAAGCGGCATCTCCATCGCATTCAGAGGTCCAGTCTTCAAAATCCACTCTTGTTCCTTTTTTTTTTTTTCTTCTAAATTCTCAGACATGGGACTCTTTGGCAAAACGCCGACTGCTCAAGAAATGGTAACAATTCAATCCATAACCAGCATCGGCTGATCTTCGCCGAACACGTTTCTCATCGTTTTGTGATGGATGAACAACAACAACTTGATGCAACAGGTTCGCGAATGGCGGCTGCGTCTCAAGCACGAAGACCGAACGCTCGAGCGCCAAATCCGCTGTGAGTTGAGCAATCTGACCGAAAATCTGAGCAACTAGGGAGAAGGTTATCTGAGCAGCTGCAGCGCTTCCTATGGCATAACCATCTATTGACAGTCGCAATGCCACTGCACTGGACCTGGAGCGCTGAGCACTTTGAAGAGAGTCGGCTTTGATGACCAACTCAATGCAAATGTACGACAACGACGACGAACGCAGCCGACGTGGATGCCTTCGTCTCGCCCCCTGGACAGCGTCGCAATGGCACTGCAAGCGCGTGTATCTGTGTGCGAGGGTGTGAGTGTGAGTGTGAGTGTGGTTGTTGCGGGGGGGGGGGAAGGGCATTGTGCGGCCTGGCGTCGGTTACGTCAACACAGCGCAGTCCAGCCCAGCCCTGACCAGCCCTCGCTTCCCTTCCATCTCCGTTCGAGCTCTCTCGCTCCATGTCTGGTCTGAGTGGGACGGTGTTGGAATTCGAGGAAGACTGACCACGCTGTTGGAACCTGCGCAATTGAAACCTTCCTTCCTGTTGGAATCGCTCTAATGTCTCGAATGATGCTCAATGCGTTTGATCGTTTGTGTTGGAATACATTCAGCCATTCAGGGCGAGGAAGCCAAGGTGAAGAAAAGCCTCAAGGACGCTGCCAAGAAGGGCGACGTCGACGTCTGTAAAATCCTCGCAAAGGAGCTCTACCAATCCAAAAAGGCAGTCAACAAGTTGTATGCCTCCAAGGCGCACATCAACTCGATCGTCATGAGCATGCAACAACAACTCGGTGAGCAGACCGCCGAGGGGAGGAAGGGGGTTTTCTTGGTGGATTTGGGCCCCCCGCCGCTCTAAAATTCTAACGTTTTTGAACACATTTTGTCGTCTTGTCAGCCATGACAAAGCTGGCGGGCGCATTGGGTCGCAGTGCACAGGTCATGAAGTCAATGAACGCGCTTGTGCGAGTGCCCGAGATTGCCGCATCCATGCAAGAGTTGTCCCGAGAAATGATGAAGGCCGGTTTGATTGAGGAGATGGTCAACGATGCCATCGACATTGACGACTCGGAGGAGCTCGAAGACCAAGCAAGCTCCGAGGTCAACAAGATCTTGTTCGAGCTTACAGACGGTACGAAGCGAGCGAGTGGTTGGGTGGCGAGGGAGGGGGAGGAATGAGTCTCGCTGACTTTTGCAAACTTGGTTTGTTTGTTTGTGTGTACTGCGCGGTGCAGGTCTCCTGGGTCAAGCTGGCCATGCCAAGGACGATTTGCCCAGCGTAAGAGTTTTGCGATCTCATCCAAGTTTGCGTTTTTGATGTGAGGTGGGGGGGGGGTTTATTTTATGATGCTCATTGGCTTTTTTTTGGTTGTTGCTGTTGTTTTTTATTGTGTGTTGCATCCTCAGTCATCTCGCGCCGCTGCAGCCGAAGCCGAGGACGAAGATGAAGAAGATGTGGATGCCATGCGTGCACGCCTGGAAGCGTTGCGATCGTAGTTTTGTTGTGTTTTTTTCTGGTTGTCGCTGCTGCTTTTGTTTGTTTGTTTTTCTGTTCAACTCAGATTCAATCCACTCTTTGACGCTCTATTTTCATTTGTGAGTGTGTTTTTGCGACCAACATGCTTTTTGTCGGTCGATACTGTACTCTCCACCTTCGACGCTTAGATGAGACAGCGTTTCATTCAATTCGACATTCATGATGTTGTTGCTTTTGCTAACAAAATCTTCTTTCATTGGATTTTTTTTTTTCAATCTTTTTTCAATCTTTTTTCAATCTTTTTTCAATCTTTTTTCAATCGTTTTTTTTTTTTTTTTTTCCTTCTTCTTCTTCTCATCACACTTTCACACTCACTCTCACATCACTTAACTGAACAAGCATGCCGTCGACTGCAGCTGTTAGTGTTGGTGTTGATGGTGGTTCAGCTGGCAGTGGCGTCGTGGTGGCGTCGTGGTGCCGGGTAGCCCAACCGCAACAGCAACAACAGCAACAACATTGACCAGCTCGACTTCGACTTCGACGACCACGACGGCCAATGTCGCAGCGTACGTCGAGCAGCTGGAGAACGACCTGCGGCTGGCGGCCGAGCTGGGCAACCTGCTGCTGGAACGCAACACGACGCTCGAGCGCGAGGCCGAGCAGGTTCGCGGCGGGAATGACTCGCGCGTGAGGGAACTGGCGCTCGAGGCGTACGACCTGCGCAACCAGCTCGAGCTGCTCAAGGCCAAGCAGACCGTCGAGGGCCAGCAGGCTGCAGATCGCCTGTGGGAGTCGGAAGCTCGCCGCAGAGACGCAGAGCAGGCACAGACGGACTTGCAGCAGCGCGTCGTCCAGCTGCGCGACGAGCTCGCCAAGCTCAACGAGCAGAATCGCAAGCTCCAGGTCAACGCCGACGCAGCTGGGCAACGCGCATCGGCGGCTGAGCGCAAGGCACAGGACACTGAGACTCAGCGCGTCGCTCTGGCCGCGCAGCTCGACACTGTCCGCAAGGAGCTCTTTGACGAAGGGTTCGGCGAAGGAAGCGATTCGGCTGCTGCTGCGGCCAATGCTGATGCTGCGGCCAACGACGACGCCAATGCTGCTGCCAATGCTGCTGCTCATGGTGGAGCCCATAACGATGGACTCGATGCGTCCGGGTCGCAGCGGGACGACGGCGACAACGGGCGAGCCGGAGACGCGTCCGCAGAACTGCTCCGCGCCGAACTCGAGCAGCTGCGGACGGCCCTGCTCGAGCAGATCAGCGTCGCACGCTCACTCGAGTCCCAGCGCGACGAATACAAGTCGTTGCTGGCAGACCGCTCGGAGGCTCTCGAGCGACTCCGCGAACAGCTCAACGAGCATCTGCTGGCCAGCGGGTCGCTCAACGGCAGCCAAACCCTCTCCGACCAGGTCATGCCGTTCCTCGCCGCCGAGCACCAGGCCGTGCAGGAGCGCTTGCGTCAGCAGCAAGAGCTCATTGAGCAGCAGCGAAACGCCCTCAACAACGCCGCGCAGCACAACTCGCCTGCGCCGTTTGCTCGGGAGTCGTCCATCAACCCCGCCACCTCCAAGATGGGCTCTCAGTCCGACACGCCCGCCGATGCTGCTGCCAGCGTTGATCCAGTCACGCCAGGACCCAGCCAACCAGTTGCCCGCGAGCTCTTTGCCGAGCCAGCCGCGACTTCCACCATCACGGCTGCTTCTGCTTCTGCTTCTGCTTCCGCTGCTGATTCATCGGCCGCTGGCTCTTCAGAAGAGTTTACCCTCGGCAGGCAGGGTCGTCAATCGTGGGAGCGCCAATCTCAACAATGGGCGTACAAGTCTGCGCGAACGAAAGCGCGCACCAAGGCGCGCGATGTGACCAAGTGGCGAAACCAGCTCAAGCTCATTCGTCGCCAGGTGTCCATGGGACCTGCGGATGGCCGTGCCCGTGCGCAAAACGCTGGCAACACCAGCTCGCCTGCCAAGGACCTTGCTGCCAGCGCCACTCCCACGACTGATACTACTGCCACCACTGCCTCCTCGACTTCGCCGTCCGCTAGCACGACTACTTCTACGACGGCGACTTTTGATTCCGTGGCAGCGTCGCCCGCAAGCTCCATGGGCATGTCCGCCTCGGCTCCCAACTCTGTGAGCAAGCGCAGCTCGGTCTGGTTTGCTGATTTGGACGCCCTCGACCAGTTCGACGAGGAGACTGTTGCTTCCATGCGCGAGCTGCTTTTCGCCAACAAGGACGGCGCCCCGCGCCAGCCTCCTCATGCCACTTTGACTGCGAGCACTCAAACAGACGACGAATTGTTGCCAGTCGCTGCTGCCGTTTCCAGTGTTGCTGTTGCGACGACGACTACTACCAGCAAGACCAACGAGCCGTCGCCGCCGACCGCGCGGCGTGCATCCATGATGCGCACGACCCCTGTTGGTATCGATCAAGATTTGCGCTCGCCAACGGCATCGGCTGCCCCGGCCCCTGTCGCCGACGATGACGACTCGTTGCTGTCGGCCGTCATGTCTGCCATTGGCTCGCAAAAATTGGCCAGCAGTGCCCCTGCTAGCGCACCCGCACCAGCAGTGGCAGCAGTGGCGGCAGTGGCAGCTTCCAGTGAGACCTCGACCGCCCAAGTGTTGGACGAGACTTTGCTGCGAGAGTCGCCCCAGTTTGCAGAGGCCGTCCGAAGTGAGTCGGCGCGACTCGAAGCCGAAATTCAGGCGCGTCTGAACGCCGAGCACACTGCAGCCCAAGCAGCGGCGGTCTCGGCTGCCATCGCGGAGGTCACCGCTCGGCTCGAGGCCCAAGCAGTGGCCGACAGTAAAGCTGCTGCACACGCCGCAACAGCCGCCGCAGAAGCCAAAGCCGCTGAAGTCAGGGCTGCCGACCTCAAGGCTGCTGCAGAGACCCGGGCTGCAGAACTCAAGGCTGCGGAGGCCAGGGGCGCTGAAGCCAAAGCCGCCGAACTCAAGGCTGCCGAAGCCAAGGCCAAGAGCGCTTCGTCATCCACTGCCACAACCCCGAGCGGTTCCCCTCATACCCAACGCGCGGCTGCTGCTGCTGCCGCTGCTGCGCTTGCGGCTGCCTCTGCGGCTGATGCCCTGGCCAAGTCCCTGTCGGCGCACCAACGCCGAGCCTCTACCGTCAGTGTCAACTCGAAACAAGTGCAATCGGTGGGCGTCGAAACAGAGCCAGCATCGGTCGCGGCCGGTGCCACGCAAACGTCGCCCGTTATGACTCGCAAGCCCGCCACCACGGCTTCCGCTGACACGCAAACCACAGCTCTCGATAGCGCTGTCACTGCCGCTGCCGCCGCTGACTTTGCCACCGCCGCCTCGGATGCGTCGATGGCCATCTCGATAAACCAGGCACCCGCTCTCGTGTCTGACAAGTACGATCGTCTTGCCATTCTCGGCCAAGGCGCGTGGTTTTCCAAGGCGACCAAGAGTGGCACCACGCATCGCCGCTATGTGACGTTCAACCCCTGGAAGCGCACAGTTACCTGGGCTGTGGATGAACCCCAGTCTCAAAAGACCCGAGTCTGTAAGTGTCGATTTTTTGAGTTGCTTCGTCGTAGTTTTGGCATTGTTCTGTCGATGCGTTGTTTCTGATTTTTATTTTTATTTTTTATTTTCTTGGTTCTGTTGTTTTGGCAGATCGCATTCAAAACTTTGTGCCGTCCATCACAGGCACTCGCTTCCCCCAGTTGAACATGACCCAACTTGGATTCACCCTGTTTGCTGCAAATCGCGAGATTCTGCTGCTTGCATTAAGCAACTCTCAGAAGAATGCTTGGCTCGAGGTGAGTGTTCCTGTGTCATTCTTGTTTTTGCCTTCGACATGCTTTGACTCACCCCCTCCTTCGCTCGCTTTTTTCCCCCGTCCAAAAACAAAATCTGCAGGCGCTCAATATTGTCTTCCAGCGCACTGCTCCATCTGTGGCGCTCGAGGTGTCACTTCCTCCAATGCTGACCATTATTGCCCCAGTCAAGCCAACGGCCCTCTCGTCGTCTACATCTGTTCTGATGCCCGTCAAGGCTGTCATTGCCAAGCCAGCCACGGACATTATGCCCCTGGCAGGAACCAACGCGCGCGGCATAGAAACGGAAACATCCGTCCACGGCCGGGAGCCAGAAGCAGCAATAGATTCGGACAGCTACAACACCCTTCCTAAGCTGGCGCTTGTTGGAGGTGACAAGAAGCTGGTGGCAGCTGTGTCAGACGACGAGTTTGACGACGACAGCTTTGTGTAATATCTTTTTTTGTTGTTTGTTTTGGATGTCTTTTTACGCGCGGAGAGCGTTTTCTTCCATGCTTCGCCCAGTTCTGTTTCCATGTTGATCTTGATCGTGTTACTTTTGTAATGTTTTTTGTTAAGTGTATTGAGAAATACTGAATAGCTGTTTATCATTGAATCTTTTGTTTGTTTTTTTTTTGTTGGTGTTGTGGCCTTTGCGGTCGTCAACAAAGAGGGGCGTCCACCGCTCGCCACAATCGTGTCTCAATCGTGTTTTCGTTGGATGTTAGACATAGATGCCGACTGTTAGCAGGAGGAAGAGCGTGCCAAAACCGAGAAAGACAGAAGCCAAGCCGGCGCCCGACAATTCCTGCACCAGGTTACGGTTTTGCTTGGATGTGGTTACTTGCTGCCTGCAAGCGGGAGCACGAAGCAACAGTGAGACCTCCATCCAACCACGGTCATGGACGACCGCCCGCCTGGAGTGCGTTGATGATGATGGCTTACACAAAGAACGTTCCGGCAAAGATCAGTCCGATGACAATCAGGATGAAGGCCAGAGTGGAGAAGCTCGCCGGGTTGAGCGGTGCGTTGTACGGAGTGTACTCAGCCTATTGCATTTGCAAATAACAAGCGATATGTGAGTTGAGGTGCAAGTTGAGTTGAAGTGGAAGCGAGTTGAGTGGATTTGCATTGAGTGGATTTGCATTGAGCGAGTTGTTGCTACTGCTGTCTGACCAGACAAAGACAAAAGCACAACCACACCACGCTTTTTGGTTTCGCAGAAGCAGTAGTACAGCAAGCAGCAGCAGCAGCAAACAGAGTTGTTTGGGATTCGTAGATTGAGATCAAAGCGAGATGATCGTCAGAGAGTGAGTGAACAAGAAGGCGGAGATCTCTGCCAAGCGATCAGACCGCGACACCGCCTCCCCCCCCCCAACAGGACATGATACAAACACTTGTAGGACCAGTGTTGTGCGTTTGTTGGGAACGGTCGTCGAGTGCGCGGAAGGAGAGGCGCAGGAAAACGCTCAAAAACGACAAGGAGAAAAGTTTCAAAAAAAAAACATAGGGATTGTTCACTAGAAGGAATTGAGAAAAGGTAGGAATCAAGCCGATACTGACCATTGAATAGAAAAATAAGAGTAAAAATTGAGACTGAATCTGGGTCTTGTTCGGATGTCGAGTGATTACTTGCCCCCTCATCTCGCTCGCTCTTGATACCTGCGTTGCCTGCATCAATTCATGGCTCTAAAATCCTTCTGCCATGATCCAAACAAAAAGCGCTCAAATTTCGTCCATCCCGCTCAAATTTCAACTGCTCACCAGCTCTTTCTCCCCCTTCCCCGCGCTCCCGAGCTGCGTCTTCAAAAACAACACTCAAGCCATGTCCGACGCAACGCACATCTTGCAAATAGTTGTGATGTTTTTCGGAGCTTTTGACTTTGGCATGTTGTTGTTTTTGTTAAATTTGGTTTTGACAGGTTTTTTGGAGCCACAACCCCGCCTTCTCACTCCCCCTTTGAATCGCGCGGTTTGGAGAGCCCTTTCACCCTCCCCGAATATGGCGTGGCAGGTCAAAAAGCAGCTGCGCATTGCTCTTGCGCTCGGTGTGATTCTGTGGGTTGTTTCGACTCTGGTGTGGAGCGGGCAGCCCGGCGGCATCGTCCTGCAGTATGCGGACTTGTCAGGTTCATCAGCGAACGCGGTTGCCAACGCCGACCCCAACCCCACCCCGGACAGCGACATGCCGCCGCCAGTGGTGCTGCCAGACACGTCGCACGAGCAAGACACGTCCACTGGCAAAGCACCAAGCGCCGTGGCTCGGGTGGGCGGCGACGACAACGACGACAATGCGGACGATGCGGTCGAAGTGGGCCCTCCCATCGAACCCGACGTGGGCGACGGATGGCAGCAGCTCGGCTCCTCCTACGGCTCGGCCCAGCCAACAGCAGGACTCGGTGGACTTGTCGTCGACCAGGCAGATAGCGAAGATGAGCTCGGAGGCGGAGGCGAAGGCGAGGAATCGGAAGGCGAGGGAACGAACGAGAATGGCTCGCTACGTGGGAGCGGCGCCTCTGCAAGCTCACCCAGCGACCCAGTAGCGCCTACATCGGCTCAAGCACCCACCCAAGAGAGCGCGACGAGCACTGCATTGCCGGACACGGGCCTCGACGACGACGACGACGATGCTGCTGCGCTGGTGCCGCTGGTCGAGCACGATTGGCCTTGGTTTTCGTCCATCGTCACGCCCACCAGCCCGGGAAGCCAGGTCGAGGCCAAGCAGAGCTATCTGTGTGCCATGCGCGACAGGACGCGGGACCGTGCGTTACAGTACCAGCACACTGTGCACAATGCGAGCCGTTTGCTCATTGAGGACTTTTCGCAGCAGTACATTCTGCACCTGCGACATATTCGGGCGGGAACAATCTCGCCGTGCAAGCCAATGCAAGTCAATGGGCATTGCTTCGACCAGCCTGTTGGAACGTTTGTGAAGGCTCGGTGCGATTCCAGCGCCACGCAGTCCGTCGTGCGGGCCACCGAAGGGCGGTTGCTCATTCGATGCAGCACGCCGTGCGATTCCATCCAAGAAGACGACCCCGGCATGCAGACTTGCGACTGGAGCACGATGCGATGGCACGTGCCAGGTTGTCGGTCTGCCTGGATGATGTCCGGCCCTCATCGCGCAGAGCTCGAGCAATGCATACGCAACAAGGCCATGGTCTTCATCGGCGACTCGACGCTGCGCACCGAGTTTCACCGATTAGCGGAGATCTCGGGCACCGATTTGTGGACCCCGCTGAGTAATTCGTTCTACCATGAGCAAGTATTTACCGCCACAGACCTTGCGCCAGGTGAGTGAGAAAGAGCGAGGGTGTGTGTGTCTGATTGGCGTTTTTGGCGTTATTGGTGTTTTTGGCTGTTCTGACTGATCGCTCGGATTGTGAGAAGAGTACAATCCCAATCACTCGACTCTCTACTTTCATTATTGGCCGGACTTTGCTACGATAACACAACGACAGCCTTTGGCAAAGTATACCGCTATGCTCCGCGATCGGCTCGTGGAAGCAGTCCAGCGTCTGCGCGATGTGGGACAGCTCGATCGACAAACGACCTTTGCCTTGATGGGCCTATATTGTCTGCCCGCCTACACGGTCGAGGTCAGGGCCGTCCTTTCGCGCGCTTATCAGTGCGAGCTGCTTCGAAGAGGCAACAACGGTGATGGTGGTGGTGGTGCTGGTGGTGGTGGGTCTGAGTGGAGCTGGACTCCCGCGCTCAACTCGCCCAGCTCATCGCCCTATCTGGTCACCTCTCTGGACGAGTGCACCGATGACAAACTGAGGCAGGCCACTGTCAACGCAGCCGACACCTGTGCGCTCGTGCCGCTGCCAACTCATTTGACAGTCGTGTTCAAGTCGCGCTCACCGAGCATCTCGCACGACGCTACCGTGTCAGACCAAGGAGCCAATCACCAGTGCAAGGCCATGACCAAGAATTGCGGCTTTCAATGGTTTGACTCCATGCAACCCGTTCTCCCGGCAGCAGGGCTGCTAATACAGGACAGATGCAAGTGTCATTTCGCAAAGCATGACGAGGAGGCGCGACCATCGCCATTAGACCAAGTCAATATGCCGCTCAACAACATGATGACCAACTTGCTTGCTGAAGGGTTGTGTCGCGAGTATCGCCTGTGAATCTTTTGACGGGGATGCACCGGCGCATCTCTGAACTCTTATTTAACCAAGATTCGAAGTACTGTTTGATGTTGTTAGTTGGCTTGCTGTCCGATAGAGGCACGCAGGTGAAACAATGCTATGTGCACGCATCTTTAGTTGAATGTCAAGTAGCTTAGCAATTGCAACACGGCGTCTACCATGAATGAAGGCGGGGGAGTCCTTGCCACACACGATTTTGAGTTTCCAAAGGTTTATTGAGACAAACAGATATCAGAGCGCCATGCATGCGGATGGCAGAGCAAAGGAAAGACATGACAAAGACAGGGAAGGATCGAGCAGGGATGCGAACACGAGTCAATCAAAGGGGCAAGCTTAGGCGAAATCGGCATTCTCAATCGTCGCATAGGTGGTCTGGGCCAAAGGTGCACCATCGATCGTCGCGTACGTGGTCGGGGAGGACGCGGGAGGCACACGAACAGACGACGCAGCGAGCAGCGAAGTACTGGCGTACTCGACACCGCTTCCCGACGATTGCGGTGCGCGAGAGGCAGTCGCAGATGCCTCGGTATAAAGCATATCCGGAGCTGGTTGAAGCTTATCGTATGCGTTGGGCGCAGGCACGGATGTGTTGGCATAGACCAGTTCCGACGAGCCCGCAGGCGCTGAGGCAGCGTTCTCGTACAGAGCGTGATTGCCGGACAAAGCCTCATACATTGGATTCTCAAGGATGCCAACAGTGTCGCTGTTGCTGATGGAATGATAAGTCGGTTCCGTGTCGGATGCCGGTTCGCGGAGCTTGTTGATTGAGATGGTGGTTGCCAATGCCTTTGGAGAGCGACGGCGCCGAAGTACCACCACCAGCACGACCAGCAGGAGAAGTGCAATCACACCACCGACCACTCCGCCAATAATAGCTCCGGAAGATGCATCGCTTGATTTGCTTGGGGCGTTGGACGCAGCAGATGCGGCAGATGTCTGCCACGCAGATGAAGCACTGGCGGCTGACGCAGACATCTGAGATGCAATTGAGGCCGAAGCAGCGGAAGCATCGGAAGCGACAGAGGCCGAAGCAGCGGAAGCATCGGAAGCGACAGAGGCCGAAGCAGCGGAAGCATCGGAAGCGACAGAGGCCGAAGCAGCGGAAGCATCGGAAGCGACAGATGCGGACGCCTGAGAAGCAATGGATGCTGAGAGCGCCGAGGTCGCGGACACATCTGAAGCCACCGATGCGGACGCCTGTGAAGCAGCGGATGCTGAGAGCGCCGAGGTCGCGGACACATCTGAAGCCACCGATGCGGACGCCTGTGAAGCCATTGACGCGGAAAATGCAGCGAGTGAAGCCTCGGAAGAGGCGGACAGCTCTGACGCTGACGATGCAGTAGCAAGGGATGCAGAGGAAGCCGAGGCCGCGGAAACATCAGAAGCGGCAGATGCTGACGCCGTAGAGGCAACAGAAGCTGAGGATGCAGTAGCTAGTGAAGCATAGGATGCTGATGTAGCCGAGGTTGCAGACACATCGGAAGCGACAGATGCGGACCGCTGTGAGGCAATTGAAGCTGTGGATGCAGTGGCGAGAGAAGCAACAGATGCTGAGGTAGCGGAAGCGGCAGAAGCGACGGAAGCGACAGACGCGTTGGTCGCGGCTGAAGCGACGCAGAAGTTGCCCAGCGAAACATAACCGTCATAGCACTGAGTGCAGGGATTGGAGGAAGTGCAGGTCAGACAGTTGGTTCCGCAGCACGCACTGGACCCCGCACCGTAGCAGGTAGCGCAGGTTGTATCACATTCTGTAGTGCAAACGTCAGAGAAATGCTCTCACGGGAAATTGCAGTCATCTCGGAACTTACTGTACGGTTGGGACGCGTCGCCGTAGGTGCTCGGCGGAGCGACAGTATTCCCACCAAAGGTAAAGTTGTTGGGGCTGAGATAAGCGTTGGAAATCGACAAAACCATGCTGTTCATCGCGCCCTTGAACAATCCAGGCGGCAAAGTGGTGAAGGGATTATTCTCCAAAGCCCTAAGCACAACATGAGATGAGACTTGAATCGAATACGGGCAGTGCGTAAAAAGGCTTGTTCATGCCTTGTTTGCTTACACTTGTGTCAACACGCTTAGGTGTGTGAATGCAGAGCCAGAAATGCTGGTGATCTGGTTGCTGTTCAGATATCTACAAACCAAGTCGCCGATGAGTGAGCCGCTTGTGTGCGCTTCTTCCTTTCTTTGTTTGCTTACATGCGATTCACCATAGTCAGGTCCGTGAACGCCGAAGCCGGAATGCTGGTGATCTGGTTGAGTGACAGATCTCTACAGACGGCGTCACAAATGAGTCAGCCGTTGGTCGGTACTTCTTTGGGTATTTGCTTGCTTACAGAGAAAACAGCACAGGCAGGCCCGTGAATGCGGTTGCAGGAATGCTCGTGATTGAGTTGCTTTGCAAAAATCTACAGCCAGAATTACCAACGAGTGAGCAAGTGTGTGTGTTTCATCATGGCTATTGCTCACGTACAGTTGTCCCAGCTGAGTTAGGTTTGCGAATGCAGAATCAGGAACACTGGTGATCTGGTTGGTATCGAGGCGCCTGCAGGATAATACCGTCAACGGACGTGTGAGGCGTTTGTGGGTGATCCTTCATGGCTCTTCCTTGCTTACAAAATTCTCAGCTTAGTCAGGTAGTTGAGAGCGGGAACGCTGGTGATCTGGTTGTTGTACAGCTTCCTAGAACAGAGTCGCAAACGAGTGAGCTGTTGGGATGAGTGGTTTTGTTTTGTTTTGGTTCTTTTTGCTTGCTTACAGCCAAGTCAGCGCAGACAGGCCTGTGAATGCGCTTGCGGAAATTTCGGTGATCTTGCTCCTGGAGATATCCCTACCGATAGAGTCTCAAACAAGTGAGTCTTTTGTGCTAGATTCGTCAAGACTTTGCTTCTTTACAGTTCGATTAGAAGAGTCAGGCCTGAGAATGCAGAGGCGGGGATGCTGGTGATTTGGCTGTTCCACAGCTGCCTACAGATAGCGTCAAACAAGTAAGCGGCTTGTTCTTGATTCTTCATGTCTTTGCTTGCTTACAAGCTCGTCAGCGCAGTCAGGACTGGGAGTGCGGCTGTGGGAATGCTGGTGAGCTGGTTGTTTTGCAAATTTCTACAGATGGGTCACAAACAAGTGAGCGAGTTGAATGTGTTCTTCGTGTCGTTGCTTGCTTACAAGAGTGTCAGCGCAGTCAGACCGGTGAATGCGTTTGCCGAAATGCTGGTGAACGGATTCGATGTCAGAGATCTACAGATAAAGTTGCGGAGTGAGCGCGGTTGTGGTCTTTGTCATGTGTTTGCTTGCTTACAAGGTTTTCAGCGCAGTCAAGCCTGTGAATGAGTTTGCGGGAACGGTGGCGATCCGGCAGTTTGTCAGGTCACTTCGGATCGAGGATCATGAAAGTGAGCCATTGGTGTGTGCTTCTTCATTTCTTTGTTTGCTTACAGGTAGGTCAGTGTAGTCAGGCCTGCCAATGCGGCGGTGGGAATGCCAGCAAAATTGTTGGAATTCAGCGATCTAGGGATAGAGTCGCATCAAGGTGAGCAGTTTGCGTGTGGTTTTTTTTTTTTGTTTTTTTTTTCCGTCTTTTGCTGGCTTACAGCCAAGTAAGTGCACTTAGGCCTGTGAATGCGCTTGCAGATACGTCGGTGATTGAGTTGGCTTGCAGAGATCTACAAATAGAGTCGCCAATGAGTGAGCCGGTTGTTGTGGGATTCTCCATGTTGTTGCTTGCTTACAGGTAAGTCAGCGCAGTCAGACTGGCGAAAGCGTTTGCACCGAGGCTGGTCATTCCAGTACCGTACAGAATCCTATCGACGTATACCAAATGAAGAGGATAATGCTTCAATTCAAGGTCAACTCGAAAGGCAGCACCTACAGTTTCGTTGTCGTGACTGGAATTCCGGTTGGAATGGCGGTGAGAGGTTTGTTACTGCAATCGACAGTCGCTCCCGAGCAAGTGCACGTGGTGCAGGCATCGACTGCCTGTGCCAGCTGGACGTGATAACTCACGCAGAGTAGCAGAAGCAGACCAAAGGCAAATCCTTTTGTCGCCATCTTTGAGGATTGTGAATTAGAGACATTGACAGCACAAAGTGAGCGCGCATCTTCGTACCAAATAACTCGCAATACATCACCCTGTTGAAAGACAGTTATGTGTGGATGAATGACTTCCAGCTGCTTCTTTTGTTCTTGTCCCGCGAGAACAGTGTATGCGAGTATGCGTGTGTCTGCTGAGCGGATGGATGCGGTTTGTTGTTTTCCCCCCCCCCTGTTTTTTTCCCGCCTTCTTCGGGCTTCCACACAACCTTCGCGACCTGTTTGTCCCTCCCCGCACGTCCCTTCTCGATCATTCGCACTATTTTTTCCTTTGACATAATACGGGTTTTAGGAGAGCGGCAGAACGAGACGACACTTTGAAGACCTTCGAAAAAAGGGTTTCGATGCGGGGTTTGGCAATTGTTGTTTTTTTGTAGTTTCTCTTCGGGGATTTTCAGGGCCAGACTCAGGATCCCTCGCCCCATTATTGCTCCTGGTTAATAAAATTATAGTACTGTTGCAACGGGACGCATGCGAGGATCAGAGGGGAGAGAGACAGAGAAAGAAGGCAAGACGGCGCAAAAAGCGCACATGAGCGAAAACAAAAAGGGTCGCCAGACATGCGCGCATTGAACTGCTCGTGGCCGGCACGATACAATGCGGCAGAGATCGCTTCCAAACTAACGAGAAGCTCAAACGAGAAGAGTACTTCACTCCTTTTGAGGTCGGATTGACGATGCGCTTTGGCTGACTTACTGTTGCTGCAAGAAAAAAACCAAAAGAGGGGAAAGAAACAAAACCACAAGAACGCAAAGAGAAAAGAAGGAGTGAACCGTTCACCATTTTTGATCAACCAGCAATAATGCCGTTGTGATGGGTCATTCTGGCTGGGGGCCCCTTTCTCGAGTCTGAGCGAGAACAATCGGACCCACTGCGTGAACCTGCACATCGCAGTTCGTCGCTGCGACGCCGGTAAGAATGGTCAATCAGAACGGCAGAAACAAAAAGACAAAAAAAAAAAAACAGAGCAAAAACCAAAACACTTTCAACACACAACGCGCCACATGCGCACAAACACAAACGACTTGTTCACTTGCGGACGGACTGCAGTGATTGCTGCGCCCGGATTGCTTACAAGTACCACTTGAGACGCAGTCAAACCACAAGGACAGCTGAGCTGGTCGAGGGGGAAAAAAAAAAAGAAACCAACAAAAAAAAAAGGAAAAAGGAACAAACAAAACAACAATCACAAGATTTTGCTGTTATCGCAATTCGTTTTGTGAAAATGCGCTCATGTGCAGCAAATCCAAGAAAGTAATCTATTCACCCGGAGAATAGCCGAAGCATTCGCCAACCCGAGATTCGGATCCAAAGAAGAGAGAGGCGGGAGAGGAATAGAAGGGCGGCACCTTCGGAAACGCCAGGCGCTTTGTTGTTTTTGACCAGTTCTCGCGTGTCAACAAAACAAAGCAAATAAGGAATTTTCGGACAACGTCTTCAGCTCGTTTGATCGTCCGATCCCCTCTGCTCATGCATTCGAGCTGCCAGGGCGCTGTTTCACTTGATGCTGCGGCTGAAGGAAGAACAACTGCAAACCAAATTGAACCTTCATTTCTGTCGAATTGTCGATTTGGGTATTGAAAACAAACAGACATAAACAGACATCAAAAGGACGGCAGAGCACAAAGAGACGCACAGAAAAACATCGAGAAAGACAGTCGAACTGGAAACCATCCAAGAGCAAGCTACACGGAATCGGCATTTCCGGTCTGCGCGGAAGCTGCAACATCGATCGTCGCGTAAGTGGTGGTTGAGGACGCGGGCGGCGCACGAACAGACGAGGGATTGGGCAGCGAGGGATCGGCGTACTGGACATCGCTGCCCGATGCTTGCGTTGCACCGTATGCAGACTCGGATGCGTTGGCATACACCAGTTCAGACGAGACCACATGAGCCTTGGGCTTGGCGCCAACATCTTCGTACAAGGCGTGGTCACCAGTCGCAGACAAAGCTTCGTAGGTTGGATTGGCCGCGTTCAGCACATTGCCGCTGTGATCAATCGACTGATAGGTTGGCTCCGAGCTGGAGGCTGATTCGCGCACTTTGTTGGCTGAGATGGTGGTTGCCAACGCCTTTGGAGAGCGACGACGACGCCGAATTGCCACAACCAGCGCAACCAACAAAAGGAGACCGAACACACCACCAATCACTCCGCCAATAATAGCGCCAGTAGATGCACCACCCGAAGATGCAGCTGCAGCAGATGCAACGGACGCCGATGCGGCAGATGCAGCCGATGTCTGCCACACAGACGAGGCACTAGCGACTGATGCGGACGCAATGGACGCAGATGACGCAGTAACGAGAGAAGCAAATGATGCCGAGGCAGCCGAGGTAGCGGAAACAAGAGACGCAACCGAGGCGGATTGCGTGGAGGCGACTGAAGCGACGGAGGCGACGGAGGCGACGGAGGCGACGACAGAGAGCGGAGCGCAGGATCCACCCAGGACGCCATATCCTTCATAGCACTGAGTGCACACGGACGATGAAGTGCAGGACAGGCAATTGGTTTCGCAACACGCACTGGACCCAGCGTCATAGCATGTTGCACAGGCTGTATCACACTCTGGAAGATAGACAAATGTCAGCGAAATGATCATACGGGATTTCAATCATCTCGGAACTTACGGTACGGCTGGGACGCGCTGCCGTATGTGCTGGGCGGAGCGACAGTGTGTCCATCAAAGTTAAAGTTGTTGGGGGCCAGATACGGGAACGAAACCGACAACTGCAAGCCATTTTGCAGGCCCTGAAACAGACCGGGCGGCAGAGTCGTGAGGGGGTTGTCATTCAACGCCCTAAGAGTGACTTGATGTGAGAGGTGAATCGAATCAGTGCTTTCAGAGTGCTTGCTTACAGCATCGTCAGCGCCGTCAGGCCTGCGAATGTGCTTGCGGGAATGCTTGTGATCTGGTTATTATTCAATGCCCTGCAGAAGGAGTCGCAAAACGAGTGAGCCGTCCGAGTAATCCTTCATAACTTGAAACTTTGCTTGCTTACAGGTTCTCCAGCCCACTCAGGCCTGCGAATGCAGACTCTGGAATGCTGGTGATCTCGTTGTAGCCCAAAACCCTATCGAAAAAGTCGCAAACGAGTGAGTGGTTTGTGTGTGATTGTTTCATGCTTTTGTGTTACTTTACAAGGAAACGACCGTCGTCAGGCTGGTGAACACATCTGCCGGAATGCTAGCGATCTGGTTGTTGTTGATAACCCTACGAATCGAGTCGCAAACGAGTGAGCGGGTTGCGAGCGATTCTTCATGGCTTTGTTTGCTTACAAGGCACGCAGCGCAGGCAGGCCGGAGAATGTGTCCGCCGAAATGCTGGTGATCTGGTTGCCGTCCAGAGCCCTGCAGATAGACGCCGACAAAGTTAGCCGTTTGTATGCAGACTCTTCATGGCTTTGCGTTGCTTACAAGTTGTTCAGTGCACTCAAGCCTGAGAAAGCGTTTGCGGAAATGACGGTGATCTGGTTGTTCTCCAGAGCCCTACGAATCGAGTTGATAAACGAGTGAGCCATGTTTGTAGTGGTTCTTCATGCCGTTGCCTGCTTACACGTAGGTCAGCGCAGTCAGGCCTGGGAAAGCAGAGGCGGAAATGCTGGTAATCTGGTTGCTCTGCAGGTACCTATCGACCGCAGACCAATGATGAGGGGGCAAAGCTTCATTCAATTCAAGGTTAACTTGACGGCAACGCTTACAGCTCTGTTGTGTCGACTGGGATTCCGCTTGGAATGGTCGTGAGAGATCGGCCAGCGCAATCGACAGCAGTTCCCGTGCAAGTGCACACACCGCCAGTGCCACAAGCAAGCGGAGCACATGATCCACCCGTCAAGCCGTAACCCTCATAGCACTGAGTGCACACAGCGGATGAACTGCAGGCCAGACAATTGATTCCGCAACACGCAGCAGACCCAGATGCATAGCAGGTGGCGCAAGTTGTATCGCACACTGCAAAACACTTGTCAGTGAAACGATCACCTTGTGATTGCAGTCATATCGGAACTTACTGTATGGAGTGTCTGCACTGCCGTAGGTGCTAGGCGGAGCGACAGTATTGCTACCAAAGGTAAAGTTGTTGGGACCCAGGTATTGGTTCATATCGGACAAATACAGGCCATTTTGCAATCCCTTGAACAGACCAGGCGGCAAAGTGGCGACAGGATTGTCATTCAAAGCCCTGCAAATACCGTAAAGTCAGAAGAGAATTGAATGCGCGCATTCACAGAGTGCTTGCTTACAAGAGGGTGAGAGCCGTGAGGCCTGCGAATGCGTTGGCCGCAATGCTGGTGATCTGGTTGTAAGCCAAATATCTATATCACGTCGCAAACGAATGAGCCGGATGTGTGCAATTCTTCATACATTTGATTGTGCTTACAGGGTAGTCAGCGCAGGCAGGCCTGCGAATGCGTTGGCCGCAATGCTGGTGATCTGGTTGTAAGACAAATATCTATATCACGTCGCAAACAAATGAGCCGGCTGTGTGCAATTCTTCATACATTTGATTGTGCTTACAGGGTAGTCAGCGCAGTCAGGCCTGTGAATGTGTTTGCGGAAATGCTGGTGATCTGGTTGCTGTCCAAATTCCTGCAAAATAGGAAAATAGTGTCGCAATCGAGTGAGCTGTTTTTGTGCGAGATTCCTCTGGTCTTTGCGTGCTTACATTTGTGTCAGCGCGCTCAGCCCTGAGAAGGCGTTTGCGGCAATACTGGTCAGCGGGTTGGTGGAGAGAGATCTACAGGATACGAGTCGCAAATGAGTCAGCCGTCTGGGTGTGATTCCTCCTGTTTGTGCTTGCGTACATGAATTGCAGCGCAGTCAGGCCGGTGAATGAGTTTGCGGGAATGCTGGCGAGCTGATTGGTATGCAAATATCTAAAGATCGAGAGACTCGAACGAGTGAGCGGCCGCGAGGGTTCGATTCTTCATGTCTTTTGCTGGCTTACAATGTAGTCAGCGCAGTCAGGCCCGTGAATGAAGATGCAGAGATGCTACTGATCTCGTTGCCTCGCAGATCCCTATCGAACGTGCTCCCATCAGAAGGACGATGCTTCAATTCAACTTGTGCTCAACAGCAACACGTACAGGATGGTTGTGGTGACTGGGATTCCGGTTGGAATGGTCGGGAGAGCGTAACCAGCGCAATCGACAGTAGTTCCCGTGCAATCGCATACGGTGCAGGCATCGACGGCCTGTGCCAGCTGGACGTGATGGACGACGCCGCATAGCAGCAAAAGCAGCCCAAAGGCAATTCCGTTGGTTGCCATCTGTTGAGCAGAGATATTTACAAGGTGAGCCCGCAGCTTGTCAACAAACACTCGCCCGCAACATCGCAGGACTGCATGCCAGTTGTGTGCGGATGGATGGGCTGCAACCCGCCGGCCGCAGAGTTCAGCTACCGTCAGCTGGGTTAGCGGGGGAAAAAGAAGCGTCACAACGACTGTTCCGAGGTGTCCTGTCTGCCTGCCTCTCCCCCCTGCGCGCGCTTTCTTGAAGCGATTCCAACTGTCTTTGTTGATTTTTACGGCCTCAAGAGAGCCAAGGGGGAGGTTGAGAGGGGGAAGGGAAGAGATGGCGCATCATCATCAGCGACCCTCTCGTTTTGTGTTTTGTGTTTGTTTTGGTTTTGGTTGTTGTTTTGTTGTTTTGGTTTTTGTTGTTTTGTTTATTTCTGCTTGTTGTTTCCGTTGCCTGCACTGCCAGACACAGAGTCCCCCCCCCGCTGTTCCTGCCGCTGTGCCACTGCTTCTGCTCGATCATGTTGGCCTGATGCAGCAGGACGCGTGAGCGGATCAGAGCGGAGAGAGACAGAAAGGCAGCGACGACAGGAGTGGCACAGGAAGACGATCGGAAGATAGCCAATTCCCGCACCTTGCAGCACATCCGACTCAAGCAGCACGGCGGCAGAGACCACTTCAGCACAAACGAGAGAATCGGCAGAGAAGAGTGCAATCGCTGCCTTTGGGTTGGATGGACGATGCATTTTGGCCGACTTACCATTGCTGCAAAAAAAAAAAACAGAGTGTGTGGGAAGAAGAGAAAAAAAAAACAATGAATGATCAAACCATCGTCGCGATCTATTCGATCTATTCGATCTAAGGGCGTGTTGCGACGACGCTCCAGCTCGCACATGGCCAGCGAAACAGTCGCAGTGATGGTTGGCAATGAACGAATTGATCATTGGGAGACGACAGCCATGGCCGCCCTTCCCGTGTCCTATTGTGTTTGGCCAAATTGAAAACTCTGTGCCGCTCGTGTCACGCAACTGGATTTCTCCTTCCCCACCCCCCCTCCCGCCACAGGCTTTTGACAACTGGGTCTGGGGCAAGTCTCGCATCGCTGTACTTGGAGCATGTGAAGGCATCCTGCGTCGCCTCGGCTCAGGGGCTCTGTTGAACATGCATGCGTAGGCGTTTGCCCGGACCAATCGGCTCTCGCCGCAATGATTCTGGTCCTTTTGACGAGGCTCGTTTCTTCAGTCTCTTCAGTCAGCTTTTTGTCTTCCTGATGGCTTGCAATCCGGTTCGAAACACTGCCCTCCCAGCATCTGCCGGACCCGCTCCTCGCAAGAGACTCCAATCTCAACGAGAGCTCTCAGCTGCTGAAGTGCAACCAGCGAGCGCAGCCAAGAAACACCATACGGAGCCCACTCCGCGACAACGACGAAAGGAACTCGCCGTCGAGCAGTCCAACAAGCTGGCAGCCTATCTCGGAGTGCTCGAGGACATGGGCGCGAAACTTCCTTGGGACGCTGAGGACTTTTATGACCCCACAATCGAGACGAGAACAGCAACAGAAGATTCGGAATATGAGAAATGGTTCCGTGCTCTGCCTCCTCCGACCAAAAAACAATACAACATGAAGTGATGCACGCCAAACCCATGCCAGCCCACTTTGTCCGGGTGCATCACCCCCTATCGCATTAAAAACCATTGTGATGTATTGTGATTTTGCGCCCTTGGTCTTCCACTCAATTCTCATTCATTTTCAAAGCCTTAAGCGAGCCGAAAACAGCTTTATTGAAAGATCACTCGATCACAGTGTGTCGCGCCAGAACGACAGACAAATCTCATGCTAGCAACGAATATTCAGTCTACAGTAGATCTATGTTTGACTATAACCCTCGTGCGCCGAAAACGACGACGAGCTTCAGCAAGCATTTGTCTGGTAGCTTTGACATTGTGTGGCTGCTTTAGATCGACAAAAAAGTCAACAACAACAACAACAACAACCGCTTTCACACAGCATTACATCAACCACTCGTTGGCTCCTTCCAATGGTTTGTAGGCGCTCAACCAGCTGTTGGAACTCCTTTGGCGCCAACCCAAGGTTAAGCCGCAACTTTTAGACTTTTTCCTGCATTTGCTCACCCTTTGTCTGTTGCGACTTGATCCAACCCTCGGTCGTGCTGGTCGCAGAATGACCCCTGTCATCTCAGAATTCTCAGCACTCTCAGAACCCTCAGTCTTTTTCTTCTTCTTCTTCTTCTTCTTCATGGCACTTGTTCAGTGGCGCAAGTTCCAATTCTTCGACCGCGAAGTTGTCCGCGAGCTCGAGGAGAGCAGCGGCCTGCCCAGCAAGGATGCCTCTGCTGCTGGCAAGCAGGACGCCAACAAGGACAGAGATCCATCTGCCCCGCAAACGCCAGTGCCCGCGACGCTCCAGGTAAAAAAAAAAAAATAAAATAAAAAGTGCAAATTTCCAGCCAAATTTCAATCGAAAAATAAAAAAATAAAAAATAAAAAAATCAGTGAGATCTCATTGATGACCCTGCGTTCGGTTGGCTTGCCCTGACCCCGTCCGCTTGTCTCGTACCTGCTGTCTTGTGTGTCTGTGGGCTAGTCGATGAACATTTCCGCGTGCACGAGCGGCCACGGCAACCTGGTCTTTGGCGACACGGACGGCCTCGTCCACTTTGTCGATCGCTCGTATCGCATCACGAGCTTCCGTGCGTACGAGTTCCAGGTCACCAGGCTCAAGCAGATGAAGCAGCAGAACATTTTGGTCACTGTCGGCGTAAGTCCCGTGTCGATCTCTGCTGCGCACTTGATGAGAGGAGAGCCGGGGGAAAAAAATTGTGCTCATTCTATCTCTGCTGCTCCTGTGCACCACCACCACTACCAACCACCCCGCCGCCTCTGTTTCATGTTCCGTCCTTGGTCGTGGGTAGATTGATGAGGAAACGGGAGGCCAGCCACCGGTCATCAAGGTCTGGAACGTGGACAAGTTCGACAAGACGGGCTCGCCAACGCTCGTCAAGAGCATGCGCCCGCTGCACAACAACCGCGCGTACATGGTGTCATCGATCGCAGTGCTGGACAACCTGTCCCAGATGGCTGTTGGCCTGGTCAACGGTGTCGTTCTGCTGTACCGAGGTGACATTACGCGCGACCGCTTCTCGCGCACCAAAGTCCTCCATGAAGACACCGTCCCAATTACCGGCCTCGGCTTCCGCCAGACGGGTGCAAACGTGACGCTGTTTGTTGCAACCTCGGCTGCCATCTTTGCGTATTCTACGACTGGTCGTGAGCGACGGGTGAGTGACCGATTGTCGTTGCGAGAAAGGGGGGATTTTGGTGGTTGTCAACCTCTCTCTCACATTCGCTTGGAATTGGAATATTGCACCTATATGGCACCGCCTGATACAACTCGCAGGAGGTACTTGATGACAATGGCGTCGAGCTCAACTGCACGACCGTCAGCGAGCCTGAAGGCGATTTTGTCGTCGCTCGCAACGAGGCAGTGTACTTTTTCGAAGTGGAAGATCGTGGCCCGGCCTTTGCCTTTGAAGGTATGTCAAACTCATTGCCTTTTTTTTCTCGTTCTTTAATTCTTGGGCGTGCTCTCGCTCATGCTGCTTTGAATTTTCACAATGACTTTTGATGACATCCACTCCAGGCCCGAAAAGGCTCGTGTCCTGGTTCCGCAACTATCTGATTGTCGTGACTAGCCCACAGACCAATGCTCCTCCCGTTTCTGGGAGCACGGCGGGCTCGGCCGTTGCGGCATCGGCATCAACCATGCGGCCCTCGCTGTCCCGCGTCAACACGGTCAGCATTTACGACGTCAAGAACAAGTTTATTGCGTTCCAGGCCACGTTCAACGATGTCATTGACGTGGTGAATGAATGGGGTGCTATTTACGTCCTGACGGCTGAGAAGAAAGTGTTTATTCTGGAGGAGAAGGACACCCAGTCCAAGCTTGAAATTCTCTTCAAGAAGAACCTGTACCAGGTCGCCATCTCCCTTGCCAACAGCCAAAACTATGACTACGACAGCATCATTGAGATTTTCACGCAGTTTGGCGATCACCTTTATGGCAAAGGCGACTACGACAATGCCATTGCGCAGTATATTCGCACGATTGGTAGTCTTGAGCCGTCCTATGTCATTCGCAAGGTATAGAGTTTGAATTGGTGTTTTGTATATGGTGGACCCTCTGTGGGTGCACGCAAGTCGCTGATTTTTTTTTTTTTTTTTGCTTTTGTTTCGCGCGTTTGCCACTGCAGTTCCTTGATGCCCAACGCATCCACAACCTTACGTCCTATTTGCAAGCTTTGCACGAGCACGGTTTGGCCAACGCAGACCATACCACTCTTTTGCTGAATTGCTATACCAAGCTGAAGGACGTCAAGAAATTGGACGATTTCATCAAGGTTAACACCAGTAGTGGAAGGGGGTTTGGTTTGTTTTTGCATGCGCTTTGTTGCTCATCTTCGAAACTGTGTGTGTGTGGTGGGGGGGGGGCGCGTCTCTTTATTTGCATCTGCGAACGATTCTAGACGGCCAAGGAGGGCAACTTTGAAGTTGAAACAGCCATCAAAGTCTGTCGACAGGCTGGCTACCACCAGCACGCTTTGTATCTCGCTCGCAAGCATCAGCGTCATGAATGGTATGTGTCTTGTGCCTGTAGCTTGGTCTGCAGTCCTTCTCGCTTTGCTCGTTGCCTTGGGGAGGGGGGCGTGCTTCTCAGATGGGTTTGGTTTGTTTGCTCATTGTTTTTTTTCTTCCTGTTTTTCAATCATGCTGCAGGTACCTGAGGATTCAGCTCGAAAACATTCGCAACTACGAAGATGGTCTCGAGTACATTTCTACTCTCGAGTTTGCGGAAGTGAGTTTGACCCCCCCCCCCCAATGAGTCGTTCGTTGATGCGTATTAGCTTGTGCTGATCCCCTTCACACTTGATTATTGTTGTCTGTAAGGCCGAGAAAACGTTGAAAGATTACGGCCGCATTCTCGTCAACAATCTGCCCGAGAAGACGACCAATTTGTTGATTTCTCTTTGCACCGACTACAAGCCACGACATTCGGTCGACCATGTCCCCGCGGCGCCCGCCCGTGAGTCCCAGATGCAGCAACATGGGGCGTTTTGTCTGGTTTTTTGGAAGAAGAGGAAAAAGAAAAAACAGCAGACCCCGCTCACCCCATTTGTTTTTCTGTAATCGTCCAACACACACAGCCGCTCCAGCTGTGAAACACCGTGCTCGCCACATTGACGCAGAGATGGACCCGCTGCCAATCGACATGTCTTCGCTCTCGCCAGAAGACCGCGACCGCGCCTTGCTGTTCGGCCCTCCTCGCAAGACTGCTGCTGCAACCCCTTCGCCAATGCCCCCGCAGCAGGAAGACGACATGTTGGCCATGAGCTCGGGTTCTGGCGGCTACATGAGCTCGACGCCCTCCAAGATTGCTCGTGCCAAGCCCGAAGAATTCATTCACATTTACGTCAACCAAATGTCTTGGCTCATGTTCTTCCTGGAGCAGATTATCGACAAGATTTCTGATGCCTCCCCTCTGGTTTACAACACGCTTCTTGAACTTTACCTGAAGGATAGCCGAGTGAGTATTGGCGACGTTTGTGTCCGGGAGGACTCGAGCCTTGCTCATCTAAACCATTCCCCTTTTCTCTCTCTCTTCTCTCTCTCTTCTCTCTCTCTTCTCTCTCTCTTCTCTCTTTCTCTCTCTCTTTCTCTCTCCCTTCCTTTTGCTCTGGTACAGGACCCAAGTCTCACTCCAGTACTCAAAGCGCGTCGTGAACAAGCAGCTCTGGACCTGCTGATGCGCCCTGGCGAAACATACGACCTTGATCACGCCATGGTTCTCGCTCAAATGTACAAGTTCAAGGAAGGCATTCTGTGCCTTTACGAGCGGGCCAAGCTATTCCAGCAGATTGTGCAGTATTACATGGAAGTTGGCGACACGACACGAATCTTGCAGACCTGCAAAAAATACGGGTAAGTGCCAAAGCAGACGATTTTGATTTGGCTGGGCGCTTTTTGACGTTGGTCGTTGGTCGCTGTTCGCTGACTCTTCACTGTGCTGCAGCAAACAAGATCCCAACGTTTGGATTCAAGTGCTGTCGCATTTCGCGTCGCGCGAGGAAGATTGCCGTGCTGAGATTGTGGAAATTCTCTCCAACATTGACAAGGGCAACCTTCTCCCGCCGTTGCTTGTGGTGCAAATCCTTGGGCAAAATTCCACTGCCACCTTGTCCATAATCAAGGACTACGTGACCCGACGACTCACCTCCGAGAACCAGTACATTCAAGAGGTACAGGATTTGCGTGTTTTTGGATACGGAGCGGGGCAGCTTCCTCACTTCTTCTTCTTCTTCTTCATCTTCTTCTTCTTGTCTGCCATGCGTACTTTACTTGCCAGGATGAGCGGCTGATCCGTCAATATCGCGATGAAACGACCAAGATGCGTGATGAGATTGACGAACTGCGTACTTCGTGAGTGCCATTTGTTTATCTTTTCTTTTCTGCTCTGGACTCTCTGGCGTTGGGTTTTGCGTTGGCGCAGTTTTCTGTGCGGTTGTCGAAAAGCAACAGCTTGACCTCACTGATGTTTTGTTTTGTCGGTTTTTTTCGGTGTCCAGCGCAAAAATCTTCCAAGTCACCAAATGCACGGCCTGCACCGGCCCTCTTGATCTCCCCTCGGTGCATTTCATGTGCGGACACTCGTATCATCACCAGTAAGTGAACCAGTTTTGGGTGTGCACGGTTGCGAAGGGCTTGTTTGAGTCTAACGTCGTCACTGCAGTTGCTTGGGCGACGAACGCGAATGCCTGCGTTGTGCTCCGGAGAACAAGAAGATTCAAGACATTATTCGTGCGCAAGAGCAATCCGCCGATCATCACGAGGCCTTTTTCAAGCAGGTATGCCCTTCCGTTTTCGGATGTTCTTGCCGTGCTCGTTTTGTGGATGGAAGCATTTATTCATTTGCGGCTTCCTTGTGGGGTTTTTTTTTCTGCTGGCTCGAATAGATGCAAGCTGCAAACGACGGCTTTTCGGTGGTCGCGGACTACTATGGCCGCGGCGTCTTCAACAAAATGCAACTTGTTGGCGAGCCGCAAGCGCGACGCTGACAGCGTTTGTGATTTATTCATTTTCTTGGCTTTGTTGCCGATCTGCTTTTCTGCGTTGCAGTGATGTTGAGCTACAACTGTTCCTGTCGATACACTTTTGATCTCGTTCTTTTGCTTTCTGGCCTCGCTTTTTCTTTGCCACACAATCCCGTGATGGAACGACCAGAACAACAAACAAAAAATTCAGAAATCATCCGATACGCGAATAAAACGGAAAAGGTCTGGCGCTCGTCAGACCTGTTCGGCTGATCCAGCGCCTTCCGCGCCCGTCTGGCTGAGACACTGACACTGCATTTGCGTCTGTGTCATGTTGGAGGCGCGGCGTTCAGCAGACCAAATGCCTGGTTCAACGTTGCATTGATTTTTTTTTTTTGGTTATTTATTTTTTTTTTTTTTTGGTTATTTATTTTTGAATTTTGACATTTTATTTTATTTTTATTTTTCTCCATTCTTTTTTTTTTTTTTTTTTTTTTTTTGTCTGAAACAAAAGCAATGTCGGTCCATTCCGCCGGCGTGACTCCGGCCATGGCTGCAGTCGCCTTGAACACATCATCCGTGCGTGCGTGCACACGGATGGTGCCAAAGACGGTGGCGCTGGCACAGGCGTCGGGTCTGCCGTTCGGCCTCCACCTGTCGACGATGAGTGGGCAGGAGATGCGATTGGTGGATGAAGAGCTCTTGGCGTACAAGCCAGATCCCGCCGCGGTGCTGCGGAGCGGACGACAGGACGATGCAACAGTGCAAGCACTGTCGCCTCAGAACGCGTCTGCTGCCGGCGTCGCAGGGCCAGGCGCAAGTCGCGGTGGAAGCACCGTGCTTGGACTCCCAGTTGCTGAAAGTTTTGTTGGTCTGACTTTTGTCGTCCCAGACTCGCGGGAGAACACTGCGACCCCCGTGCTCATCCCCGCCAGTCGCCGCGACGCCAGTGTCGGCGAGGCTCTTGCCTCTGCCGCGCCGCATGGGCAGGCGGAGGCAGAGCCGAGCCGCCGCGGTGGGGCTCACCTGCTCAGCCCGCAGAGCCAAAGCGGTAACGTGGCTCAGCAGCAGCAGCAGCCGTCCCAGACGCTGCAGCAGCCGCGCGTCAGCAGCCCCATCTCCGGCATGACTTCGTTTGTCACTCAGCGCAACTCGCTGCTCATCCCCAGCAAGGCGCCCGTGGTCCATCTCCCGCCAGACTCGTGTAACGCTTGCCGTGGTTATTTCAACCGCCATTGCGTCTCGCTTTCCTCAGGTGCGTACTACTCTCTTGCTCTCCTCCACTCAAACACCCTCCCCCTCGCGCCTCTGGTCTTTGTTTCCACCATATCTCTCTTCTCTCTTTGTGGCATGCTCGCAGTGCTGTTGGGCTTTTTATTGTGGGGCGCACAAAAGCAAAAAAGCAAAAAAAAAAAAAAAAAAAAAAAAAAAAAAAAAAAGCGTTAATAATCCGCAAAACAAATGCCGTTCAGAAAATGCCTTTACTAGGAGTTTTTTTAAAGTTTTTTTTTAATTTTTGGAATGAGTTTTTTTGTCGTTTCTTTTGTGGTGCGATTTGGGGGGTGGGCTTTGTTGGTCTGCTTCCTTGGCGGACTGCGAGGCTGTGTTGGGCGGTCGAGCGGTGTCAAGCGAGCGGCAGTTGGGCTTGACTTTTGCTGAGCGCACCAAAAAAAAAAAAAAAAAAATCATCATCATGGCAATTACACATCTCGCTCGCTCGCTCGCTTTGCACACACTCCGACAAGGCGGTAGAAGGGGATTTGGGGGGGGGATGGCGCGTCTGACGTGCGTCCAGAGTCCAGCGGGAAAAACCCGAAAACTCGACCAGCTTGATTGCCTCAGAACAAGTGCGCTCGGCTTTTTTTTTTTTTTTTTGCTTTTTTTTTTTTCGTTTTTTCTTGTTTTGAGTGTTTTCCGAGAAAAAGCAAGTTCGCACTTTTTCGCTTTTCTTTTTCTTTTTTGGTGCGGATTTTGGCTTTTCCACCGCCTGTTTTCGGCGCTCTTTGCTGAAGGGCAGAGTAAAGAGATAAATAAGGGCACGGACATCAGTCCCTTTGGAGTTGCAGAACGAGGACAGAAAGCCCCATTTTGTTCAGAATTGTTCGAAAACCTTCTTTTTTTTTCGTTTTTTTTTTTAAAAACCAAAATTTCTTGTTTTTGATCTGCCTTCTTTCCCGCCCTTCTCAATCCGCGGGATATTGAAAATCGTAGCGGGATTTGTGTTGTGCATTGGATCAACCAAGGCGATCATAGTGCGCGTACACTCTGGCGTCGTGGCTGTTGGATTGGAAAAAAGGGGCGTGCGTTGTGTCTCAGCCAGATCGGCGCTTCCCGATCTGGGCTGGATCTTGGTTTTGCGTGTGTCCGTCATTTTTGAGGTTTATTCGCTTTTTGGTGTTTTTCTTGCTTGTGTCTTTTTTTTCCTTTTTTCGTTTTCTGTCTCTTTTCTCGGACGGTTTGTTTTTTTTTTTTTCAACACTGCTTTCTTATCGCTCGCTTTAGCGCGCATTTGCTGTTCAACGGTGTCGAGTGAGAATTCTATGTGGGACAACATCCACCTTTCGCCGATAGCTCACTTTGTATTTTTTTTTTGTGGGGCAATTTGTCGTGTGCTGAATCACAGGCGACTGGAAATGCTGCTTGTGTCCGCACATCAACCCTCCACTACGGCGGGCAGTGCGCCCCGAAGAGCTGATGCATGACACGATCGAGTACAATGTGGCACAAGACACGGTAATGCTTGCTAGTACCGCTGCCTCCTCCTCTCTCGGTTGTCGACTAACAATCAAAACCCAAAAAAAAAAAAAAAAAAAATTTCGTCGTCCTGTTGTTGTTGTGTGAAAAACCGCAGCCACTTGCAATGGCGCACCCGGAACCGGTCATCGTCCTGCTGTTCGACGAGAACATTCCCCAGTCCCACGTCAAGGTGTGTATACAAACGGATTGTGGTTTTTTTTGCAGTTTGTGCGACAGAGCTTGCCGAAGAGTTCAGCAATTTTGAGTCAATGCGTGAAGCAATCTCCTCATTTTTTTTTTTCCTTCTCTCCTCTCTCATCATGTTCTCACTTCATGCCGCTCGTACTTTGGTCCTGCTGTGGCTGGTCCTGCGCTCCCACTTGCTAAATTCCTGCTTTGCTCTGTCCTTCCTGCCTGGCATCTTCTTTTGTTCGCTTGGTTGCCACTTTGCACGGCGTAGGAGACAATCATTGCGCTCAAGAACACACTCGACGACATGCCTCGGTCGGCGAAAGTCGCAGTCGTCACTTTTTCCACTCTAGTCTCCGTCTACCGACTCACGGCCACGGCGTCGTCGAGCTCGGATGTATTCCCAGGCTCCACACTCCTCAGTCTGGATGACGCAGCCCAGCTGAGCGAGTCCTTGGACTCGTACATTGTTCCTCTCCATGCGAATCTGCTGGCCGTCATGCGCGCCGTCTATCTGTCCAACCGTTCGACGGGGCCGACGTCCTCTCCTGCAGCTGCCAAGTGCTGTCTGGGATCCGCTCTGGCGGTTGCCGAGACGCTCCTGAAGCGTAAGTAGCGTTGAGGCTTGTGCGCAGTCGACTGCATTGTCAACCATTGGAGATGATTTTTTTAACTTTTTTTCTTGTCTCTTTTTTGCCACAGAATGGACAAGGCGATCGAATACGCCTCAGTTGCCTCGCGGAAGTCAGATTATCGTGTTCGCATCAGGGCATCCGAGCTACGGCCCGGGCGCAGTTGTGGAGGAGCATGAGATGGTACGGGCTTTTTTTTTTTTTTTTTTTTTTTTTTTGTTCTTCGTTGTACGGGCTTTTTTTTTTTTTTTTTTTTTTTTTTTGTTCTTCGTTTTTTTCCCTTTGTCCCTCTTTTGTTTTGAATTCTGCTCCACCAAGAAATGTTGCTGCGGCGGAATTTTACAGTCGGCTTTACGCACCAAGAAATGTTGCTGCGGCGGAATTTTACAGTCGGCTTTCCGCATCCGCACGCCAGATGGACGTGCTTGTTAATATTGTGTGCATTGGGTTTGCGTACTTTTGCATTCCAGTTCTTCGCTCGGCTGTAAGACTTTCCCCCCCCCCCAAGCATTCTTCAATCTTGAAACGGCACTCACATTGTATTTGGGGGAACAGATCCAACCATCTGGCGGCACGCTCGTCATGCACAATGAAGTTCGACAGGAAATGGCGGCTGATTTGCGATTCCTTTTGTTGCAGCGTGAGTACTTGTCCCTTGCCTTCGTTTGTGCCCTTTTTTTGGTTGGAGCTCACGGTTTGTTCTAAATTGTTTCGTTCCATCGACCTTCAACAGCCTATGGACGCGATGGACGAGTCTCGTACAAGTGCTCCACCAATTCGATCGAGCTAACGCATGTTATTGGTCCTGCGTCGCCATTGCGTGACACGGACAAGATGGGGGCGGACGACTTGTGCTTTTTGGCAACAGTGCGTCCACATCAAAGTCTCGGCGTTCTATTCGAGGTCGTGCGCGACATTACCGATGAAAATGTCTTTTTCCAGTTTACATCGCAGTACACCAATCCCATGGGCGACCTGTACGGATCAAACGAGTTGTTAGGCCAATGCTTTCTGCACTGTATGACTCAATCCTGGCTCTTTTTTTTTTTTTTTTTTCCTTTTTTCTTTTTTTTTCTTCTTTTGCGCAGCGTTCACCGTGTCACAACCTTGCGCTACTCGACTACCACGGATCGTGCTGCCTTGCTGGACTCTGCGGACACGGATGCCTGTGTGGCATTCATTGCCAAGCAGGCGATTCTTGCCAGTCGAGATGGCGCAACACCAGCCCAAATTGTTTCCCAGCTGTATGGCAAACCTTGCTTCTTGTCAAGCATTGTGCTGCTGAGAGTGTGTCCCTGACAAGTCTTTTCTCTTTTGACTCGCTTGCTGTACACAAACAGCGACTATCAACTCGGCTTTGTGTTGAAGGCGCATTCTGATTTCGATCGCTTCAACCATCAAACCAAGCTCGTGCTTCCGACGGCCATTGAAGATTTGCCTTCCAGGTTTGTGAAGCGTGTTGTGGTGTTGATCATGAGGAGCAGTGCGGCGCACTCACCTGGGTTTGGCACCAACAGAATGTACCATCTGCGACGAAGCCCCATGCTGGCTACCCAGATGCAGCCGGCAGACGACATTGAGTACCTGCGCTCCATCTTTTTGCAGAGCGACGTCGTGACCTGCCGGAAGATGATTGAGCCTCTGATGTTTGAAGTCAGCGACTGCGGGACGTTCACACCTCTATCGCTCAGCACGCTCAGCCTCTGGCCCGATCGCACAATCCTCGTCGATTACGAAACGCACATTCACGTGTGGTTGGGCTTGGCTGTGGTCAACAAGCTGCAGGCCGAGGCCATTCACGCCGGCGCCACCAAGCTTGACATGGCGAGCCACGCTCCCATGACCTGGTGCCACAAGTACGTGCGTCGCGCTTCCATGACCTGGTGCCACAAGTACGTGCGTCGCGCTTCCTCGCTGCGGTTCCCGCATCCTCAGTTTATCGCCATGCTTACTCCTGCGCACAACGTAAGAAAAGTTTTGTGTTGTTGCTGCTGCTGCTGCTGCTGCTGCTGCTGCTGCTGCTGCTGCTGTTGTTGTTGTTGCTGCTGCTGCTGCTGCTGCTGCTGCTGCTGAACAATTCAGGTTGCTCACTTCGGCGTTATTCGATTGCGTTGACAGGACACGATTGCACTGAATCTTATCGACGCCCCAGACCTGGCGCGGCTCAGCGTAGAACAATTGCAGTCGCATCTGGAGAGGTTTCCGAAATCCGACGAGTGGTCGCTGCGGAATTACCTGCGCTTCATCCAAACACTCGACATGAAACACAGACCTGCTCCACTATAACCCCTGTCGTTGACCGGTCAGCCACGAACACCCAGTTCTTTGTTGCGTGCTGGTTCACACAATAAACAATGAAAGCAGTCGCACAACGTGGGAATCAAGTTTGCTTGCTGCCTGCTAGGCCATGGCCGTAACCAGGCTCCAGAGAAGAGAATTCCAAAATGCGTGGTGCCAACCAGTAGCGAGCTGATTCGGTCTCAAGCTCGTGTTGCTTCACAAACCTCACATCCACTTCCAATTCCACAAAATACCGCAGTATTCACCAATCCCGTGATAGGGAATGTGCAAAGCGCGATCGAGCGCGCCTCTTCTCGCTTCCAAACAGAGAACAATCCATCCATTACTTTGCATCGTGGTGAAACACATGAAAATGACAGTGAGCCTTGCTTGCTTTGTTTGTTTGTTTTTAAATGAATGCTGTATTGCTTCCCTCCCGAAACTTGCACCGATAACACTGCTCAACGAGTCAGTGTGTCAACACAAGCCCGCTTGAAAGAAAATAAACGGTGCGGGATTCCTTTACAAGTGCTCGAACTTCTTTCGCTCGGCCATCTCCTTTGCCACAGTCTGGATGAGGCCCTGGAGGTATCGGGGCTCCTGTTTGGTTGGCATTCACGATCAAACAAGTGAGCGAGGCGCGACTCCTCCACAAACAAAAAAAAAAAACCAACAAAAAAAAAACCTCAAACTCACAGTCTCAGAGTTGGTCCACTGCTCGCGGGGCAGGATTTGTTGCTGCAAGCTGAGCTGGGTGGCAATCTTCATGCGGAAGATGCGGCGGTCCTGCTCGATGGGGTCCAGCCGCCGGAGGGCCTCGGCAACAACGGGATCGTCCTCGCTCAGCAGATCGTCGCGGAACAATCCTACCCAACCAAAGACAGGCAGAGAAAGCAGAAACGGATGAGCGAACAAGTCTCAGAAGAGAAAAGAAACGAGCTGCAATGGAAAACTCAATGGAAAAAAATCAATGGAAAAAAAAAAAAAATCAATGGAAAAAAATCAATGGAAACAAAATCAAAAAAAAAAAAAAAAAAAAAAAAAAAAAGAGCGAGATCGCGTCTGTTGTTCAGGCCTTGCTTTTTGGCTGGTCCTTCTGCTGTCGTCACTCAGCCGCACTGGCCATGCAACCGACGAAGCGACAAGTTGTTCTCCTGCAGCGGGGTGGGGGGGCCAGCAGCGTCAGGAGAAGGGGCGACAGACAGAGAGAGAGCAACATTGCCCTCATGCTCCCTCTCTCTCTCTCTTTCCCGGTTCCTATGACCCACCACCACCACCACCACCAAGGGCGATGATGCAAGGTCTGGAGTGAAAAAAAACACTCACCGAACTTTTGGTAGCCTGAGGCGTTGACGGCCCATCGGCTGATGCTGTTGAAGAGCGACGAGACCAAGCCGACGTTCGTGTGGCGAAGCGAAGTCATAGTGAAAGCGAACAAAGTGAAGGGAAGACTGAGGCTTACTTTTGTAGCCTTGAATGGGGACATTTAGTGAATGAATCCATCCTCAATGGAAAAAGTCAAAGCGGGCTGGTTTGTGATCACTCTGCTGCATTTTGGTTTTGCTCGGAAATCAGACGGGGGTTTGAACAACAAGCGTCGCACGCCAGTCGTTGTTCAAGTGCTCCAGCGTCAGTTGTTTGCTTCAAGCTGACTTTCTAAGACCAGCAGGGTTTCTTTCAAATGTCGCGCCGTCGCCGACGCAGTAATGCTCCGCAGACACCTCCATCCAAGACATCGACCGTCGCTGGAACTTTGTACCATCACGGCTCGAGTGGCGCAATCTATGAGGAAGACACCGAGGCCAAGCGCGCGGCAGATGCAGAGTATGTTGCAATGGGATTGCTGCCAGCGCCCAAGCCGGCGTCCACCGCCACAGTCCGCCCAGCGAGCATTGCGGATGGTCGTGCCGTGAGCCTGTCTGCGGCCCAGGCACAGTTGTCCGGCTCTGCGCGGCAGTCGACAACATCTGCAATGGCAATCCCGGCCAAGTCGGCCCAAGCACAACATCCTGCATGGTCGGTGCAAGCCAAGTCTGTCCGCTTTGCTCAATCGCCCGAGCTACACATTGCTCACCAGCAGCCTCACCAGCCCAAAGGACATGGGAAGATGCCTCAAAGTGCGTCGAGAACTCAAGTTGCTCCGATTCCCGCTAAAATGGCCTTTCGTGCTGTGCCTCAGTCCCAAATCAATCAGCCTGCTGGGGATGGCTTGCAGAAGGCACCAAGCACGAAACGGCAACGGGCTACGGAAGTCACGGCCGGAACGCACCAAGACTCTGTCCGAAACAAGGTGTCGCGCCAATCCGAGGATGCAGACGTTCCGTCGGCCCGTCAAGCGTCATTCGCGGATGCTGCCTCAGCTTCTGCTGCACCACCATCACTGCGAGCACCCGTCGTGCCTCCAAGTAGCTCTCGGCATCCAACTGCTCGTGAGCATGGTTTCTCAACCACCTCGAATCCGCCTAAACTCCCAAAACCTGCAGCTTCAACCTCAAAAACCACGCCGGCCATTGTCAGTTCAGCTATGAACAACTCTAGTCTTCTCTTTCGTGGACACGCGAGTTCCAGCTCCTCACCACACACACCCCAATTGAAAATTATTGGACGACCAGACATGCTATTCCGCTCTCCTCCCGTTGCTGCCCCTGCTCCTGCTCCTGCTGTTCCGGCAGCCAGTTTCAGTCCAGGAAAACTATCACCGCGACAGCGAAAGAACCAGCGAAAGCACAGGCAGCACCCGGCTGAGGCAGTCCACAACAACGCAATCATCATCTCCCCCTCGCCAGTCGTTCGAGCACACGCACTGGCGCCAGCTCAAACCAGCCCGCATTTATCACCAAGGCAACGTAAGAACTTGCGGAAACACAGACGTCACGAGGCAGAAGCTGCAAGAGCAGCTGAAGCGCGCTCGCCATTCAGGCCAAGGATGGCAGCCACGATCAACCTCGTTCACTCCCCTCCCATAGGCTCCATAGGCTCCATAGGCTCGGCATCTTCTTCTTCTTCTTCTTTCTCAGCTTCCAGCCCTTTCAATGCATCAGGAGGAACGCAGACTTCCACACTATCGCCGAGACAACGGAAAAATATACGAAAGCAGCAACGGCAGCACGAGGTCGCATCGATCGTCCTGTCTCCAGCCTCCCCATCAGTCACCACAACGCTCCCGGCCATACGGTCGATTGCTCCTCCAGTACGGCAAAACCTCGCTGCATTTTCCGCCTCATCCGGAGCTGGGCCTTCGTCAGCAGCTGGTCACAGCCGCGCCTCTGGTGTTCTAGCGACTCTGGCGAGCGTTGATGCCTGCTCCAAGCTTCTCCGCTTGAACGACACGAGTCATCTGGTTTCTGTTCACCAGGAGAAGGCCAATGGTGTTGCGAGCAAGCGCAGGCATGCCGAGGAGAGTGATTCGGACGACGATATTGAAATCACAAGTGTCACCGTCGCCCGAAAGCCTCCGGATCAACGAGCACCCGAGCCTCTGATCAAACTGCGATCGAGTATTCCCGCGCATGCTCTCAGGCGCTCTATGCCGCTTGTCCCAACGTGCTCCAAACGTAAACTCACCCCGTTGACTTTCAACGCGTCGCTCAGCCCTAGCCATGACGGCAAGCTGGCGAGTATCTTGAGCATGCAACCCACCGCGTTGATCTCATCTGTCCACGGGATTAAAGTGCTGGGATCGGACCTGCAGCATCTGCGGCCGGCGCGTTGGCTCAATGACGAGGTTATCAATTTGTATGGCACGCTCATTGCAGCCCGGAGCGCTGGCTGCTCCACCCTTCCGAGTGTGCTGTTTTTCAACACGTTCTTTTTTTCAAAGCTTCAGAAGCATGGCTACGAAGGAGTGCGTCGATGGACCAAAGATGTAAGGAAGCTGGAGTATTGTGGTGGATGTGGTTGAGTTGGAACTCGGTCGAAACACAACAAGAGCCATCCACATTGTACTCACCAGTATGTATCGTTCGCTGTCCATGTGCTAGACGGACATCTTTTCGTTTGATCAGGTTCTGATTCCGGTCAATTCCAACAACCTGCACTGGACGCTCCTGGTCATTGACATGCGCCGAAAGCACGTTGGATACTTTGACTCGATGCATGGTCAGGGCTCGAGCCATTTGAAGGTAGGGGTTTTTGTTTGAACGCTGCCAGAGCGATCACTTAGCCCAAAAAACCCACAGCACCCTCATTCGCCTTTCCGGCTTTGTTTTGCTCGTTTTCTACAGCTGATTCAATTCTATCTTGCCGAAGAGTATTACGACAAGAAGGGTGGTGCGGTCCATTTGGACAGCTGGACTTTCCAAACAGCCCAGGTAATTTTGTTTTGCGCTCGATAATACGATGCTTGCCCAACGGTCTTTTGCTGCATTGGAAGCTAATCTCGCGCCCTGCTGCTCGCTTCTCGTCACTTTTCTAACGCAGCATGCACCAAAACAAAACAATGGATCCGACTGCGGCGTATTCTGCTGCACTTTCATGGAGCGACTGTCTCGGATGGGACGATTAGACTTTTCTGCAAGCGACATGCCTGCCATCCGCCGTGCAATGATGTACGAAATAGCCTCACTCTCGTTGCTCAACCAACCAGTAGAATAAAAGAGGGAGGGGGGTATGCTGTGGTGCCTTGTTGCTTCCATTCAACCATTTTGTACAATACATTGTATTCAAACATATCAAAATCGTTCGTTTTCTATTGCGTTGAACTTGGATTGGATGTCTGTTGAGCCTGTGCTTGGAGTCGCTCATCGCGCAACTGCTGGTCTCGAGTCAGATCGACCAGATGCTGCTGCAAATACTCGTCCGTCGTGCTGCCAAGACAGAAAAGCAGAAAACCGACCAAAACCCGATCAGTGCGAGAGTTTCAACCAAAAAATTGTCAATGTGTGACGATCGCGCCGCAAGCCACGTAATAACAACCCCTATAGGATAAGGGGAATAGAAACACATTGTGATAGTATTCTGCAGGTGGAACATCACGCTTTAGCCTGAATGCTGAGGACTAGAGCGAGATTGTCCACGCGAGGACGACAACGACAACAACGACGACGACGACGGCGGCGGCGGCCTCCATTGGACGCGACTTACAATTGCTTGAGACAGTCATTCAAGGCATTGAGCTGGTCGCGGCAGACCCAGACGGATGTGAACGTGCGATCTGTGGAGCAGTCTCGGAACGCTTTCAACGCATGGAACAGTCAGTCCATCCGCCCCTTCCATCCAACCCAATCCACATCGCAGCAGAATGGTGAATGATGAGTCATCATTGAATGATGCTCGATATCAAAGCTGTACCTGTGGCAGGAATGACGCATTTCTTGCGAGCGGCCGCAACCATTCGGCGACGGGCGAGCTCTTCGTTCAGCTTCTCGTAAACCATTGATGCGTGTGTGTGCTTGGTTTTCCAGTAAAATGTGAAAAAGACAACTGGGTACGAAAACAGAACAAGCTCTGAAATTGCAAGCGGTGGAAAGAGGCAAACGCATGCACTGAAAGGTCGGTAAACAACATTGAGCTCAGATTGCATTATGAAACAAAAACAAAAACAAAAACAAAGACAAACAACGACGCCAGGAAGAGAATTAACAAACAAAAACGATCGGGGGAGGGGGGGGGAAAGAGAGAGAAGGACAAAGAAGCAAACAATCTTAATATCAACAAGCCTTTTTCAGAACGAATCATAGAAACGCACGACGGCGGCGCGTAACTCAATGCTTGTCGGTGAAAACTGCTGCTGGAGCCGATGCTGGCGTAGAGAGCGGCGCAAGCTTGGGCGAGGAGACGCCTTTCGGAGAGCTTGGGATCTTTGGCGAGAGCATGGGGTCGTTGGCGATATCGAGAACTGGCAGCGGTGGGCGCCAGTAGTTGAAATTGTTGAAGCGATCCACCACGTCGACCTTGGCGTAGGCTGCCTTGCCGTTGATCGGGGGGAACATGTGGTCAACAAGGTCGGAGAGCTTGGTGTAGGAGGAGAGGAAGGACGACATCAAGTCAAGGCGGAGCTCTCCGGCCGGGTTGATGGTAAAGATGCGGCCTTCGGGCACACCGACGGCCCGGTACGACAACGAGTCAGTGTGGCGGTTGCCAAAGCCGGCATAGAAGGGCTCGTCCTGGAGCCCAAACAGCGAGCGAATGTCCTTCAGACAGGCAATCTTAAACTCCTCGGGCTTGCGCTTGATGACTTCGCGGTGGAACGAGGTCAACAAACGGTCGGGACTCAAAAGCACCGGGCCGTGCGGAAGCGTCAGCTGGCCTTGCTTGACGCCCTGCAAAAAGCCACGCGTAATGTTGGCCTGGCCAATGGCGCGAGACGAGAGATACAGAATCTCGTAGCCGTTGCTCTTGAGCGCCGAGTAGAGGGACGCAACGCCAGAATGCGTCCAGTCACGGCCCAGAGCAGGCAGAATGTGGCCCATGACGTCGCTCTTGGTAATGGTGCCATCCACATCCGAAATGACAATCTTGCAGTCGTATCGCCAGAGGAAAATGGACGATGTGCAGGTCGCAGTGCCCTGCAGCTTGGTGGTCACGCTAAACTTGATTGTGTTGGCGCCAGGGCGCAGGTTGAGCTTGGCGAGCTGTTCGGACGAGAGGCGCAAGCTCTTCTGGTAGCGCTCAGCCTGGATCTTGGCGGCGGGCTCGCCGTTCACGAGGTTTTTGAGCTCTTCGACGTGGTCAATGTTGGGGTTGGCTGGGGGCTGCCGAACGGATGCGCCGGGGGGCGGCGTGTGAACAATCGATGGCTCTACCGGAATGGCTCCCAGAGTCGATGCGGTGGCTGGGAACAAATCGCTGTCTGAGAGGCGGTTGGTGGCCTGGGATGGCGGCGAGTCGACATTCAGGGCTTCGTCACCAGACCAGAAATTGCGAAGCCAGCCTCGGCGCGAGGATTGCCTGGACACAGTCGCGGACGCTGGCGCTGATCCGGGCGTCGAGCTGGGTGCTGACGACGACGATGACGTCGAAGGGTTTGGCGCGAGTTTCGAAGGAGCTGACGACGGTGGCGCAGTGGGTTGGGCGTGAGTGACCGACGCTGGTGCAGTCAGAGAGTCACTCAAGCTGACGCGTTGCAACTCGTGCACAATGCCCAGAGGCAGCGGCTGCTGATACAATGCAACCGACAGAATCATGGGCGCGGCTGTGACGAAATTGTAAAACCCGCCATTGATGCGGAAGACGGCTCGCTCGTCGCGCAAGACTTCGAGAGGGTTGGCTGCGAACGCTTCAAACGTGACGAGATCTTTGCGGAAGAGCTGGAGCAAGGGCACATACGAGGGCAGTTGTGCAAACTGCTGCGAGGTCCGTCCCTCGGACGCCTGGTTGTGGGCCTTGAGCGCGGCGACAAAGTCCGGGTTGGCGCCGCAGAGCGACATTTGAATAAAATCGTCGTCGTCGTCGGCCGCAGAGACTGGGGAAACCGGCAGATTGATGCTGGACGGGTGCGCCAAGTCGGCCAGCGAAGCCGCAAGCACAATGCTGGGGAACTCGGGTGCAGTGACCTGGCTGGCGCTGCGCGAAAGCGAAGATGTCGACGTCACCACGCTCAGTCCCTTGGAGCTGTCCAGCGACCGCGAGAGATCGATGGGAGTGCTCGCTCCAGAGGACCGGGGCGACCCTTCGCGAGAGTGCTGTTGGAGTTGTGCTCGTTGTTGCTGCAGGCGCTGCTGGTTGAGCATGTGCTGGACAATCGTTTGCTGCTCGCTCGGCGAGTGCGAGATGGGCGGGGTGGCATTGTCGTCATCCACCAAATCGGCCAGACGAATGCCGCCTTGCTCCATGTCCGAAACAACCTTGTCCGCGTCAGGAGAGACGGGCGGCTGGTTGCGTCGACCAAACAAGCGCGAGAGGCTTCGCTGTGGCAAATCGCCCCAGCCCCAGCTCCAAGTGCGACCGGCCTTCTTTTGCTGCGACTTGGTGGGGTCGGACGAGTCGTCCATCTCCGAGTCGCTGGCCGGTCCGGCCGAGCCGAAATCCAGCGCAGGCTCGTGGAGCATGTAGCCAGATTCCGAAGGCAGCGATGTGCTCAAAATGGCTGGTGGTGCTGACGAGTCGTGAGGCAACGGCTCGGCGAGGTCAAAGTGCAAGCTGTGTTCGTTTGCCGGGTGCTGGCGTTCAGGGATGGCGATTGGGGCCGTCGTCGTCGTCGTCGTTGTCGAGGAGGTCGGGTGAACAGCGAGCGAAGCTATGAGAAAGTGAAGCAGTGAGCAACAAGCAAAACAAACAAACTGGATGACACGAAAAAAATGTCTGGAAGGCGCGCTTGTGGCGAGAATCGAGAGCAAACGATTCACATACAAACCACCCTGACATGACATTCAAACAGGGAATTCCTTACTCGCGTCGGAGGACATGCCTGAGGTGGCCAATGGGTCGGCATCAAGCATCAGCGGCTCAATTTCCGTGTCGTCTGCCTGGGCAGCGGTTGGAATGGGCGAAGTGAGGAGGTGGGACGGAATGTCTTGGAGCCGATCGCCTTCGACCACAAAGAAGGCCTCGCCAGCATCGCCCAGCTTCATGATGAGATCAACCTTCTCGCCATTGACTTCGATCTGGACCTGTCATCACAGAAGCAATGCCAAGCATCCATCATCAATAACCCACGATAATACAAAACCCAGCGAGCGAGTGTGTGGTGCTTGTTGCACGTGTGAGCGCGTGTGTGTGTGCTCAGACAGAATGGGCCGTCTTTGACTTGAGGAACGAATCCCCGACCCTCCCAATCCCCCCCCCCGCCCCGCAAGACTAGAATGGAGTGGTTCAATCCAAGTGCCAGTGGCCAAGTGGAGACAAGGGCGAGCGAAGAGACACCCGTTTGCAAAGGGCCATTGCGCCCAAAATCACACCACACTGTGGTGAAAACTGTGTGATGACGCGACTGCTTTTTTTTTTTTTTTTGGGATGCTCCAAGCCAATGCAGTGCAGTGCAGTGCAGTGCAGTGCAGTTGCTTACCAGCTTCTCCTTGCTTCGGAGGATTTGCAGCTTGCCAAAGCGGACGTGGAATGGCGAGCAGGTCAGCGAGCCGTCCTCGTGGTGCACAACGATAATGTCGAGCGCGCCCGACAGTGTGGACGGATTGAGGTCGTTGTAAAAGTCCTTCAACCCAGAGAAGGCCTGCGCGAGGTGTCCAGACAACAAGACAACAGAAGCAGCAACAAGAACAACAGAGCACCGCGCATAGGTCAGCAGCAAGAACGAGCAAAGCAACACAATCACAATGAACGAGGAGGGAAAAAAAAAAAAAAAAAAAAAAAAAAAAAAGGTGCGGTATTTTTTTTTTTATTTTTTTTTCTTTTTGGTCTCAAAGCGACAATGATGGCGATGTGCCTTGTGTGCATTGTGAGAATGTTGGTGTGTGTGTGTGTGTTTGTATGGCTTTGATGTTGGATTTGGAAGGCGTGGATGCTTTGTTGGGTTTGAAATCGGTGTGCTTGGTCGTCATACGACCCGTCGGGAGTTGGACAAGCTCGAGCGCGACTGTGACCAAGAGCGCCGACCATCATCCCCGTCCTTTCTGACCCCCCTCCCCCGCCTCCATCGAATAGAATGTGCTATTTCCAAGCATAAGGCCTCAATGCGCACAAAAGCCGTGGCGTGGTTTCCAACGAGAGCGAAGCGCAAAAATAAGCGCCCCAACAACCCGAGTTTAAAGTCGACACGCAACCAGAGCGACAGCTGAACAAAGGGGGGAAAAGGGGGAAAGGGGGGGGGGTTAGGGCATTTGTTACCTTGCCGAGGTAGTTCATGGTTGGCGACCTTGAAGGCTTGTGCTATTTGCTTCTGCGAACGGAGGGGGGAAGAAGCGTGTGACCACGAAAGCGCGATTGAAAAATTGTGAAAGGGGAAGGCGGGGGGAAATTACGCTCTGAGGTCAACTTCCCGGGGAGGATTGCGCAGCGTAGAGAAACAGAGGAGGCGAATGGTGCGTGCCAAGGGGGAAAATGGGACAAAGTGGCCGGCAAGCACGCCCAGAAGCCGCGTGAGAGCCAAGTAAAAAATAAAAAATAAAAATAAAATAAAGAGTGGAGGATTTCCGAGTTAAAATTTGATCTGATTTTGAAATAACGGATGGTTAGTTACCAACAACAACAACAACAACAACAACAAACTGGCTCGCAGCTGTTTGGATGTGTTGAGAAGATGGTGGTGGCGACAAAAGCCGAGGAATTCGCACCATCGAGCTTGGCAGGATGGAAACGACGCCATCTGCTCTCTTCGCCGCTTGGGCAGAAAGTCAGCGGCAGCCTTGATGGTCGCCTATTGCTCCTTGAATCAGCTCACGGACATCCAACTGACAGAAGGGTGCAGAGCTTTGGCAAAAAAGCTGAACAACTTCTGAGAAGTACCCGCAATCCAACCGTGTCAACGTTGGCCTAGGGGAGCTGAGGAGCGCTGTCTGATTGCCATGTTGCACTCATTCAGGAACAGCGGGCGCACCAGCCGAGGAAGGTTGACACGAGGATGAGAGTGATTCCATATGCAACAAGGACAGCGATGCGGTAAAAACTGTTAGACGAGGAAGGTAAATACATCGACACCTTCGACTTTGATTCTTCCCTCCCACCGATGCCATCACTGGCACGGTGATTGGTGTGGCAAGCGCAAAGCTTCCGAAAGCTAGTCGCAGCTGCCATGTGCTTCACTACAAATAAACAGGCGACGAACGAATGTGGCGCGGCTCGTTTCTTGTTGCATGATGCAAAAAGCGTGCTCCGATTCGCTAGTTGCGCAGAAGCGCGCTTGCTTCGCTCATGTGCGACTGTAAGACAGTAGCATCACGACCTGATGAATGCTGAATTTGCTCGGCACCTCGGCACTCACGCACGAACAAATCTTGGCGCCAAGTTCATGGACTCGAAAACACTTTCCATTCTTTTTGCGTGGGATTCTCCACAACGCAACGAGTAGACTGATCAATCCTTTCAACCATTCTTGCCTAATTTCTATCGATAACACTCGTCGGGGATGATCAAAGGGTGGCGGGGGTGGGCGGTCAACGTGTCAAAATGTTTGGCTGAAGTCAAGCAATCCGTGTGCTATCGCGCTCTTGACTTTAAGCAAACTGGTGTGCTCGCTTCGCTTTGTTGTGTTTGCTGTCGATCATGATCCAGCGTTGTTTGATGAAGCCGAGCAGCTCGGGTGTGCATGAGGAACATGTCGCATCACACCCACCACACGACCACACGACCTCCTCTCCCACCCAGCCACGATTGTGTGCTACCTCCACCCACCACCACCACCACCACCACCACCCGCGCATGCCTGTATTCGTGGTTCCACGCTGCACCATGCGGGTGGCATTGCTACCCCCCCCCCCTTATCTCTCGAACTGGTCGCTTTGGGCGTTGCACCGGATTGGCTGAGCCACGGCCGACCAATCGCAGCGTGGCTTGAAACGGCATCGTTTTCCCATTTTCGTTCCAACACGGCTATTCTTGCTTTTCGAAGAGCTCAGTCCCTCTTTATTTTTTGTGCTTTTTAGTCACTCCCATTCCACTACTCAACAAGCGGATCAAGAATCGTGTGAATGAAGGGCGCAATCATCCTGGCGGCAGTGGCAGTGGCGCTGTGCATGTTCGTGTCCACCGCATCTGTTCCGGCACTCGCCCATGACGAAGGTAACACAGGTCACCCACCCTGCGTCTTGATTCCTGTGGTGGCACATCAGAGACTCACCTTCATGCACTGTTTCCGCTGCTTTTTCTGGTTGAATTCAAGTGCCTCTACTTCCGGCTGGCTACTTTGGCTCGGCGCTGATGGCCGCGTATGGCGATCACACCACCAACACAATGACACTCGAGCAATTCGAACACCTCGTCCATGACCTTGGACTTTCTGAAGAGCACGACCACGACCATGACCATGACCATGAGCACGAGGAGGAGGAGGAACACGACGAAGACGAGGGCAAAGTACGTTATTCCAAACAAAAAAAAAAAACTGAAAAACTCAGTCAAAGCGCTGAATGTTGCAGCTGGTGCTCACATTGTGCATTTTTATTGTAAACACTCTATACTTCCACGTGCAGGAACTCTGTCCTCATGCAGACGAATTGGCCGCGCTTTTCGGCGTCGATGTTGAGGGTGCTGCAACCATCGACTCGACTCAACTTGGCCAGATTTCGATCGCCTTGGTCTACATGCTCGGATCCCAGGTCTGCGTGCATCACAACATTTCAGAGACGGACGTCGAGAGCAGCACCTACAGCACTCTCCTCCTTGAAATGTTTGGCAACGGCACTGCTCTTTCTGAGGAAAACTTGGAACACCTTTTCCTGGCTGCTGGCGCAACCCAACAAGCGGATCACGAGCATGAACATGAGCATGAACATGAGCATGAACACGAACATGAGGATGAACACGAAGACGAACATGAACACGAGCATGAAGACGCCGTGGCGGGACCTGTAAGTTTTCTGGATCTGTCTGTTTCACCCCAATTCTCCCCTCCAAACTTTGGCTTACTTGCAATCTCCTTTGACCTTTCAAAACAGTGCATCTCTGTGCATCTACTGCTTCATGCGCTCGAGTTGGAAGAAGAGTCGTTTGCGGGCAGCAGTCTCGAAACCCTCGCGACGGCTGTCATTTACAGGGTTGCGACGAAAGCCTGCGTGGCCCACGACGACGTGGAAACCAAGTTTGTGCCAAGCACCCAGCAGCACTTTTTGGATGCCATCTTTGACCACTTTGGCTATGTTGGTGCCGAGAACATGCCCGTTTCTGTCATGACGACCATTTTCGAGAAACTTGGCCTAGTTGCCGGACACGAAGAAGACGACCATGAGCACGACCACGACCACGAGGATGAGCACGACGATCACGACCATGACCACGCACGACGTGCTCTGGACGAGGAGCAACCAACGGTGCGAAGCCGTCGCAACCACGAAATCGGGCATGAGGAGCTCACCGGTGCCCTTGCACAAGCCGTCTTCGACCTGAATGGCGTCGTGGGTCGGGTTGTCTTCTCTCAAGATAGCGCCAGTCATCCCGTGGACATTTGGGCAACCTTCTCTGCCTTGCCGAACGCTTCGGCCGCGTACACGCTCGAGATTCGCTCCTTCCGCGCGCTCGCCAACACTCTGCCTGCATGCAGTGCGGCCATGCTTGGTGGGCTGTTCCCCGATGCAACGAGTGGTGCCCTGATCAACACCCATGGTGCTCTTCCAGTTGGCGCCACGATTAACAGCTCGTACATTGACAGCACTCTCTCGCTCGTCGATGTTGACTTTTCTCTGGTGGGCAAGTCACTGGTGCTGGTCAACACGGATGATGACTCGGTGGTAGCATGCGGAAACATCATGGACACGACCCCTCGCTGCTTTACCATTGCACAGCTGCTGGACTCGTTTGGAATCACCGAAACAATCGCTCAATCCCAGCTGGCACAGCTTGCGCCCGGCTTGGTTTCGATGCTGGTCTCTGGCGCATGCACCAACCCCGTCACTTCGCATGCTGCTGCCGCTTCTGGTGTGACCGCCTCAGAAGCGTGGGGCTACGGCGTCCTTGCCACTTTTGTGGTGTGCTTGGTCTCGATCATTGGCGTCCTCTTTGTGCCTGGTATGAAGGGCACACGGCTCGAATCCAACTTGATCTACCTCTTCTTTGTCGCTCTGGCGGTTGGCGTGCTCATTGGCGATGCCATCTTCCATCTGATTCCCCAAGCGTTTGGTGTTCACTCCCACGCCGCCGGCGAGGAAGAGCACAATCACAACCACGAGGCTGAGGAAGAAGAACACTCATATGACCATCTCTGGCGTGGATGTGTTGTCATTATTGGCATCTACATGATGTGGATCCTCGAGAAGGTGTTGGAAAGCAGTGGCCACGGGCACACGCACGGGGGCTCGGCGGAAGACTCCTTTGAACTGAACGGCGCCACCTCGACCAAGACTATTGAGCTGCAGGAGGCCTCGATGAAGCAGAACAGCAGTGAGAAGCGCCACATTGACCAGATTGCCTGGCTCATCATTATCAGTGACTCGATTCACAACTTTGTGGATGGTCTTGCGATGGGTGCATCGTTCTATGCCAGTCTGTCGACTGGCCTCAGCACCTCCATTGCCGTCTTGCTGCATGAAATCCCGCACGAGCTCGGAGACTTTGCTATTCTTCTCGGTGCTGGCATGACCATTCGGCAAGCCGTCTTCTGGAACTTGATGTCCTCGTTGACGTGCTTCATTGGTCTGTTTGTGGGTCTCGGCATCGGCGAAGATACCGAAGCTCGCCTCTGGATTTTGTCTCTTGCCGGCGGCATGTTCTTGTACATTGCTCTTGTCAGCTTGGTAAGTGTTGGATGTGAGGTGGTTGTGTATGTGTGTTGTTTGGATTCCATGGTGCTCACAGCGAACATCTCGAATTCTTGTCTGGTGCTCGAACAGTTGCCCCAGCTCAGCAAGCACAACACCCGCCTTAACTCGCCTCAGGGCCGCAAAATGTTCCTGGTTATCAATCTTGGCATCCTTATTGGATTGGCCATCATGCTTCTCATCGGTCGCTATGAAGATGACATTCATGTTTAGAATCTTGGTGTTTTTTTGGCTGTAATGTTTTGAAAAATCAATGACTTCATTTTTGTTTTGTGCTTGGCAGTCCAGTGGTAGCTTGTTGTGAACAAAACCAGCATTTCGAACAAAAGCAGCGGCAATGGGACAGAAAAATCGTGGAACGGATCGAGAATGGTAACAACACAACAGAGCTTTTTATTTATGATTAATCGGAGCGATCTTGGACTACACAGTGGCAAAGGGAGCACAGGTGTGGATACAAGCAAGACGCAGCAGCCATCAAAGCCAGGCCAAGGAGAACAGAGGAGGTGAGCACCAGCGAACAAGAAGCTGAGAAATTATCAACAAGCAAACAACAACGAATCTCAAAAAAGCCGCATTTACCGTTGTATCGCAAGAGCTTCTCGATCAAATCAACGTGTGACAAAATCATCCTCCTGCAGCAGTAGCGCTTGAGCCTGAGAGCGTCGAGCGCATCACTAGTAGAACAGCAGGCTAGAATGAGCATCCAAAATCGACGCTTGTGCGTTTCTTCAAACCCCCCCCCCCAGCTCTTCTTGCCCCCTCCCCCTTGGAACTGAGCATTTATGGTGGGTAGGTATGGCTGCGTCATGCAATGCAATGAAAAAGCAGCGCAGCGATGGACAAACCACCCAACAAAAGCCCCTACAAAATGGCTGAGCGACCATTACAACATGTGGATCCGTTTTTTTGCTGCTTTTTCCATTGCATTTCCCCCTTCAACGACACCACTACTGCCGTTCCCCCAGTGCCGCGCTTGTTGACTTTGTTGCTGGCAATGATGACTGACTTGCACGGCAGCCTTTTGGGAGTAGAGCGAACCGAGCAACCGCAGAGCCAGAGAGTCACAAAAATAAAAAGTGTGTGCTTTGTGCTTGCTTACCCTTCGCTGATGGTCTGCTGGGCGAGCAGCGTGATGTACGCCTCGTACTTGTTGCCAGTGACCTTGCCACAGGTGAAGCACCTGACAGAGCGAGCAAGTGAGAATGAGTTTGAGTTGAACAAGGGTCAATCGCTTTTCCTCTGCCTCTCTGCCTCTCTGCCTCTCTGCCTCTCGATTCACTTCCAAGCCACAATGCTGAGGTTGTCAGCACCCTCAAGCACCAATCTCAGATCAAACACGCAACAAACGTTCAAACGCACCGAACTGGAGTAATCATGACTCTATGAAGGATCGACCAACCAAAAAAAAAAAAAGCAGACTGAACTTTGCATTCAGAAGAACTCAATCGCACAACAAGTACACTCGTGATGCTATTATTTGATGCACGAATACATCTCAGTCCTATCTTCATTTTTATTTTTCTCCTTTGTTGTTGCAATGGCGTCCGAGCAAGCCGCTTCCACTGGTGCGTCTTACTGCTTCACAATGCCTCGTGCTCCTTCTCCCAACCCCCAACCCCTCAACCCCCTTTCAACCCCCCCCCCCTCCGTGTCCTGGGTTTTGGCAACATCAACACCCTTGCTTCCTGGCTTGCTGATATTTTCGTCCTTCTCCTGCGACCCCTGCTCTGTTGAACTTTGGCCTGAACGATCGTGCTTTTCTCTCTCTCTCTCTCTCTTCAACCCGTTTTCCCTGTTCTCTGCCCCTTCCCCTCTCTCTCGTTTGCACTTTGACTGTCCTATCGATGCTGCTCTAGTTCACATGTTGAGCCCCTGCTCATCCCCCCCCCCTCTCTCTCTCACAAGTTGTACCACCACTCACCTGGTTTCTCTTTTTTTTTTTTCTTTTTTTTTTGGTTTTCTTGACAGATGGAAGCCACTCGTACGGCCAACAGCTGCTCGCAGGCGCCAGAAGCAACAATGTGGAGCTCGTGCGCATGCTACTACAACGCCCAGGCATCGACGTCAACGTCCGAGGTGAGGAAAGCACACCGAAAACCAAAAAAACGGAGCTCAAAATTTGGCGTTTTCCAAAAAAAAAAAAAAAAAAAAAAAATTCGGAAAATCAAAAAAAAAAAAAAAAAAGGAAAAATCGGCTGAAATCTATCGGATTTGACATTTGGTGTCACTTGTCACCCAAATCTCAAAGTCATTCAAGACAGACGAAAGTGAATCTCAAGGTCCATTCTCAGCCAATGAGACAATGGCGGAAGATTTGAGCTCTCATTCGTTGCTAACCATCTTTTCGGGGAACTTTTCCGATCCACTAGGTCAAGGGATGGGCACCGGTGGCCTCACGCCGCTGCAGATGGCATCCTTCTTTGGGCACACTGCTGTCGTGGACCTGTTGCTGCAGAACGGGGCCGACCCAAACCTGCAAGACAAGGAGGGCGAGACGCCGTTGCATCGCGCGGCCATGTCGGATCGCCGCGAGATTCTTCAGCTGCTGCTCAAGCATAACGCCGATGTCACCATTCGAAACGGAATGGGCATGACTGCCCAGGCTCTGGCGCGCAACGAAGACGTTCGCCGTCTGCTTCGAGGTTGGTGTTTTGTGTTTGAAAAGCGAATTGCATGCTCTGTTCGATTTGCTGACCCCTGCTGTCGTTTGTTGCCTTGTTGTCGAGTGCAGCGGCGGACGACGCGCAACGCCTCGATATTGAAACAAAGTTCCTGACGGCGGCTCGCGACGGAAACACAACGCTGGTGGCCCACCTGATCGACGGCACCTCTCCGCCCAACCTGAACTGCCGCGACCGAAACGGCAACACGGCGCTTCACTGCGCCGCCAACCGAGGGCACAAGGCCATTGTCATTCTTCTGCTGCAGCATGGCGTTGACACGGCCATTCTGAACAACCAACAGAAGACGGCGCAGCTCCTGGCGAAAGACGATCAAACGCGCGACCTTTTGCTTGGTAAGTGTTTTTGCGGATTTGGGGGAGGCGGGGAAGCGGGGGGGTCCCTTTTTTTGGTCCTGTTGCCATCCAATGTTTGTGTTTGTGGTTCTGACTCGTCTGGTTTATCGTGCTTTGTAATGGGAAAACCCGCTGGTCGCAGTGTCGCCGGTCTCTGCGCGGCACCGCCTGGAATCTGCCCGCATTGAAGGCGCCCTCTCAAAATCCTCCTTCCGCGGGTGGAAGCTGCGCTGGTTTGTGCTGGACAACTGCACACTTTCGTACTACAATTCGGCATCCGAGGCGCGCAGCGGCAAAGGTCGCGTCCTTGACTCTGTGCATCTTGGAACGGCGGTGGTTTCACCTGACGCATCCGACCCGCTCGTGTTTCGCATCAAAGGCAACTCCTGGGCCTACCAACTGCGGACTGAGAAGGCGGACGATCGTCTGCGGTGGCTGACGGACATGCGGGACCAGCAGACCTACTTTAGCCTAGCCGTGCCCGTCACCGAATCGTCGGTGCAGCAGTCAAGCTCACGCGCGTCTTCCCAACCCTTGCCCTTCTCTGGCCGCTTGAAATCCGACTTGGACGATGCGACACTTCCCCGCCTCGGTCCGCTGGCAGAGTCGTTGGAAGCGGCTGCGCGAGATCGAGAGGCGCTCGAGAAGCAACTCGATGGTGTCGAGACCGCTGTTGATGCTGCAGCCCAACAGGTCGCAGCTCTGAGCAAGTCGTCCCCCATGCAAGGCGCTGCGGCGGAGGTGGTCAAGAACGCCGACGACATTGTCAGGACGCTCAAGCAATCGCGCGAAACGAGCCGTGCCCTCTGGCGGACGTTGTCCCATTGCTTGAATATCATGTCTCACCATGAGCATGTCTGGACCAAGCGATTCGAGCTTGAGAAAGAACGGCGGCGTGTGCTCGAAGAGAGCATTAGCAAGCTGGCTGCCGAGCACGACCAGCTGGAGCGCAGCGTCATTTCCATCTCTTCGCGTCGCTCGAGTCATCTCGATTTGGCCAGTATGGGTGAAAATGAGTGCTTTTTCGACGCCAGTGATGGTGATTTCGACGAGCATGGCTTGCCCGTCGATTCGGACGATGACGACGCCTTTACTGACTCTGCGTACGAAAGCAACGCGCCACCTCATGCTCGGGTGGCAACCGCAGCAGCAGCAAAGCTGTCATCCTCCGCTGCAGCTTCCTCTGCTTCTCTCAGCTCCACTGACAGCTCGAGCACGTTGCCAGCCGGCACGTTTGGCGAAAATGCCCTCGCAACTTCTCGTACGTCTGTGGTGAATGGCAAGCGTGTCCACCGCACGACCCTCGCTCAGTACATGGTGGATCGCAAGAATGTGAGCCTGTGGGCCTTCCTCAAGCAGTGCATGGGAAAGGACTTGTCCAAAATCACCATGCCCGTCCTCTTCAACGAGCCCGTGTCCTTCTTGCAGCGCCTGTGTGAAGATTTGGAGTACGCCTCCCTTCTGGACACTGCCGCGCAGCATCCCGACCCGCTGATGCGCATTCAGTACGTGATGGCGTTTGCCGCCAGTGGCTATGCTGCGACCGCCAACCGCCTCGGCAAGCCATTCAACCCGCTGCTCGGCGAGACGTTTGAGCTTGAGCGCGACCTCGAGAATGGCAGTGTGATGCGCGCATTGTGCGAGCAAGTCTCCCACCACCCTCCGATCTCTGCGTTGGTTTGCGAATCCCCGCACTTTGTCTTCCACGAGTACAATGACGTGCGCATCAAGTTCTGGGGCAAGAGCATTGAGATTGTTCCTACAGGCAACGAGCATGTGCGACTTCGGATTGGCGACTCTGGCAGCGAAGACGAGGAGTTTACCTGGTCCAAGGTCACAACGTGCGTGCACAACATTATCGTTGGCAAGCTGTGGCTCGATCAGTATGGGAAAATGGAGATGGTCAATCACACAAACAACGTTCGCTGCGTGCTCGAGTTCAAGCCCCGCTCGCTGTGGTTTTCTCCCAACTCTGGATGCGAGCTGGAAGGCTACGTTCTGGATGCGGCGGGCAATCGCACGCACTTGCTTGCCGGCTGGTGGAATGACTCGCTGTATTCCATCTCTCTCAAGGACTACTACGCGTCCCCTGCCGGAGCGGCTGCAGCTGCAGCTGCGGCAACGGGCTCGAAAAAGAAGGCTGTCGCGCCCACCATCGCCGCCGAAGCCCTGCGCGTCCATCCCGCTGCCAAGCGCCTGTGGGTTCGCAACCCTCTGCCCGAGATTAGCTCCAAGATGTACAACATGACGACGTATGCAATGGCCTTGAACGAGGTGGACTCGGAGCTTGCCAAGTCTGTGGCTCCGACCGACTCGCGCCTCCGTCCCGATCAACGCGCCCTCGAGAACGGCTTGGTCGACCTCGCCAGCTCCGAGAAGAACCGCCTGGAAGAGAAGCAGCGTCTGACTCGCAAGGTGCGTGCGCGCCAAAACCAGGAGCACGTCCCGATGTGGTTTACCGAGCGCGAGGACGCCTACAACGGCATGAACGGCTGGCTGTATCGCGGTGGCTACTGGGAAGCCCGCGAGAAGGGTCAATTCGATGCTTGTCCCGATATTTACGGCGATGCCCCTCAGAGTGGATGAGCAGTGACATATTTTTTTCAAACAATCTGTTGGTTTAGACTTTTTTTTTGTGTGTGTGTGTGTCTGTGTGTGTTTTTTGTTCGTTTGTACGCTGGAGGAGCCAATACATTGTATGTACTTTATCTTGGTCATTGTTGATGAAAATTAGCCAATACATTGTATGTACTTTATCTTGGTCATTGTTGATGAAAATTTTAGAGAACTTTTCTTTGATCCTTCATCTTGTTCGCACTGTCTTTCTCACCCCGTGTCCGTGAGCTCCAAGGCAACCTGTATCATGACTCCCGATTAAATGCCACATTATTGCTCAGTCGCACTTATCCAGTCCCAGCGAATTCGGCATTGGCGCTGGTTATCTCGATCTCAGTCCGCTGCCCTCATCCAATGTCGCTGCCGCCGCCTCAACCGCCGCAGTCGCGTTCACTATCACAACTGCTGCTGCAGCATCCACCATCCCAGGCAGCAGCAGCAGCAGCAGTGCCGCAGGAGAGCCGCAACGCTTGCCACTGGTTTCGCATCAATGCGCTTCGCCTCGATGACAATCCTGCGCTGCTCGCTGCGATCGAGTACAGCAGCAGCAGCAGCAGCAGCAGCAGTGCCCCGTCAGCATCAGCACCGACAACGACGTCAGCATCAGCATCGCACAGTGGAACTGCGGAGCCGCATAACACCCTGCACAATGTAAGCAATAGATCCAATACAAAAAAAAAACCGTCCACCCCTTCAAGCAAAAGCCTTCAGCATAGGATCTCGCATTGAATGTCCAGCTCCCCTTTATGATGATGACTATCATCAATCAAGATGTGTATTATCATGCATTGCTAACGAACTCGTCAATTCTTCCCCGGGCCTTCTTCTCGCAGGTCTTTGTGCTCGATCCGTCGGACGCAACAATCCCGTCGAGCGGACTGCCGCTGGTCTTCTTGCTGGAAAGCTTGACCAATCTCCAATCTCGCCTGACTTGGCTTGGATCGCACTTGGTACGTTTTCAATTTTTTTTTTTTTTTTTTCATTCCTGTCGCGCGGAGGTCTCCGTTGTTGTGTTGTCCTAATCCCTGAAAAAAAAAAAACAGACAATTCTGAGAGGCCAAGTCGAGCAAGTGCTGCCAGACTATCTATCCAAGCATGACATTTCTCTGGTGACCTACGAGGAAAGCACGCCAGAACCCGCATCGAGTCAAGTCGCTCAAAGGCTTGAACAGGCGCTCCACCCATTGCGCATCCGACAGCGCCTGGAAACGTCGGCGTTTGTGACGCACACGCTTTATGACATGAACATGCTCCTCGTTGCATGCAAAAACACTCCTCCGCTGACCTATGGCAAGTTTCTGTCTCTAATCGAGTCCATCGGCCCGCCGGTCGCCCCGTTGGACGCGCCACATCGACTGGCTGAACGCGGCCCCGCGGGACAAACCGACGCGGCGACAGGAGGGATTCCCTCGCTCGCCGAGCTTGGCATTTCAGAGCCCCATACTCCACTCATGTTTCATGGTGGCGAGACTGCTGGGCAAGCGCGAATGCATCACTATTTGGGCGATCTTGCGCGGGTGGCCAACTTTTCCAAGCCCGAGCTCGACCCCACGTTGTTTGAAGAGCCGTCGTCAAGCGTCATGTCGCCGTATCTGCGATTTGGCTGCGTCTCTCCCCGGCGCTTCTTTTTCGAAATCAACAAGGTGTACATTGACAGCGGCGTGACGCCCACGCAGCCGCCCGTCTCCCTGCTTGGTCAGCTCTATTGGCGAGAGTTCTTCTACCTTGTTGCGGCTGGCACTCCCAATTTCGACCGCGCTGCCGGCAATCCCATCTGCAAGCAAATCCAATGGGATGTCAACCCCGAGTATCTGGCGGCTTGGGTAAGGTTTGGGTGATGGGTTTATTTTTTTTTCAAAATTGCAGAATATGGTTTGCACAATGCTCTTCCGCTGCTTGCTCTGAGCCAGTGCTGTCATACTCATCGTCTGATCTTGCAGGAGTCTGGTCGTACTGGATATCCATGGATTGATGCAGCCATGAACCAACTGCGAGAAGTGGGCTGGATGCACCATTTGGCTCGACACGCGGTGGCTTGTTTCTTGACCCGCGGAGACTTGTTTCTATCTTGGGAGCTTGGCAGAGACTATTTGCAGCGTACCCTCTTGGATGCGGATTGGAGGTGAGTTTCTTTTTAGGGCGATCGTGCGACCTTCTTCTCAATGTTGCGTTTTCGGAACCACTAACGTGTCTGGTTTGGTCCGCCTGTCCAACAACAGCATTAGCAATGCCAACTGGATGTGGATGTCCGCGAGTGCATTCTTCCATGCCTATTTTCGCGTTTATAGGTAACAACAAAAAAGAAAAGCATGGCGGAACACAATGGCGATTGTTTGCTTTGCCTTCATTGCTCACTTTTTTGCTTCTCCTTCTTCAATCCTCCTCCTCCTTCTTCTTCATATATTCTCTTCTCTTTCATTCTGGTGATGCTCCAATCCTGATGCAGCCCAATCACGTTTGCCCAGCACTACGATCCTGAGGGCAAGTTTGTCCGTCGGTTTGTGCCGGCTTTGCGCAACTTCCCCTCCGAGTACATTTATATGCCGTGGTCGGCCCCATTGGAAGTGCAGCGCGAGGCGGGGTGTATTGTTGGAGTCGACTATCCGAAGCCGATTGTGGATCACGAGCAAGTCTGCCGAACCAACATGGAACGGATGCGCGACGCCTACGCGCAGCAGCCCGATGCAGCAGCTCTCATGGCGGTGTCTGCAGTCTCGATGCTGACTCGCCAGCCACACGATGCTGTTACGCTGGCGCAGATGCATGGCCAGTCCAGTGGAACTCTTTCGATCAAGTCGAGCGACTCCATCTCGGCCCCATTCTTTAAACCCCTCGATACGAGTGCAAACGGTGTGGCCGACACGAGCCGGCTCGGGGACACCACGTCTGTTCATTCGGGCTCGACAGACTCTATTCCGCGTGCGCACCAAAAAACAGCGAGCGAGGAAGCTGCGCGCGTCACCAACGACGCACGGCGGTGGTCGACGACCCCTGTCCCTGTGCTATCTCGAGATCTTGGTCAGATTTTGCAACAATGGCATGCAGACATGCTGCAACGTGCGCAAGCAGCCTCGCAACTTGTGCATCACAACCACAGTGACGAGGCGCATCGCCACGCCTCGGAGGCCCACCACCACGCTCTGGAGCCGGACTCGAGTACGTCCCTGTCGTCTGGGTCTGTTACTCCCCCATCTCAGGTCGGTTCCGCTGGGACTATATCAAATCGCGAGGTCCATTTTGACCCCGCGTTGCATTCCATGATGGCCACCGAGGTTGTCGGTCAACTTCATCCTGCTGTTGGGCTGGTCGCAGACCATCTGAACGCTGCCATTTCCACGCGTGTCACACGTCGTTCCTCTGAGGCCTTTGGTGATAGCCACGCAGCAGCAGCAGCAGCAGCAGCAGCGTCCCAGCCTGGCAGTGCCAAACGATCACGAGCAAGCACTCCTCCTTCCGTTGAAACCTCCACTCGTTGCACCTCCCCTCGGAAGCGATGAACGAGTGCGTCAACGAAGTCCACTCTGAAGAGTAATCAGTCTTCTCCGTCCGTGATTGCACAGCGTGTTTTCGAATTTATGTTTGGTTTTTTTGTTTTGTTTCCGTTTTTGCTTTCGTAGCTTGTTGTTTTTATTGTTGATTGAGTTGATTGGTGTGTTCCTGCGTATCGTTTGTTTGACTTGTATGGAGTAATGGATGTGTGTGGACCACGCCACGGGTGTTTAATACAGAATTTTGCGCAAAACTTTTCTACATTTCGTGGTTTCGCGTCATGAAGCAGCGTCTCGGTGGGATTAGTCGATTCAGGATTGTTTGTTTATGTCTTTGCTTCAATTTCCGTAGCTTGGCTGCCTTCGGTTTGGCGATGCGAGCTCGTGGAAGCACGATTTCAAAACAACAAAATTTGGAAATTATACCCGGACTGCCAAAATCCTCTGGACAGGGGGCATTGAGCTCGCCAAATGCAGCGACATCTATTTTCTGCACCTTTGCAACCACAAATATCACGAAACACTCATGTATAATGATATTCAGCACAAATTCGCTGGAACGATGCAACAAGTGAGTCAGCACAGCCACTTTCAATTGCGATCAGTGAAAGCTGCTCGAAAAAACGCTTTTTCCAGCGCTTCCGTCTCACTTCTGTTCAAAATAAAGGCACAAAAACATATTTAACGCAAAATATGCAGCATTGGCGCAGCCTAGGGACCTTTGCTCAGCTCGGATGCGTTGCCCAAAGGCGGGGGCTTGAACATTGACTTTGCATTGTCCAGCTGTCTGCTTCCGTGAGGTTTGTCGTTGCTTTGCGCTGCTCAATACGTGTTTTTCTTCTGATGTATGCAAATCTAAGATTACCAAAAATCCAGTCATCATTCCGCAAGCACAAAATGTCGACTGGTCCGCGACTCTTCCCGTCGTCGTCGTCGAGCACAAGCAGCAGCAGCTCGTCGTCTGCCGCTCCGACTTCCGCGTCCTCCAAGCCGGGCTCTCTCGGATCTCCGTTTGCCACCTCGTCGTCTTCAACGCTCCCTTCGTCATCGTCCGACCCGTCGCCCCTCGCTGGTGGGACTGGGCGGCCTGCTGCTGCTGCTGCTGCTGCGGGGTTCACGTCGTCATCAGCCGCTGCCATGCAGTCGTCGCCGCACCATCCCCACCACCACCACGCGCTCCAGGCGTCCAGCGCATCTGCATCCTCATACATGATGTCGATCGGCGGCTCCAGCAGCGCGCGCAAGAAGACAGAGGGCAAGACGCTGAGCATCAAGGGCTTCAAAGGTAGCCAAAGCAAAAAAAAAAAAAAAAAAAAAAACCAAACAAAAAAATAAAATAACGCTGCAGTCGCGCGTTTGCGTTCCGCTTGCATGGCCAGCGACGTCTGGTGCGTTCCAGAGTAGAGCTCGTCCTCGACTCGGAGCCACCGCGGGGGGGGCGGGGTGTGCGGTGTGAAGGCTGGATGTGCTTCGACAAAGCAAAGCCTATTGGGTGGCTGTGTTTCTCAGAAGCAGCCTTTTTGTGTATGTTCGTTATTTACATTGAGTTTGCTAAGAAACCCCCATTCCGTTCAATCCGAGCGAATGAGCAACACCAAAACCCCCCCATCTTTCCGGCTAAATCGTTTTTGCCTCACTTCTTCACTTCTCACCTCTCATGCTGTTCCTTCTCGACGACAGTCGCACCAAAACTACCTCCCAATTATGAACAGGAAACCTGGCAGAAGCTCCAAGCAGCTGTTCGCGCTGTTCATGAAGCACGACCAATAGACAGCTACCTGGAAGTGCTGTACGAGGCTGTCGAAAACCTGTGTCTGCTTGGAGGCGGAGCGACGCTGTACGAGCGACTGACAGCAGAGTGCGAGTCCCACCTGCGACTCGAGGCCGAGAAGCTGAGTGTTGCGTCGGAGGACCCCGTCACGTTTCTCTCCGTCGTCGACGCGTGCTGGCAGGCGCATTGCGAGCAGATGATTACCATCCGATCCATCTTCCTGCACCTGGATCGCACGTATGTGCTTCAAAATCCGCACGTCCAGTCGCTCTGGGACGTGGGATTGATCTACTTTCGGCGGCAGGTGGCAGAGGTAACCGTCACTCAGCGGCGTCTCATCACAGGCATTCTGCTTCTTATCGAACAGGAGCGTGCCGGTGACTCTGTCAATCGATCGCTCCTCAAGTCGCTCCTCCGCATGTTCTCATCCCTCGGCATGTACACTGAGGCGTTCGAGCCACACTTTTTGCGTGCCACCCACGAGCTGTACGCGCGAGAGGGCGCTGCTCTCATCACCACCATGCCCGTGCCTGACTATCTGGCGCACGTCGAAGCGCGGCTGCAGGCTGAAAGCGAGCGGATTGTGCACTACCTCGACATCCACACTCGGCGCAACCTCCTCGCGACTGTCGAGCGGCAGCTCATCGAGCAGCACATTCGCGTGCTGATTGAGCGCGGTTTTGAAGAGCTGTGCAACGCCAACCGCATCGCGGATCTCTCGCGCTTCTACTCGCTTCTGGGGCGCGTCAATGGTTTGGAGCCGCTTCGTGTGGCCTTTGCCGCCTACATCAAGGTACAAGGGTGCTTTGATGGCATAGCGGACAGTGATTGCGGGGTGTCGTGTTTTCATTTCATTTTTGCGTTCATTTTTTTGCTTTGTTGCTTGTGGCATTCTTTTTCTATTTCTGTTGACTGACGGCTTTGTTTTTTGGGGCTCTAGAAACGCGGTGCAGCACTTGTGTGTGACCCCGAGAAAGACAAAAACATGGTACAAGACCTTCTCGACATGAAGCAGCAGCTGGACACCTTGCTATCACAATGCTTTGGACACAATGACCGTTTCCAAAACTGCATGAAAGAGTCGTTCGAGGCTTTCATCAACATGCGCCAAAACAAACCCGCCGAGTTGATTGCCAAGTTCATTGACGCCAAGCTAAGGGCTGGCAACAAGGAGGCTACTGAAGAAGAGCTTGAAACAGTGCTCGACCGATTGATGATTCTTTTCCGGTATATCCAGGGCAAGGACGTGTTTGAGGCCTTTTACAAGAACGACCTTGCTCGGCGTCTGCTCCACAATAAGAGTGCATCCGTGGATTCAGAGCGCGCCATGCTTTCCAAGCTCAAGCAAGGTAGGACTTGTTTTTGTTCTTTTTGTTGCCAATGGTGACCGTGTTGCGCATTGCGACTGTTGTGACTAAACCGAGCCATCTGGTTTGTTTCCGCGATGCTTTTTCTGAACAGAGTGCGGAGGCCAGTTCACGGGCAAGCTTGAGGGCATGTTCAAGGACATGGACCTCTCCAAGGCCATCATGGTTTCATTCAATGTGAGTGACTTTTCTGAACAGAGTCGTGTTGCTTGGTCATTCGTGATGCTTTTATAACTTTCAGATGATGACCGCTTGGGTCTGGGTTGACAGCAATCAAAGTTTGCGAGCCAAATGGGCGACATTGAGTTGAGTGTTTCAGTGCTGACTCAAGGTTATTGGCCGACAAACAAGCCAACTTCTATGAATGTACCATCTGAGGCGAGTCGTGAAATGTGGCAATGTTTGTTGTTGCTGAACACTCCTGATTGACACTTTTTGTTGACTTCTTTTTTTTCTTTTTTTCCGGTTTGCTTGTCGTTGCTCAGATGTTGCGAATCCAACAAGAGTTTCAAAAGTTTTACCTCCAGAAGCACACCGGCAAGCAGTTATCCTGGGACAATCCCCGAGGCGATTGTCTTGTCCGCGCCGCCTTCCCAAAGGTAGGAGAGCGTTGTTTTATTGTGGTGGTGGTGGTGGTCGAAGAGCCAACTTATCGTGACGGCAATCCATCACATGTCTGGCGCGTTTCACCAAATGCAGGGAACCAAAGAGCTGCAAGTCTCCTTCATGCAAACGCTTGTACTCTTGGCTCTGAATGCGGGCGACGGTGTGAGCTTCCCGACAATCAAGGCTGAGACGAACATCGGCAAGTCATCTCTTTTGGTTGACGTCCCTCGTCTTGTGTACTCGTGTCTCGTACTCACAATTCTCTGATGCCAAACTTGCAGAAACCGAGGAGCTGAAGCGCCTGTTGCAATCCCTGGCTTGCGGCAAAATCCGAGTTTTGAACAAGAATCCAAAGGTACCTACGATACGTGCTTCGCATTGCGTTACTTGGTTTTTTCAAAATATTTGGTAGAATGTTGAATGCTCTTCGTCTTGTTCCTTTGTTGTTGTCGCTTTTGCTTTGCTTGCTTGGACCTAATCCTTGAAATTGTGTGACAAATTCTTCCTTGGTAGGGACGAGACGTGAACGAGACCGACACGTTCGATTTCAACACTGACTTTGTGAACAAGCACTATCGACTCAAAGTCAACCAGATCCAGATGAAAGAAACGGTGCGAGGAGTCGTCGTGCGCGTGGGCTGCTGCGTGGCGCTCTCGAAGTGCTCACTGTTTTCCTGCTTTCGCTTGTGTTTTCTCGTTGCAACTCGAGCAGGCTGAAGAAAATGCTGACACTAACGAAAAAGTCAACCAAAACCGACAGTACCAGGTTTGTAATTTCATTTTTATTGTGGTTACTTTGACGTTTTTGGTTTGGTCGTGCTGATGAGTGCTTGGCCTATTAGATCGATGCTGCTATTGTGCGTATCATGAAGGCACGCAAATCTCTCGCTCACCAGCTGCTTCTGAGTGAACTCTTCAACCAACTCAAGTTCCCAATGAAGGTACGTTGGGGCTGCAAGCGATGTTTGTTTGTTTGTTTGTTTGTTTCAGCCTTGACGTCTGGATTGTTGATTCACCTGGTCTTCGTTCTAATTTTGTTTCCTTTCGCAGCCTGCTGATCTGAAAAAGCGTATCGAAAGTCTGATCGATCGTGAATACCTCGAGCGCGATGAAAAAGACCAGAGCACGTACATTTATCTTGCTTGAGCATTTCCCCCATCACAGCCTTTGTCGGTTGTGGATGGCCCTTGCTACTTTGCCTTGGTGTTGTCCATGTACTTTATTACAAACGATTCTGTCTTGATGATTGAGGAAGCAGCAAGAAGATGGGTGTTTTTTGCTTTTGGTTTTGAGCTTACGGTGCAGTTGCCAATTCCTCGACTATGCACAATCATCAAGCAACTTCCTTGAACTGGACAGAATCCCCCATTCAACGTTTCAGTCCTTTTCCCCACCCCCCTTTTCTTCGTTGTGCGCCATGGTTCGGATTGAGAGCTTTGAGACAGACACTCACTCGGCTCCATTCACAGTCATCCTCACTCTCGCTGCGAATGCAGTCTCTGCTACAAAGCGCGGAGCATCACCCGACTCGACCATTTCCATGCCTCCAGACACCTCCGTGGCCTCAGGAGCCTCAATAGCAGGCGATGCGGCGGCAGCGTCCAATCTGAGCAACAGCATTGCGCTCGAGTTGGACGTATACGTGAGCGACATTCCGCGCGAGGTCGCTCGCCTCCTCGTTACAAAGCACAGCGTGCCTGTTTATCTCGAATCGACATTGACGGAAGTGCTCTCGGCGCTGATTCGGCGCGAGATTGTCGATCGCTTGGCCGAGCGCGACGAGTTGGCAATCCGATCCCTGAGTGACGTCGCTCTCGCAGCGCGTCCGACGACAACAACGCCTGAGACCATCCATGCTGGGACGAATGATATGGATGCGCCTGCGCCCGACTCGGCGGCGGCGCGGGCGGCGGCACGCTGGGGCCACGCATTCAAGACCGAGCACGTCGTGCTGATGGAGCAGTCGTCGCCATCCATTGTAAGATCAAGGCAAAGCCAGTGATGCTGAAACTTCGAGTTTGGCAACGGCGTTCTGTGCGAACGGGCGAATCGCAGTGTCCGCAAAGCACACACACAAAAAACTTCTCAGAATTAACCCTTTTTGTTGTTTTGGTTGTTTTGGTTTTGATGGATTGTGCAGGATATTGATTTTGCAGAGGCGTACCATCGACTTATGCATTCGAGCGCCTGCCTCAAGTTGTTGCAGTTGGAACAGACATACTCGCGAGCTGTCACTGAGCTGGTCGGCGCACGGTAATCGAACACAGATGCCCGAAAGCGTTTCTCATGCCTCACTTTACTTGCTACATGCGCTGTTGATGAAAAAAAAATCGCAGAGACATGGCTCTTAACAATCTACACAAACGGTGAGTTCACTTTTGTCGAGCAAGGTGTTGCGAAATTGTGCTGCAAGCTCAAAAGAAAAACCGCCTGCCTTTGTGTTGGCCTGACACAAAGGCAATCTGATTCACTCTCCCGCATGCTGGAGAAAGTTGGAAGCGAGTACACGGAGCGGGATGTCAATGTTCTGGCTGCTCGGCATGTTGAAGTACGTTTTTGCTTTTTTGGTGTGTTGTGGGCTAGTGACATACCTTTTTGCAGTTGGTGTTTTGGGTCAAATGTCACACGTCGTAACATTGTTTGGCGTTGCTGGGTCTAGGAAATGCAAGCAATTGAAGCGAAATGGGCAAAAGACATACGCGAGCTCAAGACAACCCAGCGCAGACACTACAGAGAGTTTGTGCTTGGGTTTCAAGAGACGGAGCCAAGCACCCCCGTTAGCCCGCATTCGGTACTCCACTCTGTCTCTTCCCCAGCACTTGTGGATCTCAAGTCCAAGCGCGACAACTTTTCCGGATTTCAGCAGGTACGAGTCAGCTCTCGGGGCGCTTGTTGTTTTGCGATGAATAGCGTACGAGTTCGGACTGACCCCCCCCCCCTGTGGCATGCTAGATGTTCCCTTTTACGCCCGTCAAGCTAAAGTCATTGTTTGGGAGCAAACGATGGCAAACGTTGGCAAAGTAATATTCCAAGATTTCTTTTCGTTGTTGTGCTTCTATTGCGATCGCCAGTACCTCACCTTGTTTCCTCGCGATCTCAAACCTGCTTCGCTATCTCATCAATCTTCTCTCTCTCGCTTTCGCTCTCTTTAGCGATGTATTCGAGAGCGCTGGCGCGTCCACCTTTTCAACAGCGCCCGAACCGAGCGCAAACTCGAGTGGCATTGCAATGGAGGAAAGCTTTACCATCAAGCTTGGCTCTCAAGTCAAAACAATGCACAATCTCCGATTGATTGCGGGCGATATTCTGACGATGAGCGCGATTCACGCGGGACAAACCGATCCGACGCTGCTCCAACAATCAGCCTCTGCAAACAGAGTCGATGCGGGCAACGCATTTGACACCCAACCAGTCCGAGTGCAAACCGCCATGACTCTTTATTCCCGGAACTTGAGTGGGCTTGTGCTCATTGTGGACAAAGTTCCACGATTTGACAGCGGGTTTCAGAAAGGCAAGCATGCGTGGTGTTGTTGTTGTTGGAGTGTTTTTTTTGTTTTTTGGTTGTCCTCAAGGTCTCACTTTTCAGCCATTGTTGCGCCTTGAATTGTGACAGATTTTGCTCACTTGTGTGAGCAGTCGACCGATTTTCACTTCCAGGACTTTGCGGAACAGATTGATGAGCTCAGACTCGACTTGAGCACCATGGGAAAGCAGTCGTTTGCTTCCACCGACTTTTTCATCACCCGGCACTCCAACCTGGCTTCCTTCCATGTAGTGTTCCATCTTGTAGGCGAGCGGGAGCGCGCCAGCTCGCTAACATCGCGCTCACCCATTCTTCTTGGCTTGCGCAACGTGCTTGCGGCTGCAACGTCGTTTGATGTGACGACGGTGACGGTTCCGTTACTGCTGACGTGCGTCTTGACCTCTGAAATGAACGATCGGTGGTGCTTGAAGCGAGCCGAGCTTGTGCTCAAGTGCGTGAAGGGCTTCATGATGGAAACCAGCTCGTTTGGGGAGGGCACGAGTCACACCGTCCAATTCTTTGTGCCCGATGGTGTTTCTCAGTCGCTCTTTGGCTCTCTCAGCAATTTGATCAACACTGTGTTCAAATTGTCTGCGCCTCTGATCGCACAGTAGCTGCACACACCACGCTCGAATGTTTGCGATACATTGCTTGTTGTTTTGATGTTGTGTGTGTTGCAGACTTGTTGTATTATGAAAACTCAAAAACACAGCAGACATTGGAAACAGCAAACACAACAACGAAACACAAACCCAGACAGTACAGTGACGTGTACCCCTTTACAAAAATGCACAGACAAAATGAAAACCTCAATAAAACAACGAAACGAATAAAAAAATCAAGAGCAGGCAGGCAGACAGGCAGGCAGGCAGGCTTATTGGCACTTTGAGCTTCACTTAAGATTGAGCAGGGCTCGAGTCTTCCGACGACTTGTCCGAGGACTTCTTGGTCATTTCGATGGTGACGCTGTTGTCGTGAGTAGTCGAATGGCGGCTCATGACAGGGGAGCCAACGGTGCCCTGAACGCCAGTGACCTTGGAGGACTGCTGGTCTTGCGACGAGTGCTTGTTGTTCGAGCCAGAGTAGCCGTGCTTGCGCTCCTTGGACTCAAAGAGCTCGGACTGCTGCTCGGGAGTGTACTTGAGGACCATCCAAACCTTCGGGACGAGCAGAACCGCCAGGGTGAAGGTGACCATGAGCCAGGTCACGAGCTGCTTGAGGGCGAAAGAGATGGACGAGCCGTTCTCCAGGCTGAGAATGAGGGCAAGGAAGACGACAGAGCAGAACAGAATGTTGTAGACAGCGTAGCCAATGAAGCGGGATTCGCGGTACGAGTAGTTGACCTTGCGGGTGCGGTAGGCCAAGACGGCGGCAACGACGACGAGCAGGAGGTTGAAGGCGAGCAAGACAGCCATCAGAATGGTCTGAGACTGGCCATCGTCGACGCTACCACAAGTGAGCACATAGTGCTCGTCGCCGCCACTGAGCAGAGTGTTGACGGCCTCCGGGGGGAAGCCAGCCGACCAGACGATAAGGATGATCGAGTCGAGCAGCACAAGGTCGAGGCTGAAACGGAGAAGATCAGTGTCG